TGAAGGTTGCATCTGCGTCTTCTCATGAGGGCAAAGAGAGAAATATGGGAGGAATATGTCCCGATAGCTGGAGATCAAGCATCACTCTGATACTTGAAATTTGTACTGGTCTTGTGAAAAGACAGGAAAGAATTTCACATAATCTCCTTTAATGTTTCCCCTGGCAGCACGCTAAGAAGGCTTAATTGTCATTTGCTCTCCGCCGATGCGTGCTGCACGTGCCCGAGTGGCGGCACAGCACAGGGATTTGTCCAAACTTACTAAGTTGACAGTGGTTGATCACACATCGTGCGTTTTTTCGCTTTGCTCCCTCTCTGCCTCTGAATTTGATTTGGAGTGGAAGCGAAGGGGGGTTGTGGTCTCCTCCCTCTGACTCCAGCACAAACGGCTAACAAAGCTGATTGCCACTCTGAACTTGAGACGTGGTAGAACCTCAGCCAGACATCCAAATGGCTCCTGATTAAGTTCAGGTTAGATTACAGTGCTACTCCTAATAGATTCTACCCCTTTTTTGCTCACATCAGAACTGAAGTTCCAACAGCAACAGTCAGTTTGATTTTGCGCATTACTGATGTAGAGGCTGTTCGGTCCTAAATGCATTCGTTACATACAGGCAAGTAGGAGCCCAAGGTCTTAAGAAAAACAAAACCCCATCGGACTTTAATCCAGAAGATAAAGCAAAACATTCATTTTCATAACTGTTAAGAAAAAGAAAGAAAAAAAATCTAGCACGGACTGTCTTTTTGTGTATTAACCAGAATGTCCCTTTAAATATGCATACCGATTGCTTTCCTAATCTTGAAGTTAAACCCCATTTCCCCTTAATTTTTGTTTTCTCTTATTGGTGTGTGACATTCCAGACGTTCACAACAGCTGCGAACCCCACTGAAAAGTTCTATTTAAAAGGCTGAGCCGGGGCTGCTTTTTTTCCTGTGTTTTGTAACATGAAAAGTTGCGAAAACTTGGACAACTTGTTTTTTTTCCCTCCCCCTCTTCTTCCTCCTTCTCCTTCTCTCCTCCATTACAAAATCATGAGGTGCTCATGCCTGAGCTGCGGAGGTGGATGAGGAGGTGGCAGGCTGCAGCAAAACAGCCCAGTTCTCTCCAGCCACATTTTTTTGGTGCTTTGCAGAATCCTCTTAGGTCAGCTAAAGGGTCGAGACAATCCACCAGAGTTCTGCTCTCCTACTTCCCAGTCTCACTCTGTGCTGCAAGTTTATGACCTCTCTGCTTTTTTCTCGGTTTGCCATCTGACTACAGGCGGGGTTTGGCTCATCTAAGTTTTGTCTGTCTGCAGAGAAATGGATGGAAAAAAGAGATGGAATAAACATTTTCCAATCTTTTTTGGTCCAGCTTGAAATGCTCAGTGAATTGTTTATCATTTATCCTCCGGAGTATTACAGATGCTTCCTTTTCTGTGATGAGTTCCATCCAGAGCTTTACTTATGAAACAGTTTAAATGCATGATAAAGTTTTAACGTGTGTACTGGCTTAAAGAATTTGGGATCTTTATCTATATTGCTCTCTTATGTTGACTGATTTTTTTTTTTTTACCCATTAGTTGTTTGAATCTTCCCTTTAGTTCTTAGCTGCTAAACACGAATTGACTCCTCAATTCAGAGACGAATAAGAGTCTCAAACCAGGTCCGGTGCAGCTTGTTTGTTTGTAAGGAAAGCAGCCGTTGTCTTACACTGGATTGTGCTAACAAAAAAAACAACACATTTCCACCACAGCTCCATGATCTCCAGAAGGGGAAGCAGCTCCTGTCTTGTCTATCGACTGTTACAAAAAAACAAAGCAAAAGGAAAAACACAGTCATGGCGCTGAATAGTTTGGAAAGAGGGAGGCCTTGGGATTGGATCCCAAATCTCAGTCATGCAAGCAAGGTACATTTTCTGAAGGGAGGAGTGGAAATGTAGAAAACTCTGGCGGTAGTCGCGCTGTGTCACCTCTCTGAGAGACTCTGCTAACCTCAGACTGGTGGAAGCTCAAGTGTGCGACCACATTTGAACTACGTTTTTCGGTGTCCACTCAGCAAAAGCTGTCCGGCTAACATGCTACGCTAAGCTACGCTTTTTTTTCTGCCCTTCCTTTAGATGCTGGTCTTGTTATTGCGCTGCCTTCAGAGGTTTGATATCACTGTCGGGAAATTCTGCTGTTGCTCACTGAAGGGCTAGAGTGGGACCTTTTCAGCTCATGGTCACCAGAATTGTGACTGTTGGCTTTCACGAAAGTTTTTTTCTGTCACGCACCAGCTGTGATAAGAGTGGCTGCCGTCACATTAGCTCTTCTATCTGCTCAAACACTTGTGGGAGGCGAGCGCGGTGGGGCTGCAGCCTCTGTGTCTGCCTGAGCTTTGTGGTGCCCAGTCTATCTCAGAGGGCAGGCCTCCAACTTATTTATAGCCCCACTGTGGGTGTTGGAGGAAATGGTGCGGCGGTTGGGGGGTGAGGCCTGTGTTTTCCCCCAGGAGAGGACTCTTCCTCCAAAACAGAGTTGGCCCATGCCGGAGGATGAGCAGGCAGCGACTGGGAGCGCAGGGCGGTGGATTTGTAATCTGTTTTTTTTTACCCCTGCCTCCGCTTTGGTTAAAAAACACAGACGGCTTATTGATAGCATGTGTGACATTCCTCCATCCCATCTCAATATTCCAGCCCAGCTCTCTGTGGTCTCGGATCTTCAGGCCTGCCTCTGGCTGCCAGAGCCCCGAGCACTGAGAGCTGTTGTCGTCTTTCTTAGCTTTTGTTGCTTCTGTTTGATCTGTTGTTCTTTGTCTCATTGTTTACTTTCATTTTAGCTGTGTCAAGGATACTTTTAACAAGAATACATATATATAAATATGTATATAGAGGGTTGTAGAGGGTTTTTCCTGTCAGAAGACACCAGACTCATTGCAGTATTTTTTCTCTCTGTTTAAAAGTCAAGTCCTGACTGGATGAGCTGGCTTAGAGCCAGATAATAGCATTTGACTACACTTCTCCAGTTTCCCCTACCTATCAAAGCCAGGCTTCACCTTCGGCTCGCAGACCTCTTGACCTACTTCCTCTTCTCCCCGCCATGAAGCCGCATGAAGTCTGAGGATGGCGTGAACTCCTCCCACACTGCTATTGTGTATTTAACGGCATGTCAGGTTAACCCACATCAGCATCCGCAGCCTTCTACCCCAAATAGCTGGTGTTTGTACCCCTAAACGAGCAAACAGATATTAAAGAAGAGACATGAGAGGCAAAGCAGAGATGCTCGAATGTGAGTCTGGTTGTATTTAATGAATTATTGAGAAACTTCTGAGTTCTGAGAGAAAAAAAAAGATGCCCCTCTACTCACACATATACACACACTGTGCTCAGAGAGGGATGAGAGGGGAGTGCGTGAATGTGCGCTGCCAGATGTCAGGTCGAATTCATGGTATTGAGGTTGAGCCCCATTTCAAGATTTTCTTCACTGCAGGAGTTTGGAGGCTAGCTGCACATGTAGATTCAGTCATCCTGTTTATCCTGCTTCATCCCATCATCCAAATCTCTTTCAGCCGTCATGCTGTATGCCTAAATGATCTGGAAGCTGCAGACCTGGCTATATCCCAATTTCCATTCCCCTTTTTACTGACCACAAGGGGCTGGAACAAAGAAACTCAAATCTAAATCTTTGTTCAGATGAAAAATGCGAGCACTTGACTGCATTTGAATATTAAATTCAGATGGCAAAATGTTCAGTTGTTCCCTGGAGCCGAAGTACGTGTGTCGATTCACAAAGAATGACTCCGGATGGAGGTGCAGACTAGTCATTATAAAAAAAAAACCCTATCACGGAGGACAGAAAATTCAGGGGAAAATTGGCACAAAAACATTGGTCCATGCTCACCCAGGTGATGAACAGTCCAACAGTAACGTGTTCATGATCAAACTCCCATTAGTCAGTCGAATGCAGATTTTTCAGATTTCATCTGACAAAATTTTTATTTTAGCAAATAATCTAAAACTGAACAATGACATGAAAACAGGACAACGGTAAACTATTTTACCCATTTTTCCTTTATCTGATGCCATGTTTCCGTCTACTCCTTCAACATAATGCCACTGTATTAATGTTTTTCCATTCGTAATTAAAGACTTCAAACTGTATTGTTTTCAACCAGTTGAATGCGGTTTAATCCTTTTAAATAGCTGTTTAGTATTACTTGGATGGGTTCACACTTGATGCAGTTTGGTTTTGGAGGTGGATACAGTTTGACTCTTCTTTTCCGCCTCAGTGTTTTACAAAAGAAAGGTGACGCACACAAAAGGTTCCACTATCCCTCCTTGAGTTGCAGTCAAGTACAGCACAATGGGAATATCAGCCATGCTACAACCCCCGGACATCTGACACTTATTAGCAAAGAAAGAAAACCAAAGAAAGCAGACCAAAACAACAAACCGTGGGGTTTTCTTGCTGTAGGAGAATTGTTAAGACGAGTGGCTACTCACTAAGAGCCTCCCTCGAGTGCCTCTGAGTGTCTCAGCTTTGTTGCCTGTTCATGCACGAGTGCCGTTAAAGTGTTTGTGTGTTGTTCTGAGGGGCTCTGAGTCGGTGTGAGTTTGAAAATGCTGTGCCATTTGGCTGCTCTCACACCGGACAGTTTTTCCTCATTCTACAAGCCGGGCTTGAAGGGGATGTGGATGATCGGGGGTCAGTTCACTGAACAGGATGTTTGATGTCCTCCAGAAGGGCCGGGATAGCCGACCTGGATATTTAGGTGCAGAAGGTTTATGCAATGCTTTTCCCCGGCCTGCATGGGTGCGCGTGTGTGTGTGTTTTCTGGTGAGTGTGGATCCTTTCAGCATGCCCTTCATCGAATAACAACCTTCCACAGCCTAATTAGGGCCTGCGAGAAGCACTATTGACTCTGGACACAACAGACAGTGCTTACTAATGAGATCTCTGGAATAAAGAGCTGCTTTTGTATCCAGAAATGTTATCGCTTCCCTTTTTAACATTTTTGTTTTGCTTTGTTTTTGTCTTTTCAGCCCCGAGGAGCTGTAGTCCAAAACAGTTTGTGTGCAAAGATGGGGTGACGTGCATTTCAAAGGGATGGCGCTGTGACCGTGAGAAGGACTGCCCAGATGGCTCTGATGAGGACCCTGATGTTTGTAAGTCTGAAAGAAATGCAGGTTTCTAATTTACAGGAGACAGTTTCTGCACAGACCATGCTTAAGTTGCTGGTACTGATCCTGCTGCTGTAGACTGAACGTTATCAGGATGCAAATGAGATTTGCTTTTTCCTTTAAAAAAGAAAATTAATGTCTGTGATCTTGAAAATCTGATTCTGGGGAGGTATGCTAGATGTTGTTTGAATAGTGTTTGATTTCCCTGCTTCGCAACAGGCATTTGTGGGTTTAATCCTTTGGAACAACTCTGCAGGGGTGCCTTCAGAGTAAAAATGTTTTTTTTTTCAGAACAGAAATCGTTATAAAAATATTGGAAAGGACAAATTAAAGTTGAGAACTGGTTGTGTATTCAATACCACGGAAAATAAAAATGAATTGTGATTTTACTTTAGGGCTATAGATATATTTTACTCAAGGCCGCATTCTTTATGTATTCAGACTATCCCTTTTCACCCCTAAATAAAACCATTAATTTAATAGTTTCTTAATATGATAAATTGGGAAACTAAACAAATAAACAAGGTTTAAATCTATCTTTGTAATAGCAATGCTGGGAGGTTATATGTCTAAACATGCAAATGAAGCACTGACACGAGCTGCTTTGTGGGAATGTCCACTTGACATGCCATGGCTATACAGTACGTTCATTCAAAGCTCTCTAAGCTTCTCTTGTTGTTTTGTACATGCACGTGTTTAAAAGGTGCAGCTTTAAAGTGCGAAATTAACCCTTAAACCAAAGTCTCACGTTTCAACATTTTCTCCGGGATCCGGTCCGTGCTGCCTTCAAATTAAATCAAAGGACAGCTGTTTGCCAACAGACTGAGACTGAAGGTTATTGAATTCATTTAGCTAACCGCAGACAGAATGGAGAAAACAAGTCATTTTCCATCAGTAAGTTAGAGAGTTCATGCTGCCACTGAACAGTCCTGTCATGCCCAATTAGGAGACTGACCAAGTTTGTCTTGTCTTAGTGGATGTTATTTCCTGTTGCATTCAGAGCCACAGAAGATGCAGTCATGACACAAAACCCAGCAGAGAGCACTAAAAAAAAAGAAAAAAAGAAAGGCAGCCATCTCTTCAAAGTCTTCATTAGAGTCGAGATGCTTTGAGGCGGAATCCCTGCGGAGGGGATAAAAGCAGCAGTGTCCTTCTGCTCAGCCTTTGAGACTGAAATGCTTGTAGTTTTCCGAGAGGACAGAGGGCTGTAGGCGGGGTTGGGGGGGCGTGTGTGTTGCGTGTGAGTGTGTGTACGTGTGTGTTTTCGAGGGGTTGACCGGATCAGCATGGAGGCTCCGATAGAGATCTGCAGCCGCGGTCTAGACGCAGAGAAGGTCTGGAAGTCATTAGGGACTGGCCTGCAGCAGTGGGGAGACCTGCTGGGTACCTGCTTCATCTCCTCCTGCGTCCCTGCAGCCTCCGGCACCACCGCGCTGCCGCTGCCCTTTCTAAATGAGGCTCCACACTCTGGCGACTCCGTAGACGGAGGGCGGGGGTACTGGGACCCGTTGGTCATAATGACTTCCAAACACCAGCAACCTAGCATCACTGTACTCCTCAAACCCTTTCTTCTTTATCGTCGATGCTTTTACGTGATTCTGAACCGTCTTTTCTTCTATACATTAACTATCCATTTCCACTATTTGAACAATAGCAGAAGATTCCGAGGTTATCCTTGCTTACCGCCGGCTCATTTAACTCCAGAAGAGGGGCAAACATCGCACAGTTAGCTAGTGCTTCCAAAGGCCTTAAAACACAAAAGCATGAGGATCAGAGTGCTTTAGTTTGGAACACCCAGCAGGGACCTGGCTTTCATAGTACAGTATGAGTGTGGAAAACCCAAGAAATGAATCACAGGTGGAGTTCAACGTTGCTTTAATTATGGAGACTGGTTATATGCCCCTTAAAAAAAAAAAAAAAAGATTATAACCAAAACAACGACATGCTGAGAGAGAATATCATGGAGGCAGCAGCGTGTTCCTCGGTGGCGGAGACAAACAATGAGCCTGTCTGTTGTTCCGGGTCAGTAGATTGTTCCTCCCTTTCTCCCTGTACCAGCGGCCAGGTCTGCTGCTCAGACCTACTGGAGCGTGTCTTGGCACGGTCGTGCCATTTGAACTTGTTTCTAGGTGCAGAGTGGAAACAGCTGCAGGGAGATCCCCACAAACTTAAAGGCTTAAAAGCGGTCCTCTGCCCATAAGCGTTTCCCCGACACGTCTCTCCGACCATTTACCTGGAATCACCGTCTGATTGTTGTGGTAAATGAAGTCTTTGTGGAGAGGCTTTTGCAGATGCTTTCGGTTGAAAGATGCATGGGTGTTGTTTATTTATGCACTCACGTGGACGGGCCTTCACAGTGGCCTTTGTTGGGATTCTGGCCATTGGCAGTGAAGTCAGCCACTGTCCAGTGCAGCTGCTTCGCCCTGCCGCGTAACCCCACAATGCTGCTCTTTGTACGCCGGGATGCCGGGTCAGACTGGCATACCCAAAGAGTAAAATGAATCCAAATGCTTGTCTGGGAATACAGTATGACCTGTCTTTGTTTATGCTGAACTGTCTTTTTAAATCAGAGATCATTTGAAAAACCAAATCGTTTTTCTAACTGTCATGTGATAAATGCTATTGAGAGAGAATTTCTTCTCTTTTTTAGCTTTGTGCTTGTCAATTTTATTAAAAAATATTGAGTACCACAACAAATAATTGACACATCAGCAAACAGGAATACGATAAGAATAACTTTATAATTATTGATTAGTGAATAGAATGTAAAACAACCCATATATTTCTGATTTATTTTTCATTAGTTTGACTTATTTTGTGATAACAAAACAATAAAGATATAAACAAAAGCAATATACTGGATCGTGCCCCCTAGAAGTGTTTGGTCTCTGGAAGATGAATATTTTTCCACGGGGTGTGATTCCTAAAACCTGATTTCCAGAAAAAACTGCAAATATGAGTGTGCTGAGGGGTTGGAGTGATTACCAAGATAGCTGTTTTATTTTCTGAAATGAGCAGCTGGGCGGTGAAGAGGGCAAACGCTGATCCCACAAGCAGGACGAGGGAGCCTGTCCTGTGTTCAGCCAGGAAAAGCGTGTCGGATTTAAATTTTAAGGGGAACATTTTGTAATCTCAGCAGGGCTCTCCACAGAGGGAGGTGGGCCTGGCCAGAGGCAGCCCTACGGCCAGGCAGGAGCAATTCTAGGACAAAAAACAAAGAACATGTCAGTTATAATAACGCTATCTCCAAAGTAGAGACGAAGCTCATTAATTACATACTAATAAAACAACTACGTCCTGTTAGCTGGATGCATTATTAAACAGTTAGTTTCCTCCTTCCTTTAATTTCTCAGCTGTAACGATTGCTGTCATCCTCTCCCCCCCCACCTCTCCTTCGGGTTCTTCTAAAGCTGTTTCTCCGTGTGATAATTAGCCTTCTGTCCTTTGAATTAATCTTCTAATGTTCCATGGAACAGATTCACAGGGTGGATTGGGAGTTGTTGGTTCATTTGTGATGTGTGCCTTTTAGTAAAAAAGAGTGGGGCTGTAGGTATCGCACGTTTCCTGCACACATTCCCAGCTGTTTTCTCTCACACGTCTCTAGCTATGAATGAGTACGCGGTGGCGTCTTTCTGCACGGACCTCGCTGTGCGGCGTTTCAGATAAAGCTGTTTGCTCAGTGGCCGCTCCGGCCCCGAGGAGCACGGGCGCATGTGTGCTTTGAGAAGGCTCAGTTTGTTGTTTTTGAGAGAGGCTGGATTTAGGCTTCCTGCTTTGCTTGTCAACCTGCCAGCCACCCCAGGAGCCCCCCACGAAGGAATAAAAATGTGTTGTTTACATCTTGAAAGGGAAGGATTGAGCACAGAGCCAAAGATCCAACCGTCATGCGGCGCAAAGTGCAGGGAGGGCACCCGGCCTGCCACCGGGGTTCAGGCCAGGGATTGTGGGAATAAACAACATTACACTCCAGATTTGCCGCAGACATTGTTGCAGTGTGGGTTGTCGGGGTAACTGTAGAGTTTGTCAGGCTGGAGTAGCAGGTCAATGTGTTGTTTGTCACCTGCAGAGCTTCGTGTTTATCGGATAGCTGTCTGAGGTGAACGGGGGTTAGGAGGGGGGCGCTGCGCCCCTCAGCCCTCTGCTGCTAGCTGTGCCCACTCGTGATGTTTTTCACAGGGCGTGTAGCCCCGGTGTCCTCACTTGACTTGGTGAGGCAGGGACGATGCTGTGTCTGGTTTTTTGGTGGTGCACAGGACAGAAGGGGAGGTCAAAGTCTGCCTCAGGGCTGTTGGGTTTTGGTGCTTTGTCCAATGGGGAACCATGTGGGCTAGTAGCACCACGTAAATGGCCTCCACGAGGTACAGTCAAGACTGTTCCCAAGGATCTTTTGTTTTACTGTATTTTGGGGTCAATAGCGATCAATTTAGGTTATCTTTTTTAAAATATTTTTTTTACAGTAATAGCTTTTAGTTGTTATATGATTGGATTTTTGGTTGATTGTGATTTTCTGTCTTTATTCTGTTAGTTCCTAAACAATTTAGTAACCAACTGTAACTTTAGCAGTGTACTAAAGTACATCACATTATATGACAAATGTAGCGCAAGCAGCAGACTTAGCTTTTTTAGTCTTTTCTCAAAGGGGAGGGTAGCTTTAGGAATAGCATGCTTTCACTAAATGTGAGTTTGTATAAATGGATGCCGTAGTTTCACATTGTGAAGCCTTTTGTTGTAAATCAAGAGCAAATTGATTGCAGCAGCTTCATTGTTCTGCACAGTTGGCCTCATTCTGGCTCACATAAAACCCCCTTTTTGTTTAGCTCTTATGAGTTTGTGTGTTTATTATTAGTTGAATAAGTATTAAGTTGACCAGCAAATCCCCACAGCTTAACAAGCTTTGGGCCATTGGACAACCTGATCCAGACCCAGGCCTCCACGCCATCTGGTTTGCTGGGCTTCTTATTTAACCTGTGGAAAAATTGGAAAGGTTACACCTGCGAGTATGAGAAAATGTGTGAATCACATGCAGTGGCCTTGACAGACACCAGAAATCAACCCAACAATCATCACTCCGAGCGGAGGGTTTGCCTGACGGTTCCGATGTAATAAGGAAAATACAATTGGAGGTTCTTTTAAAAGAATGGCATTTCATTCTTCCAGTTAAGAGTTTTACAAGCTTAATTAATCAAGTGCTAAGCTACACTGGAGCATTTCTGGCAGCCTGCGTTAAACAACACTTCACTAAAACACCCAAAGTCGTGTTTCTCTTTAATTTTTTCACACGTCTCTATATCTCAATGCGTTAATCCCAATACAAGCTATCATTAGGAAGTGCCTACTGCCCTTTCATAACTTCAGAACCCTAACCCCACGTGGCTGTTCCACAGATCAGATCAGGCTTTGCACATGGCGATGCTTACCACACCGTGGCTCAGCCTGCTTTGTAGGAGTTCACAGCCGATTTGTGTGATCCAGACAATAGCCACAGTTCTCTGTTTCCCCCATTACACCACCTGCCCCCCCCCCGTCCATGCCCTCATTCCCTTGGACTGGACAAGGGCATGTGATCTACCTCTCTGTGTTGAGGCTTAAAGAGCGTTCGTACAAGGGTCATGAAATCCTGCGTTGCCACAGACTTGTTTTGATGGCTGCTTGAAGAACGGCTTTGTTTGGCTCTAATCATGACTTCTAATGGAATAGAAAAAATAATATGTGATCATAAGTAATAATCTTACAGTTGTTATTGCCGTGCAGCTGTAGAAGTAAGGCCGTCCCGGTATCTGCAGACATCTGTGTGACACCTGTAGTACAGAGATGAAGCCTTGCAACAATCTCCAGGTCCAGTTTTCAAACAGTTGACAAGATACCTAGTTTTGGTGTCAGCGATGGAGGCATGAAGATATTGGACGTCCTAAATGAACTATAGAGCTCTTAGTGCTCTTAGAATCCGAGCGGTTAGAAACTTCTCAGAGAATGAGAGATCTTGCCGGCCAACGTGGCTCACTTGCTGTAGAGGAATGTTGAATAACCTGTTTAATTTAAATTTGCAATGCCTTTTTTTCCACTGCCTCTCCGTCCCCCATGCCAGCTAACTCAAGAATGGAGCCTTGTGGGGCTCCGTCCACTTCCCGTGGAAGAGGGGTTCCACATGGTCTTTTGTGGCTCCTCTCTGCTTTTTGTCATTTCCAGCTTTTCTTTTTCTTTTTTTTCTCCTGCATATCGTGCTCATTTTCCACACACTGACCTCCCACTTCTGCACTGACTATAAATGGATCGGCAGATGTTGGAGCAGAAACTTGGGAGGACATAAAGAAGGAAAAAGAGTAGTGAAGAGGAAAAAGGACAGCCAACAGTTTCCACAGAGGACCGGAAAGATAAGCAGTTGAGGGATGGAATTTATTTAAAAGATAGATCGACCAAAGAAGAAAACCTTTGACATTTTCTAGTTCATGGAAATGTCCAAATACACAAATTAATCATTTTCCTATTGCCATGGCACAAGTTCAATTTACATACACTTGCAATTTCGATATTCAGGGTAAGGGTAAATTAGCCTTTGGCGTGAAAAAGACTGACATCATCAAAAAGCAAATGTTTGACCATAATCTACATTGTCAATAACAAGTCTGAAACACGTTGGTGGAGGGCTGATGATATGGGCCCGGACCTGGACACATTGTCCTCATTAAGCCCCTCTTTGTACTGTGGTAGTTTAGAGTTACATGTGGAGGCATTCTTCATTTTATTCATTGGATTTTTTTCTTTTTGTTTTCAGATACTGCTTCTTCATTTTGGCTCAGTTTCTGTTTGCTGAATCATAAAAGTGGTTTGATATGTCCCTCTTTGTTAAATGTGGTCTTGATAGGTAAAGCATGACTTCACCTGGTGGCAGGCAAGTTTTATGCCTGCTGTAGGAGATTGGGAATAGAGTCTTCATCTAATCAACATTTATTAAAGACATAAGTACGTCTCTGCACTTGTCTGAGCATCAATAAGCAAAATATGGACTTTGATGTGATTCATTGGCGAATGCCCTGAATTGTTGCCCCAGAGTTTGGTGACAGAAGTTGCCAAACAAAGTTTCTTCATACACTGGCTGCTCCAACGGAGGGTGTGCTGAGTCATTAGGATAGAAGGCTAGTCAGGGTCACAAGGCAGCAAACTTCATCCAAGAAAAAAGAGCTCAGTAATAGGGTCATAGAAGAGAAAATCCCCATGCGCTGTGCACGGCGCTTTGGCTGTACACTCACCGCCATGTCCAGTTAAAGCTGCATGGATTCAGTGCGTTAAAAAGGAAAACAGTTGTGGCCGAACTCATCCTCACCCAATGGGAGCCTTTTCTCTTTCCCAGAAGTGCTCTCTGAGCCCTCCCTGAGGAGATACTTCTACAGTGGGGCTAGATGCCAGCGTGCTGGTGTGCTTATTGTTGGTGTTTTGCCTCTGGGATGAATGTTTGTGCGCTGCAGATGCAGAGAAGGTAGTCATTTGGCTAGTCTAAGCAAGGATAATGGTGTGTTTATAGTTCCTGCTAGTTTTCTCCATCGGCCCTCTTTAGCTGCCACAATGACTCCTTGGATGGGTGCCTTGTGGCTCTGCCTGTTCAGTTGGCAAGCAGGAAAGACGATGGGGCTGAGAAGGGGAAGGCTCAAGACTTGGCAAAGAAAATGGCTAGCACAAGAAAAAGAAGGGAACACAGCATAATCAGTAAGATACATTGGAATTATTTTGGATCTATGCTGGTTTTATACTTACAGCAGGCCGATCGGGCCAATGCCGCCTTATGGTGGAACAAATACTAATGTTCCAATATTTCCTCTTTGCAATAAAAAAAGTTTCCAGGAAATGATCAAACTTACTTGAACAGGTTAAGACTTTTCACTTGAGCTACAATGCTATGCAGTTCATTTAAACTTACCGAGCACTGAAGAAGAGGCCCTGTGGCTCTTTCAGTATTTCCATCATGTCTGGTTATGAGGTAATCTCTTCTTTCAAACCTGGGACAAAACTGCTCCTCTCTCTCACCATTCAAGGAAGGCAGGAGGCAGCCGAGATACACAAACTCTGGGAAATGAGATACTGAGAGCGGGGAGATTAGTGCACGGAGGGGGAATTGGTTCAACTGCTCAATTCGTCTTATCGCTGAGGGGAGGCACAGGCGGTCCAGGCAGAGCTGCATCCACTCCTGTGATTCTTTCCTCTGGTCCCACAGATTATCTAATGGAAGGATCTGATGCTGCTCCTATGAATGAAAACACTCAACTCTCAAGTCAGCTATAATGATTTCTGCAATCAAATATTCTTTAGTGGCGTTAATTTATTATTTTTTCTCCCTTAGCACTTTTTTTTTTATTGTACTAAGAATGTTATCAGGTACTGTGTGTGCTTTGTTGATAAGTCGTGAAAAATGGGAGGGTGTCGCCACTCAGGCTACGCTGATAGTAATTTCAAATGAGACTTTTCCCGCCCTGGCTCTGATTCATATGTAGATATGCATGGTCTCATAACTAAAATTTGATTACTTCAAGTATGAGATTAGTTTTCAGGTATGTTAATGCTCAGCAATACCGGTGTCTAAAAACCAACAACGCTGCCTTCAGGTGACAAACAGAGTACTTGCAGTTGGTTTCTCGCTTTAATAAGACTTCACGCTGATATTTTAATAGTTGATGCTCGCAGTTAAGGGAAGGTGCAAAAGCTTTAATGGAAGCGACACACAACATGCAACCAAATATCTCACCCTGTTGTCAGTTACCTTGTCAGTGAACCGCATGTGTGTTTGTTTCTCCCCAGGTCCCCACAGCACGGTGTCACGCTGCCCACCCAATGAGTACCAGTGTGGAGGAACAGAGTTGTGCATCCACATGAGCAAACTGTGCAACGGGGTCTCAGACTGTACTGACGGCTGGGACGAGGGGCCGCACTGCAGAGGTACCGCTCACGTACACCCCCCTAACACTAGCAGCTTATTAGCAGGGTTTCAGCTCTATTCTCTCACTCATTTTGTGTGAAACATGTGTAGAATCTGACTGCTTTCTTTTATCAAGGTTTAGTGCTCCTGTCTGCTTATTGAAGTTTTCAAACTGCACTTTAGTTCCGTGTTGACCTTCCATAGGACTGTTAGGATATTAGGCTGTGCTGCCTTCTGCCAGCATTAGCTGCCTGTGGTATTGTTCAAGCAGCTGGCTTTGCTATATTTTTTCCCAAACCAATGACACTGTATGTAGATCACAGTCCATTTAAGGTACAGTGTTTTCAAAACCACATGGAGCCATTTAGTCTTCGGTTCAAATTGCTTAAGCCAGTTATTTTGAAACGTGAAACTTGCAAAAAGTTCATGAGTCAAACAAATGCAAGATCATCTGAAAAGATGTGCTGAGTTTGTTAGTTGCTATGGAAACAAGGAAATAATTGTACTCTTTTTCTCAAAAATCATCGAATTGTGGAGTGAAAAAAGGAAGTTGGGTTGAGGCTTTTTGCTATGAGGAGTCATATCTGTCGAAGGTTAACAAGCAGAAAGGGGAAAAGATGAATCAAGGTCTCGCATGGGAAACATGAACGTAAGGAAAGGTAGCAATCACCACCTCTGGATTGCCAAAAGCACTCATGGGATAAAGAAAAGCCTTTCCATTTTCAGGCTCTACGTATCATGAAATTATAAATCTCATCCTAATACAGATGTCAAATCATATGACATATTACACCATATCATTATTCACATAATGCAATGGAACAGGTTCAATCCATGTACTTCATGGTTCAGTAGCTTGTAGGATAACTGTTGGCGGCGGTAACCCTCAAGTAATAATTCTCTGTATTATTTCACCTGTATCCAGGCATTCTGGACCACTTTTCTTTATAAAGTATATTGATGTGTTAAGGGATATAGTCATGCACAGAGAGATGTGCTTAAAGTCCTACAAAAAGCATTACGGTCATAATCAGGTATGGACTTTGACTAGATTATAACAGGACAAAAAAAAGGAATTATTTCCTTTTTCCTCAGCTTTTATCCCTAAGATGTCCAGGTGCGCTTGGAGTCGTCCTGCCGCCTGACCCAGTTTCAGCTAAAACGTACCCGCTGAACAGATGGCCTCTCAGGGTTTATGGTTGACTCAGTGACCTCTTTCACATGTGACTGCTGGTGTGAAGCTGGAAAAAAAATCAGAAAACAAAAAATCTGTGTGTAAGTTAAGACAGGCTCAGATTGTGGAACCCGCTTTTAATCAGGATCAACAGAGATGTGAAAAGTGTTCAGGTTTGAGGCATTTGTGTCGATAGGCCCAGCTTAAAAACTTTTCTTTTCAATTTTTTAGAGAGGAAAGACATTTTCACCTGAAAGGCCTTCAAAGCAAAACAAACTTGCTCAGTCTTTTCCACATTGTGATGTCTTGAACTCCAGCATTTAGCATTACCTCACTTGGTTGCCTAATCCTGGGAATACTAGATTCCAAATAGCTTGAAAAAGGCCTTTTAGCACTTCTCATCTTAATGGCAGTTGCCTCCTCATGTGTCAAGCTTTTAACAGCTACAGGAGACTCATTTTCACCCTCCCCTCTGCACCTTCGTTTAAAAAAAATATTTACCGGAGCTGCGTGGAAAGGTGGATCAAAATGTCATGTTCTTTCAGGCCAGATAGATCCTTGTGCAGTCTGGGTGCTCCCACCCCACAGGAACGCCACTCGTCAGACGTCAGACGATGTGTCGGCTCGGAGAGGAAAAACACGCACAGCCGAAAAAAGGCTGACCAGTTCTTTTTGCTTTTTTTGGGGTCTATGACTCGCTGTTGCTTAATTGCTTGGGTGTGAGCGTGTGCATGTGTATGTGGACTGAAGCGTGTGCATCTCGTGGCATCTATTGTTGTCCAGGTGCTGAGGTAATAAAAGCGCTCCACATCTGGCTGAACGTTTCATATTCTGGGCTAAATCTGCACAATCTTTTGCATATATACTGTTTATTCTGCTGCTCCAAAATAAATATCCTGTGGTAAATGTCACAGTAGGGCTGTTTACACTGTTAGTTTTCGAAACTTTTTTCAGTTGCTCTGACTTGTTTTGGAAAATTCCCGGCATGTCTTTAATTTGTACTGCGGTTGTCCCGGCAGGCCTCTGGGGTACAGCGGGAAGACTTGTGTAGGAACTGAATTGTGTGGAGATTGGCAGGGAGTGGTTGTATAGTGTGACCAGACTGATACTCTCAGACAGAGTGTAAAAGCTCCACTTGAGCAAAATTCTGCAGCTTAGATTTGTTTAATTCTGCTCACGCCTGGCACTTAAAGCTCTTTTGGAACTTCATGTTGAATGTGAAGTTCTTTGTTGAATTAGCAACCTTATTTTGGCCGCAGTGCAGCAGAATAGGAGGTACGGAACACCATCATAAGCGTGGAATTTCTATATTGGAAGTGTAGCGCTTTGAAGAGGACACATTCAGATCCTGCTCCTCCTTCCAGTGGTGCTTTGTTAGCTAAAGTGTTTCCGGGCAAAGTGAATCACTACTGACTGATAGATCGCAAGCTGGTCTGACATTACTGCGTGTGTTTGACTGTGACTCATAATCTCTTGATTTGTATTTCACAGGATGTGCACTGTTGAAAGCTCCACTTTGGAGGGGGCAGCCCGACTGTAGGTGTGGTCAGAGTGCACCCTTCTTTAATAAGGTGTATGGGGCTTTGGAGATGGTCTGATCTGGAAGCGGGGTGTGGATTTGTTGGTGCATTTGAAGTCTCATGCCCTCCATTCACAGGCTTTTTGATTTATTACGTATTTTGCTCAGCAATAAAAACACACTTTGAAAAGGTTGAAAATCAGTTTTTTTGGTGATTTTGAAAGAGCCTAAGATGTTCAGGGACTCTTAGTTTTAAGCATGACCTCACTTTGTTATTTTCACTTACTCAGGGAACCAGACATGTATGATGACTCCAGACCCCCCCTCTTAATGGGACAAATAGTCAGTGCCAACCAATCCCCTTTTTGTGATTGATTGCATCTGGTTCAGCTTTTTATGCTTTTGGAATTTTTCTCAGATATTGCGAGATGAGAACTTTGGTGGTGGATTTGAGAGGGAGTGTGCCCGGAAGTTTGATAAATGAAGAAGAGAACAGCTCATACGGGCTTGACATTTAAACTTATCTCTGTATTTTGGAGGCAAGTAATTTCAAACATTGAGAAGACGTGGAATAAATGCACAATAGGTCTTGCGTAATTTTAACAACTGAATAAGTGCATGACAGAGCAAACTCTGTACTCATCTCTCCTCTTTTTGCAGTACTTACAAAATGATCTCCGTCTGGGTTTTGTAATAGTTTGATGGCTCTGAAGGGGTCACATAAATCTAAAAGACACTACTGATGTGAAATAATCCTGATAGTTGCACGTGCTTTTAGGTAGAATTCGCATATTTTGCATTCATATTGTTTTTAAGCTTACAATGAAACATATGGACTCATTATGATCAAAGACAAATATGGAGACTAAATATGGGGTTTGCAAAACCTGAAGACGGCCTCTGGTCAAGGTCCATGGTGGTTTTGGGAAAAATAAAAATATTAAATTTCTGTAAGCATTGCAAAAACAGTTACTAAGGGCCAACATTCTTATTCTCGGGGGCAGAAACCAAACCAAAATCGGACATTATCATAAAGGTTTTCTTTTCTGAGCTCAACTCTGCGTCAAACATTTTTCTCTTTGTTTAAAAAAAAATCCAAAATCAGGGATTCACCCAGATGAACCTTATCCAGAGACAGTTTCGATCACTTCTCAGCCGTATCATTTCACTGATGGGACGCTGAGTTGACTCTTGATTATTATGATTCTGTGCTGGCGACAGCCATGGCCCGAGGCCTTTTTTATCTTTCTACCTCATTGTAATGAAAGCAAAATCTCTCCGTGGCCTTGAGCGATTTGGTGTAAGGCTCTCTTTGGAGTCAAGGAGGAAGTGATTAGATTTCAGTGATCAAATGTCAAAGTCACTGTAACCTCTGAAAACCCGATTTTTGGCTTTGACCCGGCGTGAAGTGCTGACATTTTGTATCCAAAAGGTCAAAGTTTCATCTTCACTTTGACATTCTGCTATTGTCTTCTGCTCATTACGCAACGTAAGAAGTTCAGTTGCGAGTGCGTGCCACACAGGACCAGATGCTGAAGCACAGCCTCTTCATCTGTCATACACATCACGTCTGGTCAAAGACTGATGTGGGCTTGAGTTTGACCGGTCGGTGGAGGCAGGGGTTTACACTGCTGAGCTGGAACCAGAAAGTGTTTATCAGCAGCTTTGGAAGCACGTGTGATTGATACCTGGCTGCTTTTAGCTTTCTGTCTTTTGCTTTATTCAGCAAAATGAATGAAATCTACGCAGACGGTGCAATCTGTGGATTAATAGTGACACTGAAAGAAATACTACAAAACAACTACAAGACACACCCTAATGAGAATGTTACTATTACTAAATAATGCTATTACAAAGGATTAGACACAAACATTCAAATCAAAACCTGGTAGCTTGCATTCATCCAAACGTCACTATCTTCTCTCCCCCAACCCTCTTTTGTTTCCCTCCAGTGTATGCGTCCAACTGCTCGCTCACAGGCTGTGAGGAGAGCTGTGCGGTTACCCCGACAGGGCCTGCCTGTTACTGTAAGAGTGGTTATGAGATCAGCCAGGATGGAAAGACGTGCAAAGGTAAGGTTCTGGAAGCTCCAGCCACCCACCAGGACTCCTCTGGTCCACTGTGTGCTGGAAGCACAAAGTCCTCATGCAACAATGGGAACAAAAATGTTTACACGTCTTTGTGTTTTTTTTATTGCTGCAGCAAGAACAGACAGTAATATATTGTGTTTTTTGGGGGTTTTTTTTGGGTGCCCAAAGCTACATCAGTGTTTACATAGGTTTTTGAAAAGCTCAATAAGAACACAGTGTGTGCTGGAGGGAGGATGAGAGCGGAGCATTCCCTTCAAAAGCCTGCTTTGAAAATGACTAATAGAGGAGAGACTTATGCAATGTTTATTCCAGCGTTAAACCAGCAGGATATTCCAACCTTATTGTGAGGTATATATAGCTTTAGACCGAAAATGCAGTAAAAAAAAGGGATTTGATATTTTAGGAGGAGTTATCTTTGTACACCAGTGTTTATTTATGCTGTTCTTTCATTCTTTCCGTGTGACCCTCCGTGTCTAACCTGAAATGTGTGGTTTCTGTCGTTCAGACTTTGATGAGTGCGGTGTGTACGGCACCTGCAGTCAGACCTGCACCAACGCTGAGGGCTCCTACACCTGCTCCTGCGTGGAGGGATACTTGTCCCAGCCAGACAACCGCTCCTGCAAAGCCAAAAACGGTGAGCAGCGGCAGACTGAAACGCCGCCTTTTCTGTCGTTCGTCTCGCACTCACCGTTTCGTTTTTTTTTTCCCTAGTGCCGGTCGACCGTCTGCCTGTCCTGCTGATCGCAAATTCCCAGAACATCCAGGCCACCTCCCTAAGCGGCGCCGTCCACAGTCTGTTGTCCACCAGCACAAAACAAACCACAGCCATGGACTTCATTTATGCCCAGGAAACTGTCTGCTGGATTCACGTGGGAGACTCCCCCTCATCCACACACCTCAAATGTGCCTCCATTCCCAACCTGAAGAGCTTCACAGAGGACAGAATCATCAACATCTCCTTTAGCCTACACCGTAAGTAAATTGTAGGAGTCAAATGGTTCTCACAGCATCTGCTCACAGAAACGGGTTCCTTTACCTCACATTCACAAAACAGTATAGAAAAAACAGCCCCCTCTGTTTAATCTTGGTTTGCACACAAATGAGGAAGATCGTGTAAGGAGAAAGCACTTGGGAGGAAAATAAAGTAAGGCATGCGCAAAGTAAAGGGTTAAACACGTTTGAGTTTATGATCGAATCAAAACAGTCTGTAAAAATGGAGCTAAACCTGAGCATGGCCCTGTGCTGAATGTTTGTTTGTGCTCTGGGCTCTCAGCACAGCCGGAGAGTCACTGATATCAGTCCAACACATTAAAAGCAGCTGTGCTTTCCTTAGCCCTGAGTTTGCTTTGAGAAAACACCGAGAAGTCTTTTGTCCTGGAAAAAAACGAAACTGAGAGGGTCTACTGGGATCTGAGAGGCTAGTCTGAGTGCAGACACCATCATGTGCTGGTTTCTGGCTGCCGACGGCCTGGCAGGTCCCAAACATCCACACCCACACACCGCCTCAACCCGTTGTCACTCCTTTCCTTCCAGCCTTGAACACTTAGTCATGACACGGGCCGGTTTTGGTGAGCTGGCCTGCTGTGAGTCAGAAGGAAAAGAGACACAAAAACAATAATATTATCTTCACTAAGCCTCCAAAGATGCCTCGTTGTGCTTTCTTTTGGGGAAAGTTGGGCAACAGTAAAAAATCCCACTTGTCTGGAAAGCTTACTTAAGGAATTGACCGTAAATCAATCTATTATTGAATTTTTCACTTAGTCACTGTGTTCAGAAACTCTGTCCTTTCTTCCTTCTCTTCAAATTTCCCCTGGCCTTAAAATGAGAGAGGTGTGGTGATCGTTGGGCATTTAGAGCTGACATTTTCTGGTTTGGAGCAGGGATTTGCTGTGCTCAATGGATTTAGAACTGTTCAACAGTGGAAGGTGAGGTCTTTGGAAAGGCTAATGGATGTTAGTTCTTCTGAAAACTAGTATCGGCCTGACAAAGAAGAAGTGTCTGGCGACAGCAGCGGAGGAAACTGTTGAAATTTGACAGAAGCAGAATGATCTGCTGACAGAGGTCGTGGCTAAAATTGGATCCGTTTGATTGAAAAAGCTCAGCTGATGGAAAATGAGGAAGGAAAAGATGAGGGATGTGAGTTGGAGCGAAAGCTACACCGCTCCTTAAACTCAATCTTAGGCGTCTACACATTTATTATAAAAGATTATTTTCAGGACCTCTGAAAACATTATTGTGTAATAAATATTTAATGAAGTGGATTGCTGCAGACATTTCTTTGCTTTGCAGATAATCTCAGATTCTCTGAGTTTAGGTGCTGACCTCTGGGATCGGTTGCTTAGTAACATGATCTGTCAGTCTGGGAAACTGTTGTACATATTTAGGCTCCAAGGTTTAGTGCTTGTGAAACGTCTGGCATTGTGATGGTCTAGTTTCTGCACGCACTTCCTGCCAGCTGGCTTCTGGATGCAAGACCAAAGCACACAGAGTAGCCTAAAATGTTCCCTGTTATGTTATATATGACCTACTTCTCATTTTTCACTCGGGAAATGCAAAAAAGCATGCTCCGAGGCAGCCGGTCAGTCTTTGTTTCTGGCCTGAAAGCATAGGTGTAACAAGATGGTGCTGACGAGAAATGAAAGAAAAGACTGGATGGTAAACAAGGTTTTTAATACAAAGACGCAGTGAAACATTTCCCTTCTTAATCATGTGGGCTTTGGGCAGAGAAAGTTTAGACTGTATTGAAGCCCAGAGTGTAATTAAATCCCATCAAAATACTGCAACAAGTCCTTTAGTTCCTTTTTTCTTCTTTATAAAGAAAATCTGATACGAGAATGAAGATCCAGCAGATCTGTCTGAGGTGTAGTGGCCCCTGTCCGTCGTCCTCTCTCAGCCATCTACTGACCAACTGACCAATGCCTGAACCTGACAGGAGAGACTTGGTCTGTAAGGAGCATCAGAGAAATGAAAAGGCCGAATGATGGCGTTCAGACAGCACTGTCGGCAACATGCGTGCGCACGGTGGAATGGCCGTCATCTGGAAATGGACGGGTCTACATAAACCAGATGATTTCAGACTGGCAGTAAAACCTATTGGATTTTTTAACAGAATAACAAGAAGCACAATTCATCTGTGCCTGAATGTGTTTGGGGCCTAGCCAGTGCTGCGTTTCCCATTTAGCATGGCGTTCTCAGAATCGTCAGAAGCAGTCCTGCGCTGACGTGGAGCTTTAATCTTTTTTTGTTTATTAAAAAATCCACTAAAGAACAAGAATCCTCTTTGTTGCCATGCCATGGAACCAGACTGATTTGCAGGATAAACGCAAATGCATGCATCAGGAGGAAACACGTGCTACATACAGTACAACGCACAGAATAATGGGATCGTCTGCAGACTTTTAGAATTCGGGTGTTCTACAAAAAGTACGATTTTATAACCCCGAATGGAATGCTTAGCATCAGCATGAAAAGTGTGCAACACAAAAACGGCAGATTTTAGCAATGCCCTGACTGCAACATCAAGCCATTTCCCAGACAGCAGAGGTTGTCTATTTCGGACAGGAGCAGGAAAAGCAGCTTCAAGCTCCCAGTTAACATGGAAGGAGCCAGCAGCAACCAGTGGCAGGGGTGAACATACAGGAAATGATGCTCGTGTGGTTGGGCTGACTCATGACCTCAGTATGCTACAGACGAGTTGTCCAGATGTGTCTCAATCCCATCCCCCTCCACCCTTACTTCCTCACTGTCACTATGTTCATCACCAGAATGACATGATAATAACACGAGCTCCTCAAATCTACAGGTTGGGGAATTATTTTATTTTCATTTAAATTGCATTTTCAAAGGCTATAAAATATGTAAAAGCTAACGTGAAAGTGAAGAGAAAAAAAAGCGTGTCCTTAACTTGTAGAGATTTCTACATGAAATGTTAAAACCTAGAAGGATGGATTTAAATTGTGGATGCGGGAGGGCTGATCCCAGAGCTGTCGCTGTTCCTTTCTTCCCTGCTTGGACTGTGGGAGCTGCAGCACCTTCTGCCCTCACACAAAGAGCTGTGCTGCACGGCTAAGGACAGACACTGGCCTGAAATCTCCTTAAGAGGTCATGCGCCGTTGAAAGGCAGGCCAGTCGGCACATTTTCAAATCTTCCTTCTTTGCTTCATCACGGTAGTGAGACTTAAGCCTCCCTCTGCACATTTGAGTCCTACTTTATACACCCAAAACCACATTTAATGAGAAAATATTTTTCCCCCAGCGCGCTCACACATGCGAGCGATGATGGTTTCATTTAAAGTGACTGTTGTCACACGACTCACATCTTGGAGGAGCAGCACAGTCGTGTCTGCCTGCAAGACTGTAAACCTTTTTAAGTATAACCTTTGATCCCTTTAGAATTACCTTTTTTTTTTTTTACCAACTCCCGTTTTCCTTGGGTAAACAAGGAGCCAAGAGATGAACTAGAAAATCCGAAAAAAAAGATAAAAATCTTAAATAGAGTTAATAAAGGCAGGTTTGGGGACTGTAGCAGTCGTTTCTGCTTTTTCAATTATGCTGGGTTGTTTTTATAGCATAGTTTCAGACAGGCAGAACTGCAGTTAATGAATCCAGACTGTTTTCCCACCTCTGGGGAACAGACAGAGGGGCGGGATGATGCTCGGAGGAGGAGAACGACAGAGGGAGAATGGGAGGAGATAGAAAAGTCACTTGGCTTGCTGGGGCCATTTACGTTTCGCCAAAAAAATGAGTAAAATGGAGAATAGAGGGAGTCCGAGAGCAAGGGGGCGCTCATTTTTCTGTTATCCACATTCACCGCTTTTGTCGTCCCTTTTCCCCTTTTGCTTAGCCAGTGAATTTGTGTTGTGGCGCAGCTGGAAGCATTTAAACAGAGAAATCTGTGTAAAAATTGAGAGTACCTCTGGGACTCTGGCCCCAAATTCCCATAAACCTCAGAAATGCTGTTGCACAATGGTGAGATTTTTCCCTCCCTGCTTTTCGTTTTTCACACTTTTTTCCCCTTTCCTGTCCATTCTTTTGTATTTATCTTGTAGCTGTTTTCCACTTTTACAGAGACCCCAAATATTTAAAAGTGTTCCATTTCCCTCCCCCTGCTTGCCCGGCTCTTCCCAAAAATGTGTCAGTTTATCTAAACACAGTAGGCTCCTCTGGATTTACAGTCCATAGCTGGAAAGCCTTCGAAATGTGCACTTCTATTTTCTGGGGAACCTGCCCCATCATTTCCTGCGCTTAAGTGTTTGTTGTCCTGGTTTTTGAAGTGAATGCTTGGGTCATGTCTAAATCTGCACAGCGACCCGATAACCCTGGAAAATATCCCACTATGTGTGACCACAAACTTCAACACAAGGCGCTGCGGGAGAAAGGCCCCCGACAGTAAGACTGCCCTACATTGGAGGTTTGTTTGAGTCAGTTTGTGTCGGGTTCGCAATGTGGAGAGCTGAGTTTGCAGCAGCTGTGAAAATACAAGCCTTGTGGTCTTTGAAACCCTCCTCCCCACCTCCTCACACAGTATCTAGAGGTAAGACTTTCATCCAATAGTTTAAGATTAAGGGTGTCGCCCACATTTAGAAAAATAGTCAGATCCCTGACATCGGTGAAAGTCGAGCTGGTGTGAAAGGTTTTTAATTAGACCTTAAATTGTCACAGGACTGTTTTGGAGAAGGGTCACATGTGGTGATCAATCTGTTGGTCATAAACCCAGCTTATGTCTTCAGTTCAAAGCCAAACGCATCCAAAGGCCCTTCAAAGAGAGCTTAAACCAGGTCCATACAGTCCAGAAAGATAAAGTCTTTCCAATCCTCTTAGAAGTCAAATCAATTAAACTGCACCTTTTTTTTTTCAATTCATACAAAAAAACTAAGATTATGATTAGATTATCACTGGTGCTTGGGTTTGCTTTATTTAATTCCTACTGCTGATCCAGGTGGAGCTAATTTACTCTCTGTACTTGAATATCTGTTCATGTATTAGTGCAGCTAGGTAAGATGTCAGTTACATAAGAGCAATGTAAGCCAAGTGAAGCATTGAACTGAATTATTTTTCCACATTTTGAGGATACCTCAGTTAGTGAAACGCGCCTTCAATCTGCTGTTCATGACACATCAGACATTCTCTTCTGCTTTCTTTCAACTTGAATGTTTTTTTCCTCTGATTGTGGGTTCAGACTCAAAATAGCTGTACTTTTATTTTAGCAAATGAAGAGAAGGCAAATAATAGATTGTATAGAGGCTTTTTATATGCAGTATCCTAGATTTTACAGTATCTATTCTTGGCTCAGACGCCAAGAGGAAATCACTGTTGTTTTCTTAAAGCGTATTAAACTGTTATGCTCTACAAAGTTGGTGTGTGGTGTGATGTACAGGTCTGGATGTCCTATTTTATTTTATCTTTTGCTGGCCCTTCCTTCAAGCTGTTTTTGAGCAAATAAACCCATTGGAATCCACAGAGCTACCTTTCCTACGACAACATGTGGCTGTGGAGTATGTTTTCCATGACACGTCCCAGTTTGTGATTGTTGTCAGTCGAGAAATTGGCCCATAACTCAAAGCTGACATGGCTCCTGTGCCACACTGTGAACTGTTTACAGCTCCTACCACCTGGCTGTAGCCCTTCTCTGTCTCAATTTGTTCCTCTTCTTCCCCTTCTCTGTCCAGATGTGGAGCAGATGGCCATTGATTGGCTTACCGGGAACTTCTACTTTGTGGACGACATGGACGACAGGATTTTTGTTTGTGACAAGGACGGCCAGACATGTGTCACCCTTCTGGACCAGGAGCTGTACAACCCTAAAGGCATTGCTCTGGACCCCACCATGGGGTGGGTGTGATTTCTTTTATAACTACCTTCTTCTTAGACACAAGCCAAAAGACCCAGAGACTGCCCCTCCACGCACTGTTCTCCAGCTTTCAGCCATGCTGCAAACATACCTAAACCTCTGTCATCTGTCATGGTCAGCTTTAGAACGTCATGTGGAAATGGAGGGGGCGGGGGGGGTAAACTGAATGTTTGAAAGTTGGAGTAATTGAGAACAGATGTTTCTTTTTGCTCAGTAATACACTGACTATGTAGGTTTTTTTTTTGCAAGAGCGTGTTTTTATTTCAGCTCTTTTGTTTATTACCACACACTCCGAGTGGGTTCCTGCCCGATTGTGGGTATCTTCACAATTTTGCACAGCTGGGTGAGCGTGTGGTAGAGAGCTTGTGTGCGTGTGTGTGTGTGGGGGTGGGGGGGAGTGACTGTATTGATATGTGATTATGTGTATGCGTGCTTGCTTGAAGACACAGGTATTGTTTAACTCCCACGCTGCTTGCTCAGCTGATGCTCATTCCTCCGGCTACAGCATCATTTGGATTCACTGTAGCTGTGTTTTTCTGCTGTGCAGTGTCATTAAAGGGAGGGAAAATAACAACAGCACTAATACAACGGCACACATTTTCCTTTATTGTGTTGTTGAATTATCACAAGCAGCTAGCTGATTTCCTACAAGATATTAAATCAACATATTGTAGCTTTCAGCTGTGTGAGACCGATCGCTTTTGGCAGAGTGGCTTAATGTCAGGAGGTTTAGTTACGAAAGGTTATCTGAGAAATTGTAAAGTGGAATGGGTTTTGCTGTTGATCCAACACATACTAAAAAAAAGTGAGTGTGCTCTCACATTTTCTGTGAGTACGATTTGTTAGCTTAAATTATAAATAGCTCCCAGTGTTTGTTTTGGCTGCAGTGACACTTTAAATGATGGTTATGTTCTGAGATGCTGTGTTTGTTAATCACGAGAACAGTGGGAGGAACAGGTTTTTCTGCTGTTGAGTGCCAATTTTCATGTCAGAAAGGCATTTTTGTTATTTGTTTTAAGTTGAGAAATTCATAGATGGAGAAAAAACATTCTGCAATGCTGTCTGTCAACACAGAGATTTTTCTCCTCGTGTTTGTCACTCTGCATTAAAAGCTGTGTTAGTGTTTGTCTCTCTGAGGTGAAAATCAGGGTAATGAAGCCTGAGGGGCAGAGCGGTTAGTTCAGCTGATCCATCAGTCCTGTCCTCCTCACTGGAGTCTGTTCCTCTGTGTGCAGGAAGGTGTTCTTCACAGACTACGGTCAGATCCCCAAAGTAGAGCGCTGTGACATGGACGGCCAGAACCGGACCAAACTGGTGGACAGCAAGATCGTGTTCCCCCACGGCATCACGCTGGACCTGGTCAGCAGGCTGGTGTACTGGGCCGACGCCTATCTGGACTACATTGAGGTGGTGGACTACGAGGGCAAGAATCGGCACACCATCATCCAAGGCCTGCTGGTGAGAAAACCTGACTCGGACGTATGTGCCGAATAATGATCTGCACGGCTCTTTAACACGCCTCGGGGCTCTACATTTACTCTTCATAACCTTGATGTTACCTCCATGTAGTCCTTTAATGCTGTTTTGGCCTTCAAGTTACGAGCGGCGAGAAGATGGAGAACGTTTACCTTTCCATTACGCGGGCTGATAAATGGCGTCCGGCGCCCGGTCCAGTAGAGCAGCTGCTCGGGTGAAGCACAGCAGCTCTTGAAACTGTCAGCAGAGCTTTTGATGTGACCTTTGGGGAAGCAACAGCTTTCTTTTACTCACTGAGCGAAAGGGCGCAGACATACACACACACACACACACCTCCACCTCTTGTTTTCTGAGTGTGTGTGTGTGTGTACCTGTTCCAGGCCATTAGCACACAGGCATCCTTCTCGTAATATCGAACAGAGGGGTTGCTTTTGATGGTGTGGAGCTACAGCTTTTTAAAATCTCACATATGTAATTTGACGAGGCATCATTTGTGCTCTGAAAGGAACATTATGTCCAGATAGAGAGAGCCTATTATTAATCTGCACCAATAAATGATCTAATGCTCACTCAAATTTAACAGAGTTTGATACTAATTTGTTTCCAGTATCATTATTGCGCTGGGCGTACATGTGTTGTGTTTTTTCTGGCTTTCAGTGTTTCTGTAACTCTGGGAAATGCGCTGCTCCATCTCTGAGGTTTTATTCCTGTGCTGTTCCTGCCCCTTAAGACTCCCCTTTAAGTCTGGTCTGTGTTGCCTCACAGGTGGAGTCTCTCACACTTTTTACGCTTCCTGATAGAAACCGGTTTGCCTATAAATTCTGTCTTTTGAGAGCACTGAAACCTCTTCTCTTTCTGTCTCTGCTATTCAGCGTTGTGCAGACTCATGTCATGTATTACAAAGCTCCCCCCTCCCAGTAAATGGCTTCTCAGATTGTATATATCTGGATACCACAAAGATTTGCTTTTAGCTGCCGAACCACATCTGTGAGCTTGGTTTATTAAACTGCCAGTAACCATGGAAACATTACTTTTCTCACATGCTGCATTTCAAGCTTTCACTCTATGAAAAAGAACAAAACAAATAACAAACCACAAGCACCCGAAAACAACGCCCTTGGAAAGAAAAAAGAACAAAGAACATAATGATTAGGAGAAAATGAAGGGGATAATCCAAAACATGTCTTGTTTTTGTGATCAGGCATGCTATAGTCATACAGTATTTTTCTGAAAACATTCTCTCATAGTGTTCAGCTTCCAGAACATGTCTGCATGTTTAAAGCTCTGACCATATCAACAATATCCTCCAGTTTTCTATTTAGTGTTTTAGATTAAGCTCAAAGGTTACATAAATGAGCAAATGATAGACTCAGAGCCTATCATTTTTTACTATTCCCAAGAGCTTGTTTTTATCAACTCGTTTTTGTAAACTATCATTAGAAAAACAGCATAACGCTCAAAGATAACTGAAATTAATTTGATTAAAAAATATTCTATTAATTCCCCAAAAAGGGAAATGACCTTGTTGCTATATACATTATATTTCTTCAATTTTCCTAAAGCCAACAACAGTTGGGAATGTAGCTGAACTCTTACTTACATATGTCGAAAAACTTTACAGGACCTTTACAGGAACGCGTCTGCTGCCTGGTCTCTGTGAAGGCAAATACCCTCTGTGTCCTCATTAGTTTGCCACACCCGCCCACTTTGTATGCCTGTGATCTCACAGTCTCATAAAAGATAGAGGAAAGAAGCCTCCCTGTTTTTTTTCTCTGTTCTGCTCCATCCCCTTATCTTTGATGCTGTCTCTTTTCAGTGATCTTGATGTAAGATCCTCCTCTAATCACCACTAAAGCTTCCCAACAGCCAGTCAGCTGTTCCAAGATGTAAACAGCTTTCCCTTTGGCATGGTTGCTCATAACCACTCAATCGTTAAGCGATTTAAGACGTCCCAAACCGTCTGCAGGAATCCCAAATGCACACATTTCTAAACCGAATGTCTTAGTGGGGAAAGGCCTCATTGGAAAGGGATCAAGTGCTTCAGTAGTTCATTTGACCCAGTTCCATCATTTCCCATTTTTTCCTGTGTTTAAATGTTCTCTTCTTTTTTTTGTTCTTTCCTTTTTCAGATCGAGCATCTATACGGACTGACGGTGTTTGAAAACTATCTGTACGCCACCAACTCAGACAGTGCTAACATGCAGCCCAAGACCAGCGTGATCAGGGTCAACCGCTTCAACAGTACAGACTACCAGGTGGTGACCAGGGTGGACAAGGGAGGGGCGCTGCACGTCTATCACCAGAGAAGACAACCTCCAGGTAAACACGCACTCGTCCGCAGTCTCATTCTTTGTGCTCAGAATGTCGTTCTTCTGCTTTGGAGATTTCATTTCTCCCCTTCCCGTTGGTTCCCAGTGCGGAGCCATGCCTGTGAGGTGGACCAGTTTGGGAAACCTGGAGGCTGCTCGGACATCTGTCTCCTGGGGAATGGACACAAGACCCGGACCTGTCGCTGTCGCTCTGGGTTCAGCCTGGGAAGTGATGGCAAGTCCTGCAAAAGTGAGTGTGACAGCGGTTCAACGTACTTCTACAACTGGGCTTCAGCGACTGCAAATCAACCGCCGTTCTTTTAAAAGTCACCCGTCTCTCTCAGAGGATTCACACGCACACAGCCCAGCCCTGTCACCATGGGAATGTCCTTCTGTTTTTGTTGGGAGTTGGTGAGGACAATTATGTTGAGTGACAGTCCAAATTGTCTCAATTGACTTAATCACTGGGTCAACTGGCTAATGTTTCATTTTAGGAACATTTTTCAACATTAAAGTAAATCTAATTTGTTGCCACATGACAGCCAGTAACACCAAGAGTATATTGTCCAAAGTGCTCTGAGCCTTCTGTGTCTTTGCCATGCGTGAGTACACAGATGCAGTTCGCTTGTAAGATTTCAGGCTGGATTCAAAATCTTTCTTATGTGCACAATCTGCCGCGAGGCTTTTAACGTACGCAGATGGTACATCAGCTAATTTCACAAGCAGCCAGTGCTTAAAATGTCAAAACACTTCTTAAACAAGAGTTAAACTAATGTTGAGTGGACTACAAATAAGATTTTAGCCAACGATAGCTAGAATTGAATCATCAGATCGGTTGCCAAAAATCATCAGTTTACCAGTTTGCTCGGTGTGTTGTCTAACTAAGCAGCAATGCTGGCAGATAATGTTTGACAAAATACCAGATTCTTGTGAGAGAAGATTAAGTGTTGGCATGTACCACATAAATATTTGTTTTGTGCACCTCATTATGCAGGAGTTTATGCAGTTTCATCTTTATTAATCAGCTTTTTAAATTGATTGTGGGCACCCTCTCTGCACACACTTTGGAGTCTAATGAAATGACTCTCTTTACTTTCTCCACATAAACTCTCCATCACACCCATGTAGGTTTAGGTTAGAGTCAGTCAATTATTGCTTTTCTATCTTTCAATGTTATTCTTTTAAGGATATCATTTTTGATCACTTTACTATTACATAACCTAGTTTTAACCTGTCTGTGTCCCTCCCTGCGTTCCTTATTGATCCTTTCTCCAGCAATGTATAAAGTTGTATTTAGCAATTTATTTAACCCCAACACAAAACTTGAATCAGCTATTTTTTCCAGTACAGCCCTTTTGTTTGGGGTTCTGCCTTTGAGTCAGTGCTATCAGTTTCAGTTTACTTGAGCAAAGTAAAGATTTTTACATGATCCTCTTTCAGAAGTCAAACTTGGGCTCAGATGGATACATCTGGATGCTTGGTTTTGATGAAGTCGTTTATAAATGTGTAAATGTACAGCAAAAATGTTGAAACCACATCACTGTAGCTTACATTCACCACGTCCATAACCGATGTGCACATGCTTCCAGCTTAGCAGAAACTATAAACATTGGAGCCACATTAAGTCAACTTCCAAGCAGAGACAGAGTCAAGGCCATTATGCCCGCCTTCCAGACCATGGAAGTCTGAATATTCTTTCAAATTCTTGTCATATATGATTTAACTTTAAAAATCCACTTGGGTTTAAACTGTGAAGCATGTGCTAAGTGCCGTGGCTTTGTATAGAAGATGCAGGAGTGTCCTCGACTGGCTTACTATATGAAATCTGTCTTTCGGATTTAAGATTTCTTAACATTTTTGTCAGGACATGTGTTCACACATTTGATAAGCCAGTTTTGATCTTACTAAGAAATCAAGATTTTTACAGTTATCCTGTTAAACACACTGTATGCTGAAGTTTTGACACCACTTTTATCTCATTTTGCTGCAGAACCTGAGCACGAGCTCTTCCTGGTTTACGGTAAAGGCCGCCCGGGCGTCATCAGAGGCATGGACATGAATGCCAAGGTGCCTGATGAGTACATGATCCCGATTGAGAATCTCATGAACCCGAGAGCTTTGGACTTTCATGCTGAGAGCGAGTTCATTTATTTTGCTGACGCCACCAGTTACATCATTGGCCGACAGAAGATTGATGGAACAGAGAGGGATATAATACTGAAGGAAGGTATAGTCCCATTTGCTAATATGATGAATGTGGATTGTATCTCCAACAGCTCATTATTGTCCTAATTGTATGTCTTAAAGATTTTTAGTAATGAATATCTAAACGTTAAAAAAACAAGCTGTGATATAAAGTTAACATTTGAATTATATAATTCCAGTATATGATACTCAAATATGGATTTGTTTCATGTCAGGGATTCACACAGTCGAGGGTATTGCTGTGGATTGGATGGCCAACAACTTGTACTGGACAGATGACGGACCAAAGAAAACTATCAGTGTGGCTCGATTGGAAAAGGCCTCACAGACCCGTAAAACGCTGATTGAGGGGAAAATGACTCACCCTCGGGCCATTGTGGTGGATCCTCTTCACGGGTAAGGCTGGACAGAGAGCTGAGCTGGACGGATGGAGCTGTTATTGTTCCATAGAAGGATAAGAGCTGTAGTTATGTCTTCGGCTCCTCTGTTTGTCACACCTCTCCACAACAGTGTAATTGTGTCTCAGGTTATCTTCCCGTTTATTTCTTTAGCTGCTTTTGGACCCCATGTGAAAAGTGAAAAGTGCTTTGTTTACTTGATGTTAGCCATCGGTGGGTCCTGATCTTTCAGTATGTGCTTTTGTCCACTGCCCCCCTGAACTGTGATGTTCCTTTTGATTACAATTTATTAAAGTAGATGGATAATCCTGGGGTTTACCAGATGGATTCCTCCACAGGCTGATTCACATGCAGTTATATCTCTTTTGCACGGTATCAAAGAGCACTTAATCAAGCTGTGCAAGGATGGGCCTCTCTGATAAGGCCTCCCAGGCTTTCCATTGAGCGAGGCACATGGTGGAGAACACACAAACTCACTGGCAAACACACACTCACAAACACACTCGCACACTCTTTGGATTGCCAATGACAACATGATGTGTGTCCACACACTTCCCAGGGGAGAGGCACTCGCTTCCACTAATGCTTGTAATCAATCAGGCTCAGCGAGCAGGGAAGATAGGCTCTGAGAAAAGAAATGGACGAGAAAGGGAAAGATTGAAAAGAAAATATGAAATGTTAATGATAATGTCAGTCATATTCCCGTGACAAGGAGGATTGGGATTCTAGATCTGCATAATTGGAGCAAGCCAGTATTCGGCGGTTTACCCAGATCAGAGGTGTGATTGACAATTCCTCTGTACGTTTTTGGCCTTCGGCGACACTGACTGGGAGACACTGCTGTGCTTCTCCCATTGGGTGCCCAGTTTAGTGCTTGTTGCCTTTGGGCAGCAGATAAAATGCCAAAGTTTTCAATACTGCGCATTAGCTTCATGCTTAAACCTTTAGTGTAATAGAATGAGCCTACATTTGGAATTTGTCTTGTTTTTTTTCCTCAGATGGATGTATTGGACAGACTGGGAGGAGGACCCTAAGGAGAGCAAGCGAGGCAAAATTGAGCGGGCCTGGATGGACGGCTCCAACAGAAATGTCTTCCTGACCAGCAAAACCGTGCTGTGGCCAAACGGTCTGAGTCTGGACATCCCACAGGGCATTCTCTACTGGGTGGATGCCTACTACGACCGCTTGGAGATGGTCTACCTGAACAATTCCGTGCGCAAGGTCCTGCTATGTTCATCATCAGAATATTTTTGCTGCTTTCTACAGACAGAATTGTTTGGCGAGATCAACCTGAGTGGGGTGTTTAAGTGGGCTTCAAAAAACTGTGAGAGCAATAACAAGGAATCATTTTAAAGCAGTGGGTGGTCCATTACGCTCAGTGGCCTTAAGCTTTTTAAATCTGGTCTCTCGTTGTGTTTCGTTTGATGATATTTTGCCTTTAGTGACATGTGTTGGTCAAGTGGAGCTGGATTGTGCATTGGGAATGAATGCAGAAATCCGTATGTGGATTGGAATGAATGAAATCTAAACATGAACAGCCACAACCTCCTTAGCACTTAAAAAGCTATTTTTGGATGGTTGATTATCAAATGCATTAAAAAAAAAACTTTAAAAAACACTTATATGCTCATTGATTTAAAATCACCCCAACTGACTGAGAAAGTGGAGTGTGCCGGCCAAATTATCTCAGGGTTTGTTGCAATTTAAGCATTAACTGCCTGAAAACAGGGGCCATTACGTTCTTTCTTCACTGTGAAGTACTTTAGGAATGCTTGCAGCAGTACTTCTGGGTATAGAAGACATTGTACAGTCTGGAGTTCCTTAAAAATAGACCTTACCATCTGTCTGCTTTTCTCACATCAACAGACGGTGTATGAAGGTCAGGAGCTGAACCACGCCTTTGGTTTATGCCACTATAAACACTTCTTGTTCTGGAACGAGTACCGCAGTGGCAGCATTTACAAGCTGGACACCACCACCGGCACGGCCACTCTGTTGCGCAACGAGCGGCCGCCCATCTTCGAGATCCGGATGTACGACGCTCAACAGCAGCAGGGTACCGAGCACAAACATTCACACCACATACGTCTTTCTTTGAAAAGGTGGACTCACCCCTTTTTCCCCTCATCTGCAGGCACCAATAAATGTCGCGTGAACAATGGGGGCTGCAGCAGTCTGTGTCTGGCCACGCCAGGAGGCAGACAGTGTGCCTGTGCAGAGGACCAAATACTAGACCCAGCTGACAACGCCAGCTGCAGAGGTACGGGGCTTTTATGAGCATTTTGTGATATTGGGTGGGATACTTTAGTGTATGTGACTGGAACTATTTCCCCCTTTCTATTAATATTGAAACAGATCAGGACAAACAAAGGGGGTGGCCACAGTAACGGCTTCATAACGAAGAGGAATGCAGTATTTGCCGTTTTGCGGTTTAGAATAATTAAGGCTATATTTTCTCTTATCCAAGCTCTTGAGATGAAATCTTTGTGAAGGTCAGCACACTTTTATCTGGGTATGTTAGGAATTGTTTTGCCGTTACTGCGGGCCTTGTGCTGTGGTAGGTTTTGACAAATGGTTTCAAATGTTCTTGTAATTCCTCTTTTCCACAAAACTCTTCCATTTTCCTCCCGTAGAAAATTGTCCAAATGGCGTCTGTTTACATCCTTTCCGAGTTCTTTCGCACATCCTCTTAAATCCCCGTCTTCTCCTTCACAGCCAACCCCTCTTACGTGCCCCCTCCTCAGTGCCAGCCAGGAGAGTTTGCTTGTAAGAACAACCGCTGCATCCAGGAGCGCTGGAAGTGTGATGGAGACAACGACTGCTTGGACAACAGCGATGAAGCTCCTGAGCTGTGCCGTGAGTCACTGAGCTAATGAACAAAAACACCAAATCCCAACCCATTTTTTTTTTGGGTTGCTGGTTCAGAGTCAAACAACCCCCGGCTGTTTGAAAGTCTCAGTCTGCTGATGCCAAAAATGAAAGGAGAAAGCAGATCTGAAGAGTGTGATTAGGAGTATATGTGGGTGCAACAAAATGTGACTGTTTTGTGAAAGGAGGAATGCAGCAGCTTCTGTTGGTCTGGGAAAGCTTTCCTCCCCTCTCTTCCTCTCTGTCTGTGGTCAATGTGCAGACAGGTTTTCTTTCCAGACAAAACAAGTCCAGTCCAAAAACAGCCCCCTCTTCCCCTCATTTGGATCTCACATCTCTCCACTTTTCACCTTTCTATTCCCCATCTCCACCACTGTCTGCTCATTTCCCTGTTTCTCTTCGGCCTCTCACAGCTCCCTTTCTCCTCCACAGACCAGCATACTTGCCCCACGGATCGATTTAAATGCAAGAACAACCGCTGCATCCCCCTGCGCTGGCTATGCGATGGAGATAATGACTGCGGGAACGATGAGGACGAATCCAACACCACCTGCTCGGGTACACGCACCTCCTCTCACTCAGGCAGAGCTGATGGGCATCATTTGGTCTCCACACTCGATGTGAGCTCTGTCTTAATGTGTTTTAGCCCGTACCTGCCCGCCCAATCAGTACTCGTGCGCCAGCGGGCGCTGCATCCCCATTTCCTGGACGTGTGACCTGGACGATGACTGTGGCGATCGGTCGGATGAGCCCGCTTCTTGTGGTCGGTCATCTCAACGTTAGAGCTCTTTGCACAGGTTGCTGTCACGGGCAAAAGATTGATCCTCTCTCTGTGTTGTCTTGCAGCCTACCCCACCTGTTTCCCCCTCACGCAGTTCACCTGCAACAACGGGCGCTGCATCAACATTAACTGGCGCTGTGATAATGGTTAGTTTCTGCCTCTGGCTGTTTGATTCTTTTCGCAGGTTGCAGCTCTTTGCCTCCCTTTAGCAATGTTTGCCATTCGTGTTTGGGCACCAGCCTTTTATTTGCATCCATTTTGCTTTTTGCCATCTCGTGCATTTGGTTTTGTTGTTCTCTTTTGTGCTGTACGCCCACTCTGCTGTCTTCCCTTGGTTCTGTCTTTCAGAAAAGGATTGTGGGGACGGCTCTGATGAGTTGAATTGTCCAAAGCTGACCGGTTAGTGCATAGATCAACATGCACCACAAAAGCTACGACGCTAGCCAAAGCTTTAAGACTGACCAGTCAGGGCTGCTTTCTAACTGCCTCTAAACTGCCTCGAGCTGAGGCCTAAAGCACTGCCTTCATTAAATGTGCTGCTCACGAATTTGATCAGTGAAACATCATTTCATTTTGTAGGGATTTATTAGGATTACAGGTAGCTGCTGACATATATTACTCCAGAATATTTTCTAGAAGATTATGCAGTTAAAGAGAGGTTACATTAAGATGGCTTTTTAAAAGAATACTTAATGAAAATGCTGAAAATGCTATGCTGCAGAGCTCAATGTATCAGCGCTGGGTACATTCCCCTCATGGTGCATGTTCTGATCTATGCAGTTTCTGTCATTTAAACTCTCATCTTTCTTATTCTCTCTCATGTGCTTTCAATGTCGATGTGTTAATTGTTTCAAAAGTCAAAAAAGCGATCTCTTCCTGGATACACCGATGAATCTTTGTTCTCTTTGAGGTATTGGCTGCCCTTTAAGTGTGAGAGCGAGTGTTGGCTGACTTCATTTTTTCCCCAGATAATGACTGTGGGGACAACAGTGATGAAGCCGGTTGCAGCCACTCCTGTTCCAGCACTCAGTTCAAGTGTAACAGCGGCCGCTGCATCCCAGATTATTGGACCTGTGATGGCGATAATGACTGTGGGGACTACAGCGACGAGACCCATGCAAACTGCACCAATCAGAGTCAGTGCTCTCCACCTGCACATCCCATGTCATTCCAAAACCGTTATGTAGTGTTAAATTCTTTTCCACCCCAAATAAAAACAGGAGCGGACGTGGAGTCAGCTTGTTAAAAAAAATGTCTGCTGCTAAGTTAGCACCATGCAACTATGTTTTCAGTTCATTTGCTTTTGAGGAGAATTTCACAGGCTGCTCATGTTCGTACACCTACACAAAGAACGTCCTACTCTCTAATTAAGACAGAGTAATTCCAACATCTTTGAAAAGTGGGACACTATTTCATGAGATACCATGCAGAAGGGACCATGTCAGAAAAAGAATGGCATTGACCTGAGGAATATCAGTACTGTTGTTAAGAACATACGACACATACGTACCAATCCTGTGTCCACTGGACGCGAAAATATCACAGTTCTACATGATGCACTGAGCGGTTTGGTTTTGATTGAAGGAACATGACACAATAAATAACTCTTTAAAATTTTAAACTAATGGTCAGGTCTGTTCACATTGCATTGTGTGTCTCTCTTGCTGTTAATTTGTACTTGTTTTTCTTCCATAAAATAAATAACTTGGCAGCGTTTCATCCTAAAATTAGTATATGTCCCCTAAAGCAGCATGACTGTTCTAACAGATTGAAATGTAAAGATTTCAAACTGAAATATTTAGAACTGATACAGTTTTATCCCTTGTTATCCTGTAAAATTTACCTCAGGTTTAACTTCTATGTTCTAGAGTGCTGATTTTGTTTTGTTCTTTTAAATGCACTTCTTTTTTTACAGAGCACAACTCTAATGGTAGTTATTATCTTGAGTAGGTGATTGTGTCTCAGCAAAGCCTTGATTAATTCATGTATTATACCCAGAAGTGCAGTCAACACAAAGATTAAAGCAACGGTTTACATTTGTCACCTTCACTCAAAGTTGAAATGAGTTTATTAGATAGCTTTTCATTTGAAACTTCAACATGATTCTGATATATCATCCTATAATTGAATGTTTCCACTGTGGAACAAAATGATTCACTGTCAGCTGGCATTATGACTAAAACAACAACTCTCTGAGAGCTAGCTGTAGTCTGTTGTGTTGCATCACCCTTTCTGTTGGTAAGATTTGTTGCAATGGAGAAGTAATGAGCTTTCTTCTAGACATGTTTCTGTCTTCTGCTGATTGAATTAGCACATTTCGGCTACCCCGTGCTGTGCGTGGTTTGATACGTCCACGAGCTAACTGATAATAACAATATCATCGCGGGGTCTTTCAACATCTTTTCTTTTTGTCCCCCAACAGCCACGCGCCCGCCTGGCGGTTGTCATACGGATGAGTTTCAGTGTCAGACGGACGGCCTGTGCATCCCCATGCGCTGGCGCTGTGATGGAGATACAGACTGCATGGACATGAGCGATGAGAAGAACTGTGAGGGCGTCACTCACATGTGCGATCCAGCTGTGAAGTTTGGCTGCAGGGACTCTGGTGAGAAGACCTGCCGAAATACGTGGAAAAACTTACAGTTTTAGATAATCCTGTTTTCTGAGGTGGTCCTGCCTTCTGTCTGCAGCACGCTGCATCAGCAAAGCTTGGGTCTGTGATGGGGACAGTGACTGTGAGGACAACTCGGATGAAGACAACTGCGAGGCACTGGTGTGTAAGCTCTCTCACCACGTGTGTGCCAACGACTCCACCATCTGCCTGCCTGCAGAGAAACTTTGCGATGGCACTGATGACTGTCCAGATGGCTCTGATGAGAAACTCTGTGGTAAGAAACAGCAGTACCCAAACTGTGTTTCAGAGCAAGGAGTGCAGAACTGTAAGTTCTACTCTACGTCCTAAGACGTGGCCTCGTTGGTCTTAATTTTCCTTCTTTTGCAGATTTGTGTTCTATGAACAACGGCGACTGTAGCCATAACTGCACAGTGGCTCCCGGTGAGGGCGTGATCTGCTCCTGCCCGCTGGGGATGGAGTTGGGTTCCGACAATAAGACTTGTCAGATCCAGAGCTTCTGCGCCAAGCACCTCAAGTGCAGTCAACGCTGTGAGCAGGACAAGTTCAGTGTGAAGTGCTCGTGTTACGAGGGTTGGGAACTGGAGCCTGACATGGAAAACTGCAAGAGCACGGGTAAGGCACCCGCTCGCAAAAAAAGGGTACAGGGTGGACAGTCAGGTGACTCTGGCTTTGTTGCCATGGGACAAAATGAAGGACAATGGGTGTCAGCAAATTAGATTAATTATACCAAGACTGACTGTCCTGTGAAAGCAAAGCCATTAATGATGTCCTGATAAAGATGTTTTTAATTGATCTGCGTTATCTCACACTATGTATATACATAACGTGTGTATCTGTATATATACTGTATATATATATATATATATGTAATTTCAGCTGTTTCTATGCTTGTTCAAAGCTTTCTGATGAGACATTTTAATTGAAAACCAAATATATTTTGGATCTGTGAAAAAAAGAAAAGAAAATCTGATCTCTTACCCTGTTCGCGCTGAAAGAATTGTGCTATAAGAAACAGCCTGATCTGAGTAAAAAGAATCTTAATGGGGACATCCCCTGTGTCAACACAAAAATGGAAAAGATGATTTATTATTCAAGTCAGTCTATGTAGGGTGAAAAGGTTCCCTGAGAAAATGTAAGAAGACTTCAGTGGTGACTGCCAGCTCTCATTATTATTTAATGAAAAGATTTAGAGCATCAAAGAATGAAACGCAGAAGCAGAGGTGTTTTTTTCTACTAAAGTCACCAAAACGGGCGAGTTGTTTCAAGCAGAACCTGATGGGTCACCCCAAAATCACATTTGAATGCATTATTCCTAAATATTCCTCAGCATTTAGCAGTTATCTCCTTACAGCTGCTGACCGATGAGGAAATGTTCACATATGCTGCTCCTCTTTGTTACCAATTTTTTACCGGCTGGCTGGCAGCTCCCTGTCACTCATCCAGTCTGGCTGCCTCCCTGTTGGTTGCAGATAACTCCTTTCATATTTTTTTTTACTGAATTTTAATTACCTGGGATTAGAGCCACTTTAAAGCCTGCTCATTGATTGGACAACTTACACGTGGTCGGGGAAGATGGCTGCTCTGTCTTTGATGCTGTGCGGTGGAGCCATTCTGCTGTCCTTTGAGTATTAATTATTTAACCATGAAAATGGACTCTTGAGATTTTAAAATCTATTTTATGCAAATGTCCTGGCCAATGCAGGCAGCAGCTCAGTTCAGTATTGTGTGTCTACTGTTGTACACAACATAACAGTTAACAGTCTATGCTTACAGCTACATGCACAAAAACGCACCGTCTTTTCATTTGCCGCCCAGTTAGCTGGCCTCCACTTCAGATTTACTCAGTTAGCAAGAGACTATGGCTATCTCAAAGTTTTTTTTTTTTTTTTTGACAGATTGAGGGCCCCTGTACGAGTTTAGAATGAGAATAGGTGTGTGTCTGTGTGTGGGGTGGAAAAATTGCAATATGTGTAACAAGTAGAACTGCTCAAGTAAAGGTTTGAGCCTCGATCGTGTGGGTGGTTCCAGTTTGAAAGACAGCCTCTCATGTTTGTTCCTGATTGTGTTTTCCACAGATCCCTTTAAACCCTTTATCATTTTCTCAAACCGCCATGAGATCCGGCGCATTGATCTGAATAAGGGGGAGTTCAGCGTTTTGGTCCCTGGCCTCAGGAACACCATCGCCCTTGACTTCCATCTCAGTCAGAGTGCCCTCTATTGGACCGATGTGGTGGAAGATAAGATCTATCGTGGAAAGCTCTCAGAGAATGGGGGTGAGCTTTTCTTTACACACAATGCGTCCTTTCCTGCACCTTCTTTGGCTATGGTTGATTTGGCAGATATGCATCCACTCAGTTTCTTTTGGTGGATAACATTCAGACAGATCCTGGATTGTTTTCTTTTTTTAAAAAAGAATATCAGAGTTGAAAACGTTACGCAGAATTTCTTCAGAACTGCTGCGGTTTATTTTAACTAGTCGATTTCACTTGATTTATTTTAAGTGATACCAAGCATCTGGGACTATCCTGTAAAAAAACAAAAACCAACAGATATTGTGCGCTACACTGTTTTGAAATGTGGTCAGCATCAGTGTTGGTGCTGTGGCGTCCTATTAGCAGAAAAGTCCTCTTGCCTAATAAGGCCAGAACAGTCGATCGTGACCTGTGCCATTGGTAAACAAGGCCTCGTCATCTCTGCAGAACTGATAATGATGACCTTATGTGTGCACGTCTGCGCTGAGGCTATGTGACTTACATGGGTATTTTGTTGTGTGCCGTGTTTACACACCCATACGCTGCATACAGACCGTGTGTTTTCATTGTTTCTGACAGGATAATGACTCATCCCAAATAATCACTCATCACACTGATTAGAGGGCCAGTGGGGAAATTAAAGGGTTAGAGAGAGGCAGGAGAATGCCTCTCTTTAGCCCTGACACCGCAGATTTAAGAATTTCTCTGTAATTGTAGTGCTTCATCACCTTTTTCTGTTATCGTGCTGACGTATGTCTCCCAAAACCAACCTGTCATCTAGAGAGCCATTCGAAAATGCAACTTTAGCTTTGATTCCAGATAGTCTGATTACAGCTACACAATCTCTCAACGGATGAGCCAGATGCTTCCACAGAAAAGGTGTCATCAGCAAATCCCAGAAAGAGAGGCATTTCTATAAATATTTAAAAGGAGGCAATTCAGTTTGAACTTCAACACCAGAAAATAGGATTTGATGTTGTGGATTGGTTTGTTACATACTGAAATATGACATAATATGACATAATCCGGTTTATAATTGAAATTATTGAGAGATTTGACCGACTTTGTGCTTGTTTTTCTTTTCGCTAGATGAAGGGGATTGATAAATAAAAGATAAATAAAACCAGTCCTATCTCTCCCATCTCCCTCTTGTAGCTCTGACTAGCTTTGATGTGGTAATCCAGTATGGGCTGGCTACGCCTGAGGGTCTAGCAGTGGACTGGATTGCGGGAAACATTTACTGGGTGGAAAGTAACCTCGATCAAATCGAAGTTGCCAAGCTGGATGGCACCATGAGGACAACGCTACTGGCTGGGGAGGTGGAGCACCCCCGAGCTATTGCTCTTGACCCCCGGGATGGGTAACAGCCTCCTGCATATCAAACATTGCAAATTCACAAAAAGTTGCCAAGTTTAATTAACAGTTTTCATCCTGGCATCATATGCGAATGGTCAATTTTATGTGCTTTTTGTGGCATGATTTTGCAGGATTCTCTTTTGGACTGACTGGGACGCCAGTTTACCAAGGATTGAAGCTGCATCCATGAGTGGAGAGGGCAGGAAGACTATCCACAAGGAGACCGGCAACGGGGGCTGGCCAAACGGGCTAACTGTGGATTATCTGGAGAGGCGCATCCTCTGGATCGATGCCAGGTCAAATGGGCAGCAAAAATACATTTCCATAAGAACCTTTTCTTCCTAAATTCCTTAATCACATGTATTAAAAAATGTTCTGTACACAGGTCTGATGCCATTTACTCAGCAAAGTACGACGGTTCTGGACTAATTGAGGTTCTGAGGGGCCATGAGTATCTGTCACATCCGTTTGCTGTCACCATGTATGGTGGAGAGGTTTACTGGACGGACTGGAGGACAAACACGCTGGCAAAGGCCAACAAGTGGACCGGCAGCAACGTGACTGTGGTCCAGAGAACCAACACGCAACCCTTTGACCTGCAGGTCTACCACCCTTCCAGACAGCCACAAGGTATGACCTGCACACGTCCACTGCCTGTCACATGTCTGAACAGACTGCAGGCTTCTGAAAAGCACAAGAAAGACAAACTGAAATAGAAATGTAATTGAACATAAAAACAAAAGAAAATGAAGAAATGAGGGGGAACTAAATACTACCAGTCTTTAAAGTGAAATATGTTTAAATGCAAACTGACCTCAAGCAAAACAATGATGACCTGTGAGACATATGTGTCATGGATCCTGTCTGTGCTCACGTCTTCCTAGCTCCTAACCCGTGTGAAGCTAAAGACGGCAAGAAGCCCTGCTCTCACCTCTGTCTAATCAACTTCAATCAGACTTTCTCATGCGCTTGTCCTCACCTCATGAAGCTGGGAGACGACAAGCGTACCTGTTACGGTAAGCCTGAGCAGTAACACAAAGAAAACCTCTGTTGTTGTATGGGAAAAGTTGTTTATTTACTTGTTTGGATTTTTCTTTTCCTTATTAGCAGTATGTCTCTGTCATAGAAGGACTTTTTTTCCCCGTTTTTCCCTTTTTTTTTTGCACTTTGAGGCGCAAATGCTGTGAGAACTGTGGAGCATATTAAAGTGTTTGTCAGTGCGAAGTGAGAGCCGGGCCTGTTTGCTCAGTGTGTGAGTTTAGTATTCTGGGCGGCGCTCAGTGTTATCTTCGGGGGTAATGGAACGGAGGGCTGTGTTTTGACTGATGCAAGCTGCAGCCAGAGCCCTTCCCGGGGCTGGCTGATACAGCCTCACACTGTCATTACACTCTCCTCTCCATTTCCCTCTCGCTTTCTTCCTGTCCGTCATTTAAGCTGCTCACGTTTAAAATCGTTGAGTGCTGGGACCATCGCAGTGGTAATGCATCCGCCCTGATTAAATGCCCTCTCACCAACATGGCTGCACTATTGAGTTAGCCAGCCAGATGCAATCGTTTGAGTCAAAGATGCAATTAGATTAAATGTTTGTTCAAGTGGGGGGATGATGTGCACTGAAGCACCCATCCATGCTGCAACCATATATTCACAAATCTGCCATCCACGTCTTCTCAGGGATTCCAATTTTGCCCTGGTGCCACATTTAACTCTTCATTTTTCACGCTACTGAGATCTCGTTTTCTCTGGCAGAGTCGCGGCAGTTTTTGCTGTACGCCCGACAGATTGAGATCAGAGGAGTGGACGTAGACAACCCATACTACAATTATATAATATCTTTCACTGTGCCGGACATCGACAACGTGACTGTGGTGGACTATGACGCCCTGGAGCACCGGATCTACTGGTCAGACGTCCGAACGCAGACGATAAAGAGAGCTTTTATCAACGGCACTGGAGTTGAGACCGTCGTCTCTGCTGGTAAGGAGGCAATCCAAAAGCTCATCGTTTTTTTTTAACAAAGACTTTATTTTATCAGATCAATATTCAAAATCAATGAATAATACAATAAGTCAGAAACAGCAGTTTCCAATACCACCATACAAACAGTTGAACAACAACAACCAAACAAGTCGGTGAGCTGAAAATCCAGAATTTTTTACATGGGGGGATGAAATAGAGGAAAAATCTTTCTCGATTGACTATTGTCTTTATCATAACAGAGATATATGTTAAGTCTACCTATAAAATGTGTACCCGTGTGTTACTTACTACAATATTGACTGGAGATATTTCTTCAGAGGGTTCCATCTTTTCTCAAATAAACCAGTGGACAAGTTCAATTTTGCTGTTATTTTCTCCATCGTATAAACATTCACTAGTTTCTCTTTCCATTGATTTACAGTAGGGGGTAAAGGTTTATACCAACCTATTGTTATCATTTTTTTGGCTACGAGAACGAGGATACCAAATAAGTATTGTTCTTCTTTACTTAAATTATTTGGGGGAACTCCCAGAACAAAGAAGCTCATCGTTTTAAAAAGTTTCAGATGTTTTTTTTTAAAGAGGCAGACCTAATGTGAACTGACAAGACCCAGATTTTATTGTTTAGAATTGGAGAAAAACTCTCTCTTTATACGAGAGAGAAAGTAAAAGTGTGACTTTTCTTGGGGTTGTTTTACAAGGTCCTCCTTAAAGTTGCAATATGATCATTTTTTTAAATGTCTTTATGTTTAAATAACAAAAAACACAATTTCAGGTTTGAAATAAACAATATATCCATAACAGAAGCAGTGATTCACTAACCCTAATCTGACAGCCTATGTATTTCCTCAAGTGCAGATCCTTTGTGCTTAGGAGTTCCATACAAAAAAAACTGTCACCTAAACACATGGGGGCATGGGCCCCTTTTCCCTGGAATTAGTCATTTTAGCTAAATCTATAAACCCAACCCCAACATGCTTATTTGTCCTGAAGGTTCATAAACCAAAGGAATGATCAGACTAATGTTGTTTACCTTTTGACAGACCTGCCCAACACTCACGGCCTGGCAGTGGACTGGGTATCCAGGAACCTGTTCTGGACCAGTTATGATGCCAATAAGAGACAGATTAATGTTGCTAGACTGGATGGCTCCTTCAAAAACGCTGTCATCCAAAACTTGGACAAACCACATTGTCTGGTCCTGCATCCAATACTGGGGTCAGTTGCTCACACAGACACACACACTCTCAGCATAAAGCTGCCCCCCCTTATAACACTGCGCTGTCTGGAGTTACTCTCAGACGCCCTCCTGATTTGTCTTTTAACGTACACTATATATGTATACCTAAGTGGACACACACACATTAAGTCTGCTTTTCAGCCTGACCTCCACATGCGGTCAGTGATTTTGTACACAGCAGATGGTTGCTAGCCCCTTTTGTCACTCACAAATTGGCTTCAGATGTTTTTTTCTCCCTCTTGTCAAATTTCCCTCTGGTTGCTCCTTTTCTACTTTTCTAAAGTCTGTGCTTAGTTTTTCTGAGTTTGATTTACCCCATCTAATGTTTGCCTCAGCATTCTGTCACTATTCCTGTGTCTCTTCAGTTTTCTTCTCTTTGTAAATCAGGTCCCTGTCTCCCCTTCCAAAAGGTCCTCTCCCCTAGCTCACCCCCAACTTAACCCCCCCCCCCTCCATTCATCAGTTATTTAGCAAGCTATCAGCATTCATGAATTTAGTTTTATAAGGAGGGGAAATGTGTCCTTTCCAGTGTTTGAGGTCAGTGAAGAAAGGTCTTGTTTTTGTTTACTCCTTCCTCTCTTTGAAGGTCTGAGCCCAGTTAAGCAGAGGAATTTTTTCCGATCTGAGTATTGTCAGCGGGTGGGAAAATGAGAAGCAGATGCTTGATCCATATGCTGGGCATGTCTGCTTTTTCTTCCACACAAACACACTTGACCCCACTAAGAGTGGGTCGGGTGAAAGAGGCGACTGAAACTCTCTGTGTTTACACAAAAATACGAGAATGTGGGAGTTTAAATGCCTTAGAGACTTTATTTAAAGACATGTTAACAAATATATTGAAGGGTGTGGAGGACGTGGTTGGATTTAGCAGGAAGTGGATGATGAAGCAGACGATACCTTTTAAACATATGTTACAGGCAGTCTAAACACAGTCACATTGTGTGATGAATATACAGGCCTCTATCCAACAATCAACCAATTAAAAAACTCATAAAAAATACCAGATAGAAGCTTTAAAAACTGCCATGAACCTAGATTATGCTAGCTTGTGGGCTATTTGCTATAATTTCCTTTAAAAGATGCCTTGTCCATGAATTATTACAGGTTTGGGCTTAATATAAAGTAGCTATAGAACAGCACAAGAGCCAGGATTGTAGAATACATTCTTCCTGTTCTGCAGTCCTAAGTTTAGGTAAATACCTCACATTTGACCCAACATCTATGTTGGGTTGCATCTATGAGTTGGTGCATTGCCCAAGGTAGTTCAAAATAAAGGCAAAGGTTCTGAAAATGGTCTCTCTTGCTCATGCGCTCTGGTTCTCTGCGTGCACCTCTGTTAGGAAGCTGTACTGGACAGATGGGGACAACATCAGCATGGCCAACACGGACGGCAGCAACCGCAGCCTCCTCTTCACTGACCAGAAAGGCCCTGTTGGTGAGAGCCGCCTCTTTGTTTGACTGCAGTAAGAGACAGGTTCCGTTGAAGGGGCAGGGGGTGACACGTCGGCTTTTGGTTTTGTTTTCCAGGCCTCTCTATTGACTTCGACACAGAGCAGCTTTACTGGATCAGCTCTGGGAACAGCACCATTAACCGCTGTAAAATGGACGGCTCCGGCCTGGAGGTGCTGGAAAGTGTCAAGGGAAAGCTGACCAAGGCTACTGCTCTGGCCATCATGGGTAGGACATCAGGAAATGTCCATATCTACATAAAGCTGAACTCAGACAGGCCATATCAGAAAGTTAAACAAAAAAAAGAAAACACTATTTATTTAAAGGCGTTGTGTTTTGTAGGAGATAAGTTGTGGTGGGCAGACCAAGGAACTGACCAGATCGGAACCTGTGACAAGGAAGATGGTGGAAACTGGAAAATCCTACGGAACAGCACATCTCCCATGATGCACATGAAGATCTACAATGAAACTGTGCAAAGAGGTGTCACTGCCAGCTTTTTCTCTCCCTGTGCAGCATTTGCTTTTTATCAAATTCCTTGGCAAAGAAAAGGGAAGAAAAGAATTCTTGTCTGATGAAGATCTGTTTTCTAAGACCGCATGTAAAATGTTTATCTGAAGCTCATCTGTTTATGCCCGTGTTACTCATCTTTGAATCATTCCGTGTATTTGTCCTTGTCCTTTTTTTGTTTCCAGGCACTAATCTCTGCAGTAATAACAACGGAGACTGTTCCCAGCTGTGTCTCCCAACCTCCCCGACCACCAGAGCCTGCATGTGCACCGCGGGATACAGCCTACGCAGAGGGCAGCAGTCCTGTGAGGGTACGGCACATTCACACAGGAGATCTTGATTTTAAACAAACGCTTATTAAAGAAGTTCAAATGAGGAGGAAATGATGCACGTGCCCAACTCTGCATGTGTGTGCTTCAGGTGTGGGTTCCTTCCTGCTTTACTCGGTGCATGAGGGCATTCGTGGTATTCCCTTGGACCCGTCAGACAAGTCTGACGCCCTGGTGCCAGTGTCTGGTACCTCCCTGGCTGTGGGCATAGATTTTCATGCTGGTAAGTTTTAATTACATGTTGTGTTTTTTTTTCTTTTATTCTCAAAATCCCAATACTGACGTATTTAAATTGAGGTCACCGGAAAATGATTGATGTATTTACAAGGAGGAGTTACTGAAAACTTTCCCGCTCTGTTTTCCACAGACAATGACACAATCTACTGGGTAGATATGGGTCTGAGCACCATCAGCAGAGCCAAAAGAGACCAGACCTGGAGAGAGGACGTAGTTACCAATGGCATTGGCAGGGTTGAGGGCATTGCTGTCGACTGGATTGCTGGTGAGAGGCACAATGAAAACAACGATATACAGCTGCAGTTATTGCTGAGATTGTTTAAAATATAAATCAATGAAATATGCAGCAATTTGAACATCATTTCAACCATGTATGTCTTATAACATATGGAGTATAGCTTTTATAAAGATATTTATGTTCTTTTATTTCTGGAACTTTTCATTGGGGCAGTAAAAGGCAAATGAAAATTAAAACAAATTTGGAAAGACTGTGGTCTTTTGTTCCTCAGGAACCATTTGAACTGTCAGACTTAATCGTTGCATCCAGAAATATGGGATGAAACCAACCTTATGTAAAAACATCCAGAAACATTGCCACCATCCGTGGGCACAAGATCATGGAAGATAGATCATCCTGTTTTTGTCAGAGCTAGCTGGTGGCTAACTGTTTCTCCTCTGTCCCGCACAGGAAACATCTACTGGACAGATCAAGGTTTTGATGTCATTGAGGTAGCCCGACTGAACGGATCATTCCGCTACGTGGTGATCTCCCAGGGCCTGGACAAACCTCGTGCCATCACTGTCCATCCTGAGAAAGGGTGGGAAGAAAGATACTTTTTCAGCTTTTACATCTGCGATTGGTCTCTGTATTGACTATTGAGGAGGTTCCTTCTGAGCTTTGCTTTGTTTTCCCACACAGTTACCTGTTCTGGACAGAGTGGGGTCAGTATCCACGCATTGAGCGTTCTCGTCTTGATGGCACTCAAAGGGCTATTCTGGTCAATGTCAGCATCAGCTGGCCAAATGGAATCTCCATTGACTACGAGGTACGGTGTATCAGACTTAGCTTTTCAATTCAAAACACTTGGCTTTAACATTGGTGGAGAACACATCACTGGAGTCATTACTTTGTTTGTGCATGTAGGAAGGCCTTTTATACTGGTGTGATGCCAGGACTGATAAGATTGAGCGCATCAACCTGGAGACTGGAGAAAACAGGGAGGTGGTGCTGGCCAACAACAACATGGACATGTTCTCTGTGTCTGTGTTTGAGAGCTACATCTATTGGAGTGACAGGTCAGACATGCCCTTCTTGTTCAGCCCTATCCTCAGTCCTCGTTTTCTATTTTTTCTAATCTGCATATATTTTACATTTTGCTGTCATGCAGGACACACGCTAACGGCTCCATAAAGAGAGGCAGTAAGGACAATGCAACAGACTCTGTCTCACTGAGAACTGGTATTGGGGTACAGCTAAAAGACATCAAGGTTTTCAACAGGGCAAGACAGCAAGGTAAAGCAAATTCTGCATGTGTAAGAATGAGCTGAGTATGATAAGTGGTGGGTCTCTTTAGTACAAAACAATACATTTGACACATTGATGTAATTGTGTTCTTTTTCATGCGTTTATAGGAACAAATGTGTGTAAGGACAACAACGGCGGGTGTCAGCAGCTCTGTCTTTTCCGTGGCAACGGGCAGCGCACGTGCGCCTGTGCGCACGGCATGCTGGCTGAGGATGCCAGCGGCTGCCGCGACTACGACGGCTACCTCCTCTACTCGGAGCGAACCATACTGAAGAGCGTCCACCTGTCGGACGAAAACAACCTGAACGCACCCATAAAGCCGTTCGAGGACCCCGAGCACATGAAGAATGTCATCGCTCTCACTTTCGACTACAGAGGAGGCGGAGGGAAGGGAGCTAACCGAATCTTTTTCAGTGACATTCACTTTGGCAACATTCAGCAGATCAGCGATGATGGATCAGACCGCAAGACCGTAGTGGAGAGTGAGTTCTCCCGTTTTCTGACGTTTGCCTTTGCATGTTTTCGGTCAACCCACACCCATCTGTTTCCTCAGTTTATTTTCTGTGTTCCCTTCTCCCCGAGCAGATATAAGGCCTGCTGTTCGTCAAGTTATTTCACCCCCTGCCCATTTTTTTTTCTTCTTTTCTATAAATAAGAGGCCCAGTTGTACACATAAGAACACCCTTTATGAAAGAACACCTCTTTCTGGAGAAGAGAGCTCCAAATTCTCCCTCTCATCTAAACATAACCGGGAAGTAATTATTCTCGTGTTGTTGAAGAACTTTAAAACAGTGAAAAAAATTTGTTTTCTTTTTTTTTAAACCGTGAGAACATGATAAACACGAACAGGTTCAGAGATGGCTTTCATTCACCTTATCTCAACACAAGGATACGCAGGTGCAGTGTTAATGTTTTACCAAAGTGCCTTTACTTAACTGTGCTTTACAAGGAATGCATAACTGAGGATTGTTTCACCGACTGTGTCCATAGAGCAGCAACTCCCAGAGCAAACCTTGTGATCTACTTGCATAATATCCAAAGAGTGAATGTTGCTTGGAGAAAAATAGGTTCAGTGATCCCATGAGTGCTTTTATCAAGAAAGTTATGTTTGTGATAGTTAGTCTTTAAGTCTGCATAGGTTTGCCACTTGTTCCGCTGTATCAAAATGTTTCCAGTGAAGGTGTCACGCAGCGGACAAATCAACTGCAGTGTTTGGTTGTTGCCCTACCCTCTTGAACAGCCTCAGTAGATCCTGTCTGAACTTTTGGGACATGAGCACGTAGAGGATGGGGTTCATCACTGTAGAGAGGGTTGCCATGAAGCGTGCAAATACACTAAAGGGGCCATAACGGGGCGAGGCTCCCGTGGCCGCTGAGTTTTTGTCGGCCAGTAAGGCCAGAGTCAGTCCATACGAGGGCAGCCAGCACAAGGTAAAAGCCAGTACCAGCATGGCCGTCGTCTGAGTCACTTTGCTCTGGTAGCGCTCTACCTGGGGGGCCCGGCCCGCGTGTTGGACCCCGCATAGGAACGCGAAGATGCTGCCGTACGCCACTCCAATGGTAACCAGCGGCAGCAAGAAGGCTGCAAGAAAGTGAAACAGTCCATAGATCAGCTGGTCTCTGTAACACAGGAAAGCAAAGCAAGCAAAGCCATCGGGGCTTTTTTGTGGGGTTCCCACGGAGCGAAAAACCAGCTGGGGAGCGCCGAGGCCACAGGCTGGAATCCACAGCAGCAGGGCCGCTATAGACACCCGGCGGGCGGTGAGCAGGTGGTAAGCTCTGGCAGGCCTCACCACGGTCAGGTAACGAGACACGGCCAGCACGGCCAGAGTGAAGACGCTGGCCGAGGAGCTGGTGGACCCCAAGAAGCCCAAAAGACGACACATGACGTCCCCAAACGGCCACCGCTGCATGGCTATGGCAACGGTGTGGAAGGGAAGCGTGGAGAGCAAGAGCAGGTCCGAGGCGCTCAGTGACAGAAGGAGAATGTCGGTGCCCGTGCCCGTCGCAGGGCTCTGGGGAGACTGTCCACCACGGTCCGCTCCCCTCCCCCTCCTACGTCCACACAAGATGATCATCACCAAGGTGTGCCCGCACACACCCAGCACGAGGATCAGTGTATCTACTATTGGGACGAGGATCTGCTCCACATTAGCCAGCCCAGTGCCACTGCTGTTCCCCAGCAGAGCCCCTGAACCTGTAGAGTTTAGCTCCGTTCCTTCAGGTCCAGACATCTTGCTCCTGTTGACGCGCAGCTGCTGTTTGTTGGATGAATGAGTTTACCCGGTCGTAAAACTACCGATGATCCACGGTGGGATTATTACTCAGTGGCATTGTACTTGAAATGAATTTGCGCAGATTTCTGGGCATTTAACACCAAAGGGTGTTGACGATTAGATTATGAATGAAAAAAGTCTTGTTTAAACCTAACGTCCGGTGATCACGTCCTGTGTTAAACCAGCTTTCCATGTGTTGGATGTGAGCCAAGTCACCTGAGTTAATCCCATCAGCTTCCTGTGACTCTTGTAGAGTAATAGGAACAAACCAACAAATGCTCCTCCAAACGCAGTCAACGTCCTCCTGATGGTTTCTTTCAGTTGCTTTGGTTTTTCGTTCTCATTTTTGGGCTCCTGTGATGGTGGAAAGAGCAGAAGGAGTTTTTGATTTCCTGTCACCTCAGAGCAGGCGGCGAGTCATGGGACATCTCAGTCAGGTACATCAGTCCGCAATCAGCATTCCTCCTGCTTCTGAGAGACAGATTCCCTGAGAAAACATGCTGGGAGCAAAAGCGGACAGAGGAGGTAAATAGCTTGACAGTAAGAGAGGATAAAACCAACTAAACGGTTAGTGAACTCTGGACTGATTATGATTGAGCAGAAAAGAGATAGGCCAGCCAGCTCCCTGTGGGAGGGCCTAATGAGGCCAAACAGTTTTCCCCATGCGTTTTTGTTTTGTTTCAGCTCCTTTTCTCAACCGATCCATAGACCGTTTGTCCGGTTTTCAACTCACACATATAAAAAACATCGGCATACAACGTACGTACACAAAAAGAGTCTGGGAAAGAGTGTTTGCCTTGAAAATCTGGGTAATTATTGACTGCCTGCCAGATAGAAAACAGTGAACTGCTATCACACCTACTAGAGATAAGCACCATAAAATCAATGTGAGTGCACCCGTCATCAAGAACCATAAACTAAACAACTAATCTGTGTTATTGACAGCATGGAACTTATCTAAACCCACATAGGCTTAGTTCAACAAAAACCTGAAGATTAGGATGAGTGAAAAAGGAAGAGTTTGAGCGTAAATTGCAGCAGCTGGAGATTCACAGCTCATTAACGGCACTATAGAAAGAGGAAATGGAGGAAATTAGATTTTGTCCTGTGCTCCATCGATTTTTATAACACACTGATATATGAGTGTGAGAAGCGGAGGGGAGCCGATGTTGCGTGTTGCTCCATTCTGTAGACACTTTACGTCTTTCAGGATCTCATAGCACGCACCGCACAAATGATGACTCATGTCTGTAGAGTGGCTCTGGAGATGTTGAGGTGTGGTGCAAAGATTTTCACCTGGTAGCGAACCTAGCTGCTTCTCAGGTCACAGCTGTGATGGAGTGAGATCATTTCCAGTCCCATGAAAAGGCCAGTACGATCATTAGCCCCTCACCGTTCCGTTCCAGAAACAGTAATAAGAAGGCTATTATCACTGAAGGTTTGCTTTTGGAGCAACCTGCCTGTCCTTGACACGTCCATGCTGCTTGTGTACGTGTGTGTGTGCGCGCCTGTGTGTGTGTGAGAGAGTGAATTTATTGTGCAGCTGTCCTGTGTCTGCTCCTGCAGAACTTTGTGTTCCTCTATCTTGGCTGACTCTCGTGTGTCATCTGGCCCTCGCACCGGCAGGAAGCTCACAAGCTCTTATTCATTTCAGGCCTGTAGAGCAAAAAAAAGTTACCTCTTGTTTTTCATCTGTTGATGAGGTAGTGCAATGGAAAGTAGTACGCCAGCCAGTGACCTTTTTACTTAGCTATTTGCTGGATAAAAGCCTTGAATCGCACAGTGGTCTTTGTCATTAATACCGAGCTGTCATGTCCAGAGCCCTGCCTCTTTGCTGCCACGCAGCTCCAGCCAACACTAAGCCGCTGCCAGGCGCTCCACTCTTGACCTTTTAACATAACATCAGACATGACACAGTCCCTTTCCCTCAGCTCCTCCCTTCTCTGTTTTTCTGCTTCCCTCCTTTTTCTTTACTTTTACCCTATTCTCTTCATTTTTTTCATTTTTTTTTCTTTAAAGATGTGGGCTCGGTGGAGGGTTTGGCCTACCACAGGGGCTGGGATATGTTGTATTGGACCAGCTACACCACCTCCACCATCAGCCGCCACACTGTGGACCAGAGCCGCTGGGGTGCTGTTGACCGGCACACCGTGGTCACCATGTCTGGAGACGACCATCCCAGGGCCTTCGTTCTTGACGAGTGTCAGGGGTCAGAACCCATACAGTTCATGGTCTTTTATGAAAAATAATTCTGCTTACCAGGCTGCTCCCTTATCACCCGCTCATAATTTTGATCTCTGCTCTTCCTGCAGCCTGATGTTCTGGACCAACTGGAATGAGCAATCTCCCAGTATCATGCGGGCCACGCTCAATGGAGCCAATGTCCTCTCAATCATCGGCACCGACATCAGAACTCCAAACGGCTTAGCCATAGACCACCGTGCAGAAAAGCTTTACTTCTCCGACGCCACACTAGACAAGATTGAGCGCTGCGAGTATGACGGCAGCAGGCGCTACGTGAGTGACCAAATCCCTCAGTGACAGCGTAGCTCAGGGTTAAAACCTTGTAATAACCATCAGCTTGCCGGCTCTTTTGGGTTACTTCTGATTTCTAGACAGAACACTGTTGTGATGGAAGTTTTGCCTCCACCTGCAGGTGGTGCTGAAGAATGAGCCGGTCCATCCGTTCGGTCTGGCTGTGTATGGAGACTACATCTTCTGGACTGACTGGGTGAGGAGGGCTGTGCTTCGGGCCGACAAATACACAGGAGGAGACATGAAGGTGCTGCGTGCTGACATCCCCCAGCAGCCAATGGGCATCGTTGCCGTGGCCAACGACACGAATAGCTGTAAGTTATCCCAAAAAGTGATTACTTGGGTAGTTATGAGAAGGGAGCTGTCAGCAGTGATACGATGAATGGAAGAACAGTGTGTATGTGGGACAGCATTATACAGATATTTGTGGGGTTTTTTAAATTCTGAATTCTGATTTAGCTCATTTTCTTTAAAAATCTGCCCATATCCATATTGCAATGACACATGGACACAATTCATATGCATTAGCTAGGAACTGTAAAATACTATATCCAGACCACTTTTTAATTGGACAAGTCCAACAAAATGGGTCATTTTAACTTTCTTTTCTATTTTTTCTCTATTTGTAGTTGTCCCCCTATATCAGTGCAGTGCTGCAGTTTTTTTTTCTGGGCCACATCTTCCCTCTTCTAATCATCCCACACTCCAATGCCCACAGAGACCATGCAAGCCGAGATACCACCGTGACAGCTGCAAAATCCATTTAGATGGAGTCACATTGAATTATGCATTCAGCTGAAGCAGAGCTTTTGCCACATTTATACAACCCTGTCTGTAGATGCAGATGGATATGGGTCAATGTCAAATTCATTTACAAGGTACAAAACATTTAGGAAACAGCAGTTGACTTTCAAAGATATCTCCCGTCCAAAGAGTTTACAACAAAAATTCAATCAAAATCTGGGCCTCAGTGTAAAAAAAAATCTAAACTTGAATATGAATTAGTCAAATTAGAGCAGAGAGATTTGGTAAAGTGGGGCAGAGTTAAAGGGGCTGAGGGTAAAGGTGATGACACAAGTGGGTGAAGGTGTGAGTGTGTGTGTCAGGGTGTGAACGCGAAGGCAGAAACTCCTCATACATGCTGGCTATTTTTCGCACAGGCGAGTTCTCTCTCTGTCGCGTCAACAATGGCGGATGTCAGGACCTGTGTCTGCTGAACTCTGAAGGAAGGGTCAACTGCAGTTGTCGTGGTGACCGGAAGCTCTTGGAAGACAACACCTGCATTGGTAATGCAAAAGCATCACCCACAAACACAGAAGCCTAAAGTTTGTCTTAGTTATCATGCATGATAAATCACTTTGACACTTGCCTCCATGACAAAGACTAATGGATAACAAATGAGACATTAGGCATGCTTTAAGCTTTGATCCTGTGTAGTATTTTAAAGTATTTTCTAAAAAACTATATATATACTGTATATAGAACCTGCTGAACAAGAAACAGCCTGCTTCCGGCCTGCACAGTCCTGAGTTTGCAAGGTCTTCCAGAAACTAAATGCCTTTTTCTGTGTCTCAGCCATCAACACTACATGCAACAACATTGATGAGTTTGAGTGTGGGAATGGAGACTGCATCAACTACACACTGACCTGTGATGGAAAAGCCCACTGCAAGGACAAGTCTGATGAGAAGCAGTCCTACTGCTGTGAGTGGAGCCTTTGCATCTGCCCAAACCATTCTGGTTTCCTTCATTTGCTTGATGATGTTTGTAATCTGGGTCCATCTCTGGTCTCGTCTTTAGCCAATCGTGTGTGCAAAAAGGGTTACAGGCGATGTGTCAATGGCCGCTGTGTGGGGCACAGCTCCTGGTGCAATGGACAGGACGACTGCGGAGACAATTCTGACGAGCTCTTCTGTAACAGTGAGTCAGTTCGTAACAATTGTTGTGGCCTTTCGGCTTTTCCCGTCAGGGGTCTCCAAAGCATGTCAGCCTCGACTCGCATGGTAGGTTTTTTTGGCAGGAGTATTAACACCAGCTGCCCCTCCTGATGCAACCCTTACATTTATCCGGGCTTTGGACCAGCAAAAACAGGACACAGAACAACATGCTGCAACATTAATACTCCTTCTGTAGTCTTAACCATATGTTTACCCATTTCAGCTCAAGGCCTCATTCAAAAGGTCCATCTAAAACCTAAAAATGATACGTAACATGAGAGACTGCGCTACATTCTGGCTGTTTATTGCCTCGTTTGTTTATTTAGGATTACCCACTTTAAAAGTTGTTCACTTTTGGTGAAGTTAAATACCCTGCCAATCTTTAGGTTAACTTGTAACTACTTAAGATATTTAGAAATGAGGGGAATGATAATCTTCGCTCTGTCTTTCCATCATCTGTTTCAGCCACCCTGTGCACAGTGGATCAGTTCCAGTGCAGAGACGGAAGCTGCATCTCTAACTCCAGCAAGTGCAACCAGAAGGTGGACTGTGAAGATGCAAGCGATGAGATGAACTGCTGTAAGCTGAAATGACTAGTCCAGACAGAAAAATGAAATGTGGTGTTTTAATGCCAACATTTCGCTCGGAATGAACTGTGCTTTGCTCTTCATTAAGCGGCCACGGACTGTTCCAGTTACTTCCACCTGGGAGTGAAGGGAGTGATGTTTCAGAAGTGTGAGTTCACCACCCTCTGCTACGCCCCCGAATGGCAGTGTGATGGAGCCAATGACTGTGGAGACTTCTCGGATGAAAGGAATTGCCCAGGTATCATTAATGGCATGTCAAGGCCTCTATATTCATTATATGTCGCCTGTATTATATTAACTTAGTTTAAAAATGTTTTAAAAGAAGGAATAGAAACAAAACTTGTATATAGATTATATGAAAAGGAATAGAAACAACAGTTGTCCCTTAAATTAATTGAGATTTTTTTTTGAGGAAATTGTCATGAAAAAAGCCTGAACAAATTAAAAAAGCTTTGGTTATGCTTTTTATTACCATTGTAGGCCAACATTTGAAGTATTCCTGTTAAACGTATCCCCCTTCTCTGACTCTGACAGGGAGCGGGAAAACAAAATGCCCCATGCCTTTCTTTGCCTGTCCGAGCGGACGCTGCATCCCCATGAGTTGGACGTGTGACAAGGAGAATGACTGTGAGAACGGGGCAGACGAAGCTCACTGTGGTAAGCTGTTAAATGAAAGCCAGTGCATCGTTATTTGGATTGCAGCTGGAGTTTTTCCCGTCTCATACGCTCTCTGTGGCCCCTCAGACAAGTTCTGCTCAGCCACCCAATTTGAGTGTGGAAACCACCGCTGCATTCCCCACCGCTGGGTGTGCGATGGGGCGGATGACTGCGGCGACAGCTCTGATGAAGACAACAAGTGCAGTGAGTGTTGGAAACCAATCTGTAGTGAAAACAAAAGAAAGAACGTTTATCGCTCGTTGTCAGGGCTCGTTTCTCTCCGGAGACGAGCTGTCTTCGAATAATTACCGATGAAGAATGATGTTTTTTTTTTTCCATCCCAGAGACTAAAACCTGCAGTCCAGAGGCCTTCCAGTGCCCTGGATCGCACATGTGTATCCCTCAGCGCTGGAAGTGTGACGGCGACAACGACTGTCCTGACGGAGCTGATGAGAGTGTCAAAGCTGGCTGTGGTGAGTGGAAGCAGGGGAGGAACATTTGAACACAAAACAGCTTAATGCATCTGAGTCACTTTTGGAGCAAAAACCCCACATTTATCTTATTCGCTGAAAATTTCTGTCTCAGTCTTCAACAACACGTGCAGCAGCAACGAGTTCATGTGCCAGAACCGGCAGTGTATTCCCAAGCACTTTGTGTGTGACCATGACAACGACTGCAGCGACGGCTCGGATGAGTCCCAGGAGTGTGGTTAGTGGATCCGTGTCCTCTCACCTCTGATGGGGAGATTCAGAACTCTTCTCCTCCTCGTGCTCCATATAGCAGCGCCTCCTGTTTGTCTCTGCAGAGTATCCCACTTGCGGTCCAGCTGAGTTCCGCTGTGCCAACGGCCGCTGCCTCATCCAGGGCTCGTGGGAGTGCGATGGAGACTTCGACTGCCACGACCACTCGGACGAAGCACCGAAAAATCCACACTGCACTGGCCCGGGTGAGATGCATAGAACCTTTTTATTTGAGTCTAAAGTGATAGCTTGTTGAGTCTGCGGGTGTGAAGAAGCCCTCGGTTCAAGGCCTTTGAGCAATAACAGCCACAGCTGTCTTTGAACACTGCCTTGTGGAGCTTGTGTGATTTCAGCTTACTGTCAACAAAGTTAAACTCATAGTACGAAAGTATGAAAGACAAAATCAGAGCTGCTGGGCCCTCTATTACCTCCTGCCTTGGCTCTAAGACTGAGGAAACTCCTCAGGAAAAAAAAATCAATCAGTAATTTTAATAGACTGGTGAGAAAAAATAAGTTAAATTGGTTTGAAAAGAAGCTGCCATATGTATATCTTATTTAAGCACGTTCATGTGAATTTATTATTTTGTGTCATTCCCCCCCCCCCCACTTGTTTATGACTGATGTGTATTTACATGATTCATACACAATGCTTTGTGTACCCCTGCTTAACAGTTATTAATCGAACCTTTGTGTGAGAACACTCAAAGAATTGAAACTATTTAATTTTACATTTCACAGTAAAATGCTTAGGAATTTCTCATCATCTTTTTGACAGCTGGGACGTCTCTCTACGGACTCAGTGAAGTCCTGGGAATTTGAAATGATATTAGATGCGCTGTTTGACATTATCCCTTCATTTGTTTTTCATTTCATTGTGTCTGTGAGCAGAGATGAAATGCAACGACACTGCCTATGCCTGCAAAAATGGAAACTGCATTAACGAGACGCTGCTCTGCGACCATAAAGACGACTGTGGCGACGGCTCCGACGAGCTCAACTGCTTTGTGAACGAGTGCCTGAACAGCAAACTGAGTGGCTGCTCCCAGCTTTGTGAGGACCTCAAAATAGGGTTTAAGGTAAGAGACGAGCAGGCACTGGAACGGGGTATCTAAAATAAGCGGCGTGCGCTCGTGCTTTACCTGCCCTTCGTTTTGCCCCCTCCCAGTGCCGATGCCACTCTGGCTTCCGTCTGAAAGATGATGGGAAGACGTGCGTCGACATAGATGAATGCACAACCACTTATCCATGCACGCAGCGCTGCATCAACACACACGGCAGCTTCCATTGTTTGTGTGTGGAAGGTTTCCAGCTCAGTCCCGAGAACCCAACAATATGCAAATCCATCTCTGGTAAGAATCACAACAGATTCCTTAAATTCAGCTCACTCTTTACGGACAAATCCACTTATATGTAATGTCACGCCGCAGATGAGGAGCCCTTCCTCATCTTTGCCAACCGTTATTACCTGAGGAAGCTCAACTTGGATGGCTCGAACTACACACTGCTCAAACAGGTGAGGCATATTTGTCAGTTTGATGTGTGTGGAAATACATGCAAACTACTCTAACGGTTTGAGCTGAGTCCCAGACTGACGCAGCCGCTCTGTTTTGACAGGGCTTAAACAACGCTGTCGCTCTGGACTTCGACTATCGCCAGCAGATGATTTATTGGACCGACGTGAACACGCAGGGCAGCATGATCCGACGCATGCACATCAACGGCAGCGATGTTCAGGTCAGGGAAGCAGCATCCTGCCCCAGGCAGATAAGGGGATTGTTTAAACCGCTGCTCACACCTTTACATCAAAACTATATTTAAAATGATTACTCATCTTTGTCAGTGTGTGTGTGTGTGTTGTAAAAGCCCCGGCGGAAAGACTTAAATCCCTCACCATGACACGGATTCAGCAAATGTATCCTACTCCTTCATTTTGTCAGGTGCTTCATCGCACATTACTCAGCAACCCTGACGGCCTGGCAGTGGACTGGGTCGGAGGAAACCTGTACTGGTGTGATAAGGGACGGGACACCATTGAAGTGTCAAAGCTGAATGGAGCATACCGAACTGTCCTGGTCAACAGCGGTCTTAGGGAGCCACGTGCGGTGGCTGTGGACGTGCGATATGGGTAAGGGTAACACAAAATTCTCTTGACCATTTTTCATTCCTGTTTGGAGTTCAGACTTCCCTGATGGGCTGACTTTGAAATCAATTAGACCGGTTAATTGATGTATCGGTATGCCTAGAACTGATTTCTTTCTTGAATAATTCCAGTTAACCAAAAGTGTTGCAAAACATCCCTGGCAGGTACTTGTACTGGTCTGACTGGGGGGACAATGCCCATATTGGGAGGATCGGGATGGACGGCACCAACAGGAGCACCATCATACAGGATAAGATCACCTGGCCCAATGGCCTCACTCTGGATTTTGTGAATGATCGCATCTACTGGGCTGATGCTCGGGAGGACTACATTGCTTTTGCCAGCCTGGATGGAAGCAATAGGCACACGGGTACGCACACCTCAGCACCTAAATGACTTCACCCGTGTATTCTGGTGTTGTTGCTAATCGTCATTTCTTTTTAGTTTTGACCCAGGACATCCCCCACATCTTTGCCATGACTTTGTTTGAGGAGTACATCTACTGGACAGACTGGGAGACGAAGTCCATCAACAGAGCCCATAAGACACTTGGGAAAAACAAGACTATGCTGATCAGCACCCTACACAGGCCCATGGACATCCACATTTTCCACCCATATCGCCAGCCTGAAGGTACAGGCTTCATAGCCATGCACAGACTGCTTCCGTCCTGTCCCCGGACCTCTCCTTCACTGTGCTTGTTTGTATTTTCTGCCTCTCAGTGGCGGGCCATCCATGCCAGCTCAACAACGGAGGCTGTAGTAACCTGTGTTTGCTCTCGCCTGGCGGGGGCTACAAATGTGCGTGCCCCACTAACTTTTACCTGGCGGCAGATGGCAAACAGTGCCTGTCCAACTGCACGGCGAGTCAGGTGGGCTAGCTCGAGTTATCCGGCTGGGCTTTTTTCATGTTTAGAACGGAAACAGAATTGACGCTTTTATTTTTTTCATCTGCTTTTTCAGTTTGTCTGCAAAAATGACAAGTGCATTCCATTTTGGTGGAAGTGTGACACAGAAGATGACTGTGGGGATCGCTCGGATGAACCTGCAGACTGCCGTGAGTGAGGAGTGCAGCCTGAGTGTGACGATGGATTCCTGTCACCTTTCTTTATTCACAGCTTACATGCGTTTCACTTGTTCTCCCTTTAGCCGAATTTAAGTGCAGACCAGGCCAGTTCCAGTGCGGTACTGGCATTTGTACCAACCCAGCGTACATCTGTGATGGAGACAATGACTGTCAGGACAACTCTGATGAGGCCAACTGTGGTACATACACTTTTGAAAACATATTTTTTAATGGATTCAGAGTCATCCTTTGTTACCCACTTTTAATTGACCAAATGCTTTTTTTAAAGACATCCATGTGTGCCTGCCAAGTCAGTTCAAATGCAACCACCCGAGTCGCTGCATCCCTGGCATCTTCCGTTGCAATGGGCAGGATAACTGTGGAGATGGGGAGGATGAGAAAGACTGCCGTAAGTACTCGGGTTGCGCCGAGGTCCCTGCCTTTTTTCTCAGATGTGTCCCTGCTACTGCTAATGATGGTTATCTTTAGTATTGCAGTGTGACCTGTTTATCTGAGCAACACTTTGGCTTTTTTGCCTCACTGAAAGCACACTGCTCTAGTAAACACTGTATCTGAAAATCTCATTAGCACATAGGAAATTGCTGAACATTTTGTTGTTCCCTGGAGCATCTCTGCCTATTTTGACCTTTCCTGTGGCAATGCCCATAAGCCAGATCTTGTTGCGTAATGTAATTACCATGACATTTCCTGAGCACATTCACTCTCCACAGAGAGAGATTACATTAAAGGCTTAATTGTTTTGTCCCAAGGTCAGAAATGACATTTTAACACTTTCAACTACAAAGCTTTTCACGATAGCTGAATCGCAATGATTCTGTTTCATGACAATAACACACGGCCATGTTTGTCGTCCGCAGCTGAAGTTACATGCGCCCCCAACCAGTTCCAGTGTACCATCAGTAAGCGGTGCATCCCGCGGGTGTGGGTGTGTGACAGGGACAATGACTGTATGGACGGATCCGACGAGCCGGCCAACTGCAGTAAGAGGAGGCTTTAACGCTTCTGCATCTCTGTTTAAGAAACCAGATTCTGATCAGCTCCATCGACGAATGACAGACGAACCCTGAGTGCCCTAATCCTGCTCTCTGATCCTCTTGCAGCTCAGATGACCTGCGGTGTGGATGAGTTCCGCTGTAAAGACTCGGGCCGCTGCATCCCGGCCCTCTGGAAGTGTGACGGGGAGGCCGACTGCGGCGATGCTTCAGACGAACCCAAGGAGGAGTGTGGTAAGGCTAGCACTGGAGGATCAGACTGAATAAGACCTACTGCCTGGATTGCGGGGCAACACATGAGCCTGTCTGATTCTGCGCAGACGAGCGGACGTGTGAGCCTTACCAGTTCCGCTGTAAAAACAATCGCTGCGTTCCCGGACGCTGGCAGTGCGACTACGACAACGACTGTGGGGACAACTCGGACGAGGACAAGTGTCGTAAGTCCCCTCACACCTTTCCAACATGCGCAGCTCGTGTCGCTATGAAAAACTGCGCCTTATGAACGTCCGAGAGCTCTGCGGCTCGCAGAGGGCTGAAAAGGCCGCAGGTGTTGGTGTGGTAAGCAGTGTATCACATCTCACTGTGTGTCTGTTGTATTAACGCAGCTGCTCACGTGGTTGAGATTTGATTTCTTTTTAGTTGTTTAGTTCTGTGGCCATTTGCACATCTCACATCATCTCATGTCTGTTTTGCATTCTCACTGGCCAGTCGCTGTGAGCCAGAGGTAGGTGTTGTCACAGTTTCAGATCAACCACAAACCCAGCTACCCAGTCTTGTCGTTATCCCAGCTTGTTGTTTGTTTTGCAAGCCTTGTCCTTCTTTTTTTAATCCTGCCAGACATTCTAGCTCCTCTGCTACAGAAAATGTACCATCCCCACCTCTGTGCCTTTGCAGAACATCCCTGTGATATGAAGTGTCAGCTTTCTTTTATCCGTGTGCCTGGCTCTCCACAGAGCACCTTGAGTTGTTTTTTTTAGTCTCCTCTATTCCCACCTTTTCTTCTCTAGTTTCCTTTCTTAATGCCTCTCCTTGGTCCTTCCCTCCACTGTATCTTTATTTTCATCATCCTCAGTCCCTCTAAGCTGTCTCCTTTCTATTCTCAGAGCCCCGAAAGTGTTCGGAGAGCGAGTTTGCTTGCTCAAATGGCCGTTGCATTGCCGGGCGCTGGAAGTGCGACGGGGACCACGATTGTGCGGATGGCTCGGACGAGGTATCCCTCCACCGTTCTGACCTCCAGATCAGATTTCTCCTTTGAAGTGTGACATATAGGTGGGGCTAATAATGAGAATGGCTGTGTTTTGGTTCAGAATGGCTGTGACGTGAAGTGTGACAGTGATCAGTTCCAGTGCAAAAATGGCCATTGCATCCCCATCCGCTGGCGCTGTGATGCGGATCCAGATTGCATGGATGGCAGTGACGAGGAGAAATGTGACAGTGGAGGTGGGTGCATTTAGTAATACAAATTACTCTTCTTTTTTTTTACTATAAGGCTGAAATATCTTACTGGTAACAATCTGCATCTGTTTTCATTGTGACATTCCAGTGGGTAGACACTGCCCCCTGGACGAGTTCCAGTGTAACAACACTCTTTGTAAACCCCTCGGCTGGAAGTGTGACGGCGAGGACGACTGTGGAGACAACTCTGACGAGAACCCGGAAGAATGTGGTAACAATCCCTTTATTTCACCAGTCCAGTACATATCATGCTCACATGGTCCTTTCCTTTCTTAATACTCCTTTCTTTCCTTAAGTTAAATTCCAGTGTCCACCGACCCGGCAGTTCCGCTGTCATAATGACCGAGTGTGCCTGCCCGTATCAAAACGCTGCGATGGCATAAACAACTGTGGGGACAACAGCGATGAGCTCAACTGCCGTGAGTCTGGTTGCTCCTGTTTAATTGGTGACAATTTTTTAATGAGCTGGCTTACAGAGGCAGTAAGTTGCTGCAACGGCCTGCTCATATTAGTGCTTTGCATTCACCGGTGCTCAAAAGAACACGTTTACATTATAAGACCACTCAGCGAGCCCTGTTCTTGTTTCAGTGGCGCCTCCCTCCACACCAGTATGTCAGAAGGACGAGTTCCAGTGCTCCAATGGTCGCTGCATCAGCTCCACTCTCCGCTGCAACTACTTTAACGATTGTGAGGACTACGGCTCGGATGAAATCAGCTGCAATAAGAAAGGTCTGTGGCGCCACACCGCTGTGTTTCTCATGGGGACGAGGCCCTCCTCAGTTGCCTTCAGAAGGACTTCATGCGGCCCATTTCCTCACCTGCAGACACCGTGTTGAACGACTGCCACAGCAACAGGACGGTGTGTGGGGATGGAGATGAGGCCCACTGTGTGGTCAACGGCACTGACTCCTTCTGTTCCTGCAAACCGGGCTTTCAGTCTAATGGACAGAACAGATGTGAAGGTACCGTCCTCTCTTTATGTTGTGTCTTTGAGTTGCTTGATGATGGGAAAGTGTGCTTAACTAGCATTGCGTGGCCTTGGGGTGTTTTCGCAGATAAGAACGAGTGTAAGCAGTTCGGAGTGTGTTCCCATACCTGCAACAACACTAAAGGCTCCTACAAATGCAGCTGCCACAAGTATTTCAGCAGAATCAATAACACCTGCAAGGCTGACGGTGAGTATGTGGGAACGTTTCGGCTTACAGTTATCAGGGGCTGCGTCCACATTCACACCAACATTTACATTTTCGTCATAAAAAATCAGTTTGTTGCTCTGTATACATGATTTAAAGGCCGAGGTTGGTGAAAGGCCGAGGTTGGTAACTGCTAAAATAGATTGGTAGCTTAGTGATGGCTAGTGAGCTCCTGATTTTCAAAGCCACAAAGCAGGTCCGTACCTCTTTTCTGTTGATTGATTTTTAAGATCTTGAACTAATATTAAACTTTCAATCTCTTTAAATAAACTGTAAACTATAAAAAATAATTGATGTTGTTTTCTCCGGTGTACACAACTCACTAAATTAGACTGAATCTCAAAATTCATGCTGTACTCCCCTAGTCTTACTTCTAGCATAGATGACAGAAAATGTAGAGATCAGAGGTTTAATGTTTTTTCTCTTTGGGTTTCTGTGTGAAACATCTGTAGATAGTCTGCTCTGCTGGTGCTGGTATGAGGTGGCAGTGGCATTTATATGCTTATTAAGTCCTGCAATTATCCAGCCTGTCAGAAATGGTGTGTTACTAGTTCTACCTGTTTTACATGAGTTCAAACAAGTCCGGAGAAAGAATGTCTAGCTTGACTTAATCTTTCTGTGCCTCTCAGCTCAGTTGTTAGGATTGGACAAGCCAGATCAACACATAAACAGAACACAGATGTAGCAGAACCTGCCTCATAGAATATGAGCATTGTGTGGATATAAAAGAAACCTACATGTGCAGACTGTGTGCACTCCTTAGCCACGGTGCTCAGGTTGTCTTTGCACTGGCTTCTATCCATGACTTTATTTCCTGTCCCTCTCCAGCTCAAGGACAAGTGCTGTACATTGCTGATGACAATGAAATCCGCAGCCTGGACCCTTCCATGCCCAACTGGCGCTACGAACAGATGTTCCACGGTGATGCCAACGTGCGCATTGATGCCATGGACCTACACGTGAAGACAAATCGCATCTACTGGACAAACTGGCACACGGGGCGCATCTCTGCCTACGATTTGCCCTCCTCCTCCTCTTCCTCCCAAAACAGCAACCGGAACAGACGGCAAACCGAGTCCAGAGTCACCAACCTTGAGGTAAATGTTTGCGTGTTTGCTTTATATAATGATTTTTGCTTATCTGAGTTGATGTGGTAGAATATGACAGGAAAGGTAAAGTCTGTGTTTATCTTTTCTTTTTTGGGGGGGTTTAGATTCCAGATCTGAAGATGCCCCGGGGCATCGCCGTGGACTGGGTGGCAGGGAACTTGTACTGGACGGATTCCGGTAGGGACGTCATCGAGGTGGCCCAAATAAGTGGCGTACAGCACCGCAAAACCCTGATCTCAGGCATGATCGACGAGCCCCACGCCATTGTAGTTGATCCACAGAGAGGGTGAGTGGGAGACCAGAGAGGCCCTGAAAAACGGAGACAAACAGCCTCCAGAATACAAGCTGAAACTGAAACTTTCCCTTCTCATTATTTAGGAAAATGTACTGGGCAGACTGGGGTAACCACCCCAAGATTGAAACAGCTGCTATGGACGGAACCATGAGAGAGACCCTGATTGAAGAAAACATCCAGTGGCCGACTGGTAAGACAAGCACATACACTCCTCCGATCATAAGTGAGCATGCAGCGTGACCATCCGATCTTTAAGCATTTCCTAATGCTTGTGCAGGTCTGGCGGTGGACTACTTCAACGAGCGTCTGTACTGGGCCGACGCCAAACTCTCCTTGATCTGCAGCGTGAGGCTGAATGGCAGCGATGCAGTCGTGGCCGTAAACGGCATTAAAAACAGTTGAGTGGCACACATTTCTAGGGCGACGCTGCCATCCACGCGGTTTTATTTAGCCAAGACTTGAATCCCTATTTGAAAGATTAAAAAAATATATCTCTTCTTTTTCACACAGGTCTCCATCACCCATTCAGCATTGATGTATTTGAAGACTACGTTTACGGAGTCACTTACCTCAACAACTACGTCTTCCGGGTGAACAAGTTCGGCAAAGGCCCCGTTGAGAACTTGACAACTGGAATGAACCATGCCACCGATATAGTTTTGCACCACCGTAACAAACAACCCGAAGGTGAGTCAAGAAAAATCAAATCCCCACAGCACCAGTTAAAGGAGTTATGTTTCCCGATTGTCAGTGCGGGTTTTCTCTCTGTCTTTCTTTCAGTCACTAACCCGTGTGACAGGAAGAAGTGTGAGTGGTTATGTCTGCTGAGCCCCAGCGGACCGGTCTGCACCTGTCCAAACGGACGCACGCTGGACAATGGCACCTGCGTGGAGCTGCCCACTCCCACGCTGTCTCCTATCTGTGAGTGAGCATGAACGAGGAGGCCCAAACGGGGGGGGGGGGGCATTTGGATCATTCTCTGACCTGAGCGATCTTGTCACCCACAGCGCCTCCCAGTGGGCCCTGCACGGTCCAGTGTCTGAATGGCGGCAGCTGTTTCCTGAATGCCCACAAGCAACCCAAATGCCGCTGCCAGCCCAATTACGCGGGGGATCGCTGCGAGATTGATCAGTGCAGAGACTATTGCAAGAACGGTGGCACATGCACGCCTTCCCCCACTGGTAAGAGCACGGACGAGTTTGGCGAATTATGTTCAAGATACAGTACTTCTTATTCCCTTTGGCCTGTTAGCATGTCGGACACTTTCACTGCTCACGTGTCCTCCCACAGGCTCTCCGACATGCCGATGCCTGACAGGCTTCACGGGGCCAAACTGCAATCTGCACACTTGCAGGGACTACTGTAAGAATGGGGGCAATTGCTCCGTCAGTGCCGGAAACCAGCCGACCTGTCGCTGCCCCTCAGACTTCCTTGGCGATCAGTGCCAGTACCGTGAGTGTTCCTGCCACCTGTCCGACGTTCCAGTTTAAATTTCTCTCGTACGTAATGTGACTCTGACTGCTATGGCTAATAAGAAGCACTGTGTGTGTGTGTGTGTGTGTGTGTGAGCAGGAAGCTGTGAGGGCCACTGCCTGAACAAAGGGACATGTCTGCAGAGTGAAAATGGCTCCAAGTTTTGCCGCTGTACGCCCCAGTACTCCGGCACCAAGTGTGAGATCGACAGGTGTCACTACTGTCGTGACGGCGAATGCATCCCCAGCAACGGTTTCTCATCCAGAGTACAATTCACGTGTCGGTAAGAACGATTCGAGACTCAAAACGTACTTCACGTCACAGGCAAAGCGAGCTTAAACAGGGCGGAGTTCTTAAATCTCATCCTTACTCCTGTTTTGTCCGTTTTCCAGCTGCACAAACGGCAGAATCCAGCCCAGCTGTTACACATGCGATACAAATGAGTACTGTGCAAATGGCCAGTGCTCGATAAATCCTGTTACTCGCCTTCCGGAGTGCAGGTGAGGAGGGAAGGAGGTCTTATCTTGATTTTGACATTGCATTGTGTAGAATGTAATGTCTCACTGCTCTATCCTCCCCTATGTGTGTGTGTGTGTGTGTGTGTGTGTAGATGTACGGCAGGCTGGGAGGGGCATCGCTGTGAGTCTGTGGCCAGCAGTAGCGATGGCTCAGGTTCCAGTGGACGTGAGTTGTGACATTATTTTTAGAATCTAAATGGAGTTTGATGCGGTTGGCTGAGACAAACTCTTCTTTTCCTGTCTGTGTGTGCAGGCACGGCCTCCATCGTGATCACGGTACTGGTACTTCTGCTGCTGGTCCTGCTGGCTGCAGGGGCTTTGCTGTGGTACAGGAGACGAATGAGAGGGTGAGTTACAGTCCGACACTGAACTACTGCGAACACAAGACAGCGAGACCTGCTTCCTCACTCCCTCTTTCTTTTCTCCCCCTTAAACTTTCACTTTTACTCTCCTGCCTGTAATGGCATCTCTTGTGCTCCTCAGGTCTAGCCGGCCCAGAAAAACCGGCTCCAGGCGCTTGGGGTAATGGTTGCCAGGGTTATGCTTTCCCCTCAGTTCTGCACTTTGATGCTCTCTCTTTCCCGTGACCATAAGTCGTGGTTGCCGTAGAGTGTTGTTCCTGTGGTCTGTGTGGTGTCATCGTATATTGATATTCATGTGGGTCCGTCCTGCTCCCACTATATCAGTGTCCCCCTTCAGAGCAGCTCTACGGCAGATCTATTGAAATAAAACATTGAATAGATCTGTCTGTGTTTTGAAGCAGTTCTCTAGACCTCTCATGTTGTTGTCCATCATATTGTGCCATATTGTACATATTTTAGCGTGCTTTGGTCTGTGTTGTGATAGTCCCTCGGGAATGGGGAGTCCATTAGCATTCTTCCAAGCTCAGATTTGAAAATCCAACTAGAAAAACCAAGAACTTCGTGAATACTGTGGTTTCTGCATTTCCTGATATGGATTCATAAAGTGCATACTCTTGAAGTTCTGTTCTCAGGCTCACTGGGCCTGGATCTGGGCTTCCTGAATGCTGGGTTTATGTTAATGCCTGTGTTGTGGCTTAGCCTGGATGGATGGATGGCGACAAAAGTCTTGCAAAGCCTCTTCCCTTTGTTGAGAATGCGGCTGCGTCCCTGCTTGCACTGCTCAGGCTCCTCCGATATCAAATTAGAAACAAAGGCATAATTGTGCTATTATATTTGTCTGTGTGTGTAGGGCAAAGGGCTTCCAGCACCAAAGGATGACAAATGGGGCCATGAACGTTGAGATTGGAAACCCTGCCTACAAGATCTACGAGGGCGAGCCGGACGACGACGCCGGGGAGCTGCTGGACGCAGACTTCACGCTGGACCCGGACAAGGTAAAGACAGCAATGCATTTACATTTGCCCAAACAGCCTCCTGCACAGTAACTAACGGATCAATGAACTCCCCTCAGCCCACAAACTTCACAAACCCGGTGTACGCCACTCTGTACATGGGAGCTCACAACAGTCGCAACTCTCTGGCCAGCACGGACGAGAAGAAGGAGCTGCTGTCCCGTGGCGACGAGGAGCCCCTCGTGGACCCGCTGGCATAGACTGTCCATCAGCCTGGATCATACTATTCCAAACACACACCCCTCTTCTTGCCTTTTAAAGAAAAAGTAAAGTACAAAAATAAAAACAGTAAAAAAAGTGTGAAAGAGAATTGCTAAAAAAAAAAGTGTGAACACTGTATAAAATGTACAAAAATGAAGGACTACTTTTGTATGTGATTGCAGTATTATATTTTGTTCTTTAGAGATTCTTCGGGTCAAAAACGAATAACATTTTCTATGAGAGATTTTTCATTTAGCCTCTGTCCCTTTCCCTTTACAGAAATAGCCACTACCTCTGTACAAAATGAAATGGAAAAAGAAAATCTGAAGAAAAACAGGATGCTATCATTGGAGCGATTTTAATTTTTTATTTTTGTATGAATTGTATAGCCGGGGGGGAGGGGAAAAAGAAAAAAAAGAAGACATTGCTCCATTTCATCAGTGCCAACTGTTTGTTTGTGTAGACTTTGAGCGGGAAAGGCAAAAAAACTCAAAGTTTTCTGAATCGGTACAGTTGTTGTCATACTGGATGTCTCAGCTGGATTGTGTGAGGCAGATTTGTGATAGCACCGTTTGTGTATAGCACATGTGAAATGTCAATGCCAGGTGGCAACTACAGTATTTTCCACATGATTTTCCTTTTCTCAGAGAACAAAGTTCATGAAATGATTGTGTTGTCTTCCTTGCACAGAATATCCTGTTTTATGGTTAATTGTGTACTGTAAGTTTTTTTTTTTAAATTTGAATTGATGTTAAGAAAGTATGTTTTAATCACGCAGAAAGTTTGTTGCTGACGTGAGAGGACAGAAAGCATACTGTGTGATTTTGCAGTTGGAGAACGGGGAAGTTGGTAACGGGTTGAACATTCCATGGATGGAGAGAATAGAAAAGTAAGATTTATTATGGCCTCAGCTCTCGGATAGTGGAACGGCCATAACAGGTAAAAGACAAGCGTCATTCATTGGTTACCATTGTCTTCCTCCAGACGGAAAAGATGGTTATGGTTATGGTAAAACACAAGAAAGGAGAAGATTAGGTTTACTGTTTGTCTATTACTTCTTCAGCATAGATTCTTCTTTGTAAAGATCAGTTTATGTCGCTTTGGCCTTGTGAATAAATTTATCTTTCTGCCTTTAGAAAATCAAAGTCTGTATGTTCACAGTTTTGTAACGACTCAGTCTGAAGTGCATTATGTTCATTCTGTCCTTAGCAGTTCTCTGTTCTTCTTGAGCGCTCCTTGATCTTATTTTCCTTTGTGCCCTGCTGCTGCTAATGCTACCATTCCGGTCGCTCTGACACGTCTTTACGCTCAGCCTCTGTCCCAAAATGCTGCTTCAGTCAGAAATGTGTCGGCCATATCTAAATGCATGTGAAAAGTAACAAAGTCTATGTAACTACAATAGCAAGTTTTTACTTTACTTACCCATCAAGTGTTATTTTATGCTGTTGTATGTTTTTCGTCTTTGAGAGAGAAGTACAATCATTTTACCCTAAGGATTGTTTTTAAAGATCTGTGCATTTTTAGATTTTTTTTTTGTTTTGCTTAGTTCTCTTTTTTTAATGAAAAATGACACATAGCTTTTATAGTACATGATGCATGGAGGCTCAGACTTTCTTCTGGAAAGAGAATTACATTAAATTTTTTTGCTGGAGTACTTTACAAACTAAATAACAGATATTGTTATAAATAAAATTTTAAAAAATTGTACAGAAAATAAACCAGTGTGTTTTGCTTGTGTTCTTTCCCTGTAGTCAATGATGTGCTGAGGCGTTACTGGTTCATTAAATCATTTATTGAGCAAACAATAAAATGAAAGATTTGTCATGTGACATTAGACTAATATTCATGCCAACTAAGTTGCTCCGATACACTTATTAAAACTGCTCGACAATCAAAGAAAACTCTTCATGTGATAAAATTGTAGATATTGTTAAATAAGAGACTCTTGAGCTGTAAATGTTTTTACCCCAAAGCAACCCTCGGCAATTACATGAAACATCACTTCAGAACAAACTAAACCTCAATTCCTTGTTAGATTATAATTTTCTTTCTATGTTCTTCCATGTGGAATACAGATTCCGACTTGGAGTTCATGTCACTTAATGCCTTTATCCTTCAGCTCCTCTTTGACTCGTTTCAGATAGTCTGGGTCAGGATAACCAAAACTGAGGAAGAAGAACATGTACAAGGTTTAACATGTGAACTATTTCAGGACATGTAAAATTGAGAAACAACATGAACTTTATAGGAATAATGCATGGGTATTGTACCTCTGTGGACCTCCATACTTGGATGTTTTGTGATGAATGTCATTCCAGGTAACCATATTGTCTGAGCCGGTTGTTCTGGATGTCCCAATAGTGAAAATCAGCTTCTGATTAAATGCTTTGGTCAAGAGTTGAAGTACTTCGTTGCCCTCTCGATTGTCGGGAAGATAAGCTGTTCTGTTAGTACCATAATAGCGCTGTCCAGGTTTGGGATGAATTTTCTACAAGAGAGAAAATTAAACAAGAATTAACAGCTGTGTTAAAGTTGAACAGAATTGCACTTACAGATTGGAAATTTGTTTGTTTTTTTAAGTTACCGTCTGCACTCCATCGGGAATTCTATAAGTTATTGCTATGTGGCCACAGTCTGGGAATCCCGGCAGAGGTGTGTTGTATGTGAAGAACTCCATTGTTCCTGCTGGCTGGTCTCCCTCTATGACACCAAAGACATCTTTGCATATTGGACAGATGGGCCCACCATGTTGCACTGCGCTTTTCAGGCACCCTTTACAGAATTCGTGTTTGCACTTCAGTTGCTCCTTGTTGGTGAATGGACCCAAACAAATAGGACAGTTTTCTTCTTCTGTATCTTCTGCTGTCGCCCCCCTTCCTTTGGATGGTTTGGTGTGATGCTGTGGTGACTCTCCACTCAGAGACAGTCCCCCGGAGGCCCCCTCTGACAGATGAGCACTGGTGAAGCTATTCAGTGAGCCACTGGACCAGGCAGCACCGGACAGTTGGCTGAGGGAACGGTCAGATAGGACTGTCTGCTGGTACAGATTCAGAACAGCTCTGATGGCGTGACTTTCCATTGCCGTGTTTCCTCCAGGTCTCGAGAAGGTAGCTTTGACGGTTACTTTGCCTCGAACCCTGCGGATTTCTTCAAAGTCCACACCAAACTTAGCTTTGATCTTTGCTATTTGTTCATAAGAAGATGTAGTCATCAGCTTCCAGACTGGATCATCAATGTCCAGTCCAGCACTAACCAGCGGGTCCTTGATGGTCATATCTATCTTCGGTGTTGTGTTTTGCAGGGCTGGTTCACTTTGTTTGAGAGGATTAATTGTTGCGTTTAAAGATGCTCTGAAAGCCTGCAGACTTTGCGTTGGCCCCCACGTAGTTATTTCTTCAGAGGTCACAGAGAGCAAAAGCTTGTTCTTGTTTGTCTGGACGACTTTCAGGGCGTTACCCCACTGATCTGGATCCACAAACTTGAGAGGAGTAACTGTGTTATTGTATTCAGATAAACCCTTTTGGATAAGGTTAATAAATTCAGTGACTGCTTCCTTTCCATTCCCATCCTCCTGGCCAGCTTGCATTTTCACAGAGACATTCGACTCGATTCTAACTCTATGTTTTGTCTCTATGCGTTTAATTTCCTCCTTGTAGATGTTGCTGACATAGAAGAACAGACCCACTGGGACAAGACAATGTTCAGCTGCCATAGTTCGCTCTTCAAGAGTGTTTCCTGCTGTAGAAACAGGATCACTCTGTTTTTCAGCCTGCATTTTATCCTGAATAGAAACAAATTTAGATATGTCAATTCTTTGAAAAGCAAACATTCCAGTATTCATTTTTGTGATCTGTTCCCTAGCACATACAGACTGAGGCTCTGGCAACGAGGGAGGAGGGCCCGTTGAGGCATCATCTGATGTTTGGGCGCCTGTCTTTGTCAGACTGATTGACATTATGGTGACTTTTTCCCCATCTCTGCTGGTCAGTGTTTTTCCAGTCAGGTCATCAAGAATTCTCAGCTCTTGAAAGGAAGCAAGACAGAAAACAACATTTTCCTCCAAAAATTATGCAGAAATTACAGAATTACAGTAAGCCATACGATTGAGAGTGTGATCAAGTTGTTATGAGGATTAGTAATCAGTCAAGGTTGACGTCATATCACACCTGGAGGAGGTGAAACCTTTACCACGCCAGTCCCATCTTTTATTGACTCAACTACGCAGTCCACCTTAGTTTTGTGTTTGTTGAACCAAGTCTGAAGAGTCTTCTCAAGACTCTTTTTCGATTTCTGCAAGCCCGTTGGTTCATCACCGTTCGGCCACTTCAATGAGAGACTCAGAAAAACTTCCTCTTTAGCCTGTAATGATGCCATCCCATCCTGAAAACACCACATGTTACCATTTCTGTGCAACTTCAAAAACTCTCTACCTCTAACAGATGTGATTAATTCAGCATGTATCATTCAACACACATTAACTTCACAAGTAGGCTACTGTTGATACCAGAACTATATTGTTCGATAAGCCATCGAAAACGTTGTCGGTGATAAGGATGTTGACCTTTTTCCTTGTACCAAAGCAGTGTTATGATAAGACAGCAGGTATTACTGGATTTTATCCTGCATTCTCCTTAAAACAAAACGAAACAAAAACCTGAAAATAAACTGCACTGTGCAGTTAAAACAGCATTACCATTTACTGAAATCCCTGCAAAAGATAGTACTCTTGTGCTGGCATGCCTATCAATGTCCCCTCATGAACTTTCGTTAATCATTAACAAGATCCAGAGTTTGCAGTTCTCTTACGTCTCCGTCGACTTCCATGGGTTCGGCCTGGGCAGACGCAGACATCTTGACAGTTTTCTTCCTTTAAAATACAGCAAACATTTACATGACATCTTTCGGTAGCACTCACATTTTAAAAAAAAAACCGGGATTACATGTATTTCCAGAGGACCCTGCTTGGAAATACCGACAGGGGGCCGAAGAGCAACGCTCCATTCCACTTTCGGTTTTGACAGCTCAAAGTAAACGAAGACTGAAAAATGCTTGTCCGCTTTATGTGTGTGACAAACACTCGGCGAAAGCTTTAAAACAACCTTATGTCGCACGTATCGCAACGATCTGAGCACGATCTGAGCAGAAATACAGCGCGTAAAGGGGATTTGTGCGCGGTGGCGCACCACGGCCTACCTCCGCCCGGCTGCTCCAGACGCTGGCTTTTCCTGATAAATGAAAGCGAAAGAAGCTGCCTTAGAGGCGGTGTCACGGATGCGGCATTCCAGCTGCCTTAGTTTTTTTTTCCATCAGAAACTTACGGTTCTCCAGACACAGGCATCCAACACAAAAGTGGTCTGTCCCAGGACAGAGATGGAACTTCAGAGACGATTGAGAAGAAATGCATAACTTGCTGTTTTTTAATTTAAGATTATCTGCCTTACACTTTAAACCCCACTTTTATTCAAGGTAATGTGACTCTTTTGTCATGTCCATAGCAAATGTTTTATTGTTACAAGACAAACTATGAACAAATTCCCTCATCAGTGCGCAGCACCACTAAAAGTCTCAGAAAGACCAGGTCAAACTTATTTATTTATGTCAGGAGGACAGTGTTTGGCTTACCTTTTTTCTCGAGTCTGTTTTTTTTGTCATACGTCAGTTGGATTAATTGGAGTAATCCATAAAAGCGTGCTGCAGTTGGTAGTTACTAAAATATGGTGTTTATTTACACCACAAGAGGCTGCAATCGAGCCAGAAAGAAGGTGCGCGTCATTAAGGTGCCCAACACTGGGTTGTAGACTTGTTGGAAAAGATCCCATCAAGCCAGCACTTCTTTCTGCCTGGGCTGAAAATGTATCTGTGGACTACAAAATTGGCTTATATTGCCAGCAATTAACACAACTCAGTTTAAATTGTCTTTAATAAGCCTTTTAAATATCATCACTTTGACAGAGACTCCAAATGCTTCTGAGAGGCGCAAAATGCATCTTTGTTACCATTTTTTTTTTAAACAAACATCAAATCTGAAAAGCAATCTTTGCAAAGGTAAGCAAAATCGAATAAAACACAAATGTGAAGATATTTTTGTCTTAAGTGTAAAAAATAAAGGTACAAAAATGATTTATCAGAGCAACAAGTTAAAGTGGTGTGACATAGAAAAATCCACAGCAAGTCTGTCATAAAAGAAGGCCAAAAATACTTAAATGGTATCAATACCAAAATTTAAATCAACCGAACTAAAATCCATCATCTTTTTAACTTAAAAAAAATCTCAGATTCAAACATTCTTACAGCAACTGGACACCAAAGCAACAAACACTGACATGATTCTTTTTTCACTTCCTCAACTCCACCTGTAAACTGGATTTGCTCACACGGTAAATCAACCTTTTTCTCATCACATCCAAAAATCCTCTCTTAGACTCTGCCATTTCATAACAACTAATCTTTGGTGAGTGCATGTGCATACGGTAAAGTGGACTTTTCAAAGTGTACGTGGATCCACAGAGGGCGGGCTGGATGCAGGTGAAGCTGCCACAGAAGTGCAGGAATGCAAAGAGGAAGGCATCGGTGTGAGGAGCAGCAGAGCGCCACATGGACTGATGACATTCTCATCAGCGGAATACACGATCGGCAAGCAGAGGAACTATTCAGCTTCATCAGTCAGAGTGAACCTGCAATGAGGATAAAGCAAACAAATAGGTGACCAATCACTCGAATGAAAGTGCAGTTAAATGCTCCTTATTGAAAAAGAGATTGGAAAGATTCAATATAAATATTCACGTTTGATACGATGCCATTGTGTTATTTTTTCAATAGGTCTGCAAGTAACAAACGTGAAGCCAAACATTTTCTGAAGATATCTATAGTTATACAAAGCTCTGCTCACCACTGTGTAACACCAGACTTCAGGTCAATCTGGCCCAACTCGATCTGCACCTGAAAAGAGGAGAGTCACATCAGTGATGGGATTCACAGCGATTCAGTGCACTTCAGTGGGAAAACAGGGAGGGAGACGATACAATTAAATGATCACGTATTAAAACCTGAGCTAATTTTTCTTGCGCTGCTTGAGCGCATTAACGGGGTGTTTAATCTAAATAGGAGCGTGTTTTGGAACGATCACGTGACTACACAGGCTCTGGAATCTGGACTGACCTGTCCAATGGCATCTCGGCTTCTGAACGACACCGAGTTGTTTTTCACCGTTACGCTGAGGCGCCTGAATCTTGCCTCCTCCTCAGTCAAATCGTACTCAAACCTAGAAGAGAAAAAAGGAAGATGATGAGAAACTTACGGGAATACAGCAGCTGTTCGGAAACGCAGAAACAAAGCTTTTACCTTTCGTTGAATTGTGGGTTGAGCTCTCTTTTCCTCACAGCTGTCTTTCTCTTGGTGGCCTTACTTTTGTCTGGCAGCAGCATGAGAGAGACGTAGCTGTCTACACCATCTTTACTTTGAGACAACAGACCTCTGTGTGCAAAGAAAGTTGGATAAACTCAAAAGGCAAGACTGTTTTTCACATAACAGTAAAGGTCTTTTGTTGGTAGAAGTCAATGATACGTTTTTTCTCTGAACGTATAGTTTGAGAGTTTGTATTTATTCCGTTAGAGGGAAAAACAATTTTTATAACTTTTAACAAGTCCTTTTATGTGTAGAGCAGACTTAACAGTCTGAATGGAAGTGTTAGGACACACACACACACACACCTGCAGGCATGGACGATGACAACAAGCTTTCTCTCTCGTGAGGCGTACGAAAGAGACATCTTCACCTGTCCGTTTCCAGGGCCAGGAGCAGCACAGGGTAGTGACTCTGAACCAATCATATCCACCATTTTGGAATCCAATACCTATGGAAATAAAAGGATTCATTTGCATCAACTTGTCAGCCACAGCATCCATGTTTTTTCTGTTTTTCAGTGAATTTCACCTTGAGGTCAGCCCTCAGCAGGATCTGACTGTCAGCTAAGGCTCCATCCAAAGAAAACCACTGATCCAGGACCAGCTGTGGCTCTGCAAGCAGCTCCCTCATAGTGACCACAAGAGATCCCATTGGCTGGTCCCAGCCGCTGGACAACTGCAGTGTAAGCGAGAGGGGATGGCCATTTTACAACAACATTACTATCACAAAATCTAAGTTACATTAGCTGTAGTCCCCAGACCCATGAACAAAACAAAGATTTTCTGAAGACAAACAGATGCAAAGAAATGTCTTGCCTTGATCACGAGCATCTCTTTTTTCGGGTCATGGACCATAAAGTAGAAGGACTCATTCCATTGAGGACTGGTGCTGCGATCACACAGCTGGAAAGTTGTGATATAATAAAAGAGGAAGTTATCTTATTAAAAATCCATTAATCTATGCTAAACCAAGCACAGCAAGGCAAATATCAAGTCTCACTTTGGTTTTGTAGGTTGTTTCACCCAATATGAGCTCGGCTCCTGCTTTGGGCTCTTTCCCACTCTTCTTTAACTGTGGTAAAGATGAAAAAAAAAACATTTACATTCCGTGTCAAGTATGACTTTTTGGTTGTTGCACTGTGTGTAAATAAATGACAAGTTACTCACAGGTAAAGAATGCGCTGCCTCTATGAAGACAAACAGGAGAGCAGCAGAGGGAACAGCTTTGTTCTGATAGGACTGGAGAGACTGAAGCTGCAGTATCTGTAACACAGAGAACAGCAACCTCATACTGCTGCAGCGTGAGCGCGGAGCCGTGTGTGTCTTTAAGTTCCTCGGTAGCTTTATATTGTACAATGAAGTTAAAGGGAAGTTGCCTGTGGGTAAATAGACACTGACCTGATCCACTCTGGCTGCATTTGACACAGTAGGAACCCACTCCAGAATCACGTGAACTCGTCCAGATTTGACATCCTTTAGTGTGAACCACTGCAACAAAGACAGTAGCAGCTGAGGAAACTGGATAAACCCTCTCGTTTAAGGAAATGGCACAAACTTAACTCCGAAAACACAAGGTAACAACTTCATGCTCACGAGTTACTAACCTGATCTGAGTACTGTGAACTGATGACCTCATTTAGCGTCACATTAAATCTGTAAACATTCAAGAAAAAGATTTGCAATAACACGGCTGATTCTTCATAAAATTGTAAATGTATGCTACATAAAAAAAATCTAAACTGATAAAGCTGTGTTCATGTTGTTTGAGGAAAACAGGACAATTCTGCACCGTAAATTAGACTGGATATTTTACTGGCATTCAAAAATACAGATTGCTTATGCACATACAATGTCTATGTTAACTTGTGTCTGGAAGCTCCAGAACTTATTAAATTAGCAGCTAAGATAAGTTATTTACCTCAAGAAAACATTTTACATGTCTTGCTGATCAGCTATGAAATAAATACATATTCCCTGCCTAATATTTGAATACTTTTTAGTTCAAGTTAGGCTTTGATTATGGTTTCCAAATCTTGGCACGTCCTGTGCTGAAGTAAAATCTAAGAAACAGGAAAGAGATATTTATTTAAGACTGATGTCTTTTTTTATCTGGAAAAATGATAAGTCATCTGGTAAGTCATGGGTTTATCTTTCACAGGCTGAAATAAGCATACACAGGACTTTGCACTTCTTATCCTCAGGACTGACTTCTGTATTTTGAAAATGAACACACACCTTCCAAGGAAGTCATCAGAATCTAAATCCTTATCAAATGCTTCAAAATTGATGGTTAGGTCACTGTGCCCACTCAGAACAACCTGTTTAAAGCGAAGAAAAGAACACAAAACAGACAAATTTGTAGGAGAAAAATTTGAATAATCTCAAATAATACTGTATGTTGATATGAAATCCAAACTGCCCACCTCGTACATCTCATTCCATGTTGGGTTTAGATTCTCTTTGATGACATGGCTTTTAAACGCGACCTGTCCTACAGCAATCTTGACGTAGGGATCACTCTTGCCTTTCACCATGCCACCCATCAGGTTGTCCTTTGCAACCAGATTCTGAGCCTCCAGCAGGTGAATCCTCAACAGCCCCTTCAGGAGGAACGTGTGAAGTGTTATATGATATATGTATCATAAATATACAGACATCAGCTGCTTGGTGTTGTGATGCTGCACACAGTGTGTGGACTGGCAAATGCTCCCTTTACAAACTAGAGAATGCCACCAATAAACAAATACATATTCTGTGCTACTAAATCTGATATTTAGTCACTGTTGGGTGTACAGTATGTACAGTATTTGATACACTGTGCTACACCGCACCCCAATAACAGAAGATTCTTACTGCAGCTGAAAAATCTATAAAATATCTGAAATTTATCAGAGATAGAGTGGTTAAAAGAAAATTGTTCATTTGCCATTCAGCATGATCACAACTAACCCACCTCTTTACCGAAAGCCTGGCCTGGCTCTGAGTGAGTAGGAAGAACCGGACCCACTTCTGTGACTTCCGCTGACTCCGTGGTGTCCGTTGGAAGTCCTGTGATGGTTGCGTGAGCGAGGCCGCCTAAGCCAGTTCTACAAACACAGAAAGTAGAAGTGAATACAATACATTGATAGATACCGCCCAGTTTCCAGAAAGTAGAGGTGTGAAAAGGACACATTGAGAATTTGTTGTGTTTTTGAGCTCACTTCTCTGTTTGGACTTGATGTTGTTCAGGCTTTGCTTCAACAGCTGTTTGTGAGAATATGGGAGGCTCATCCGCATCTGTGGGTTCCTCCACCGGCTGATAGAAAATTATATGAATTAAATGAAAATAAGATAACATGAATATAGTGACCACTGCATTTTGGTGGTGAGACTCACTTCAGGAAAGCTCTCTTCATGTGCTGAGAGAGTGCCAGCTGGTTGGGTGGGAGCAGCCCCGGCTACTGGTGCTCCGGGTGATGTGTGCTGCTCTGGCAATGCAGCAGACCTGGAAACAACCAAAAGCATGGTTTGGAAAGTTTATGGGTTCCAGCTCTACTGCTGAAGTACATGTATGTAAATCAAAGAAAAACAACTCACTCATCTGTCGGCGGGTCAGAGCTTTTTTCCTCACTATGTACTTCAAGTTTGTCTTCTGTAGGGGTGATTGTATCAACTCTCTTTGAACTGCTTGCAGATGGCTGTGGGACGTCTGTCATACGGGTGTTGAGGATCTGGAAGTAAAAAAAAAAGAAAAAGTTCCTGTCTATCTTCTCTGGTCCAGGCAGAATTGCTCTAACTGGTGTTTGTATAAATTCTGCTACCTTGAGCTCAGCCCTGAGGAGGATTTCACTCTCAGCCAGTGCCCCGTCCAGATGCATCCACTTGTCCAGAACCAGCTGTGGCTCAGTGAGAAGCTCTCGTACAGGAAGCACCAGAGATCCCATTGGTTGGTCCCATGCACTGGATAACTTCACATACCATGGCATTTATGTTAGTCACAAGCTGATGATTTCCTCACAGCAGCACAGACATTTTAATGTTTGTCTGAACTTTGAAAATTTAGTGACCCACCTTCACTATGAGCATCTCCTCTTTGGGTTCACGAACCAGGAAGTAGAAATCTTCACCCCACTGAGGTGTTCTGTTGCGATCACACACCTTCAGGCAGAAAAATAATAATAATGGCATCTTTCATCAAACTCAAACATGTATGAGTTTGTTTTATGTTTGCATGATCCATGCACTACCTTTGTTCTGTAAGTTGTGCTGCCAAAAACAAGCTCAGCTCCAGCTTTGGGCTCCTTTCCACTTTTCTTAAACTGAGCATTTAGGGACAAATGACACAAAAAATGATTGATTAGTTTGTTCATGTTTAGTTGTTTTTCGTAAGATTTTGGTTCTGATCACACAGTCACCTCAAAAATCATGCATTGTTGCTTCTTAAAATGAATCATAAATCCAAAAACAACTCATAGTTCAGCTAATAGAAAGGATAGATCATTTTTGCAAGTCACTGGTTCAAAACATCTGTTATCTACAATCATTATCTAGTGCTCATGCTTTTAAAACTCCTGTTTATCTTTAATCCCGCATTAGCAGACGTCTTATTGTGCTACACAAAACAGCAAATGGAAGGGCACTCACAGGCAGTGAGTGAGCTCTGTCCACATAAACAAAGAGCAGCGCTGCAGAGGTAACAGCCTTATTATGGTAAGACTGGAGAGACTGCAGCTGCATCACCTGCATCCGGGAAACAGGTTAAAAATGCATTAGAGTGACTCAGCAAAGAGAGGGAGAGACCACATTAAAATTAGTGCAAATGTCAAATATTTGTGATTCCAAGCGTGCTGTATGAGAACATGAGGAAGAAACACTGATGTTATATGAAATGCACATACCTGGTCCAATGTGTCAGTATGGGAAACTGTTGGCACCCACTCCAGTATCAGACGCACACGACCAGACTTTACCTCATTCAAGGTGAACCACTGAAACACAGGAGTTCATTTACTCAATCTCAGCCTAGAATCACAGCAAGTGGATCCAAATTTAAGTATAGTTCAAACATAATACCCACCTGGTCTGTGTACTGGGAATGGATAATGTCTGAAACACTGATTTTGAACCTGTTTACAGTGAAGAAGAAAGTTCAGATAAAATTTTCTTAGTTGCCATTCCAAATTAATAAAACCTAAACATTTATTTTTTAACAGGATGAATAAATTTAAGCCTCCACATCAGCTCTCACCTGCCCAGGAAATCATCTTTATCCATATCTTTGTCATACAGCTCCACTTGTAGCACCTGTCCTGGCTGAGGCCTCATGACCACCTGAGGGGAAAACAGAGTTCAAACACAACAATACAAGCGTGGGGATTAATATCTTCTATCAAAGCTAGGCTCACAGCTACTCACCTCATACATCTCATTCCAAACTGGGCTGAGATTCTCCTTGACTACATTACTCTTAAACTGGACCTGTGCTACACTGATCTTGGCATAGGGATCACTCTTGCCCTTCACCATACCGCCCATCTTGTTATCTTTAGCAACCAGATTCTGGGCTTCCAGCAGGATGATTCTCAGGAGTCCCTGCATGAAGGATATGTCAAATCAGTTATAGTCGGTCCAGTCGTATTTCTTGCAAATGCTGCAGCAGGTCACGACTTTTGGAGGTTACCTCACTGGCAAAGCCCAGGTCTGGGGAAGTGTGAGGTGGTTGGGTTATAGCCGGGGCCTGTGATTCTTCCACTTTTTCTTCCTTCACGTCAGCCTCGGGTTCTTTCTGTAGAACTTCTTCATCCCGAGTCACTGAAGAGACAATTGTCTCCACAGGTGGAGTGTCCACTGAACTGGATCTAAGAAAACAAGGACCAATGATAATGCACAAAGAAAAGATAAGGAAGCAATTAAAAGGTTAAAAAAAAAAAAGGATTTCATATTCCTTCCTCACTTGAGTACTGTGTCTGTCTCCTTCTGGCGCTGAGCTGTAGCTGAGTCGGACCCAACAGTGTGCTTTGGCTTCTCTGCAGCACCGGGACACTTGCTGGGAATCAGCAACTGTAATTAAATGGATTTTACTACAATAGCAAAAACGTATAAAACACCTAAAGACAAAATGGTACTATCACAAAGCAAGAGATAAATTCAAGACAGAGAGGCAAACATACATACAGAAGATAAGAGAGATTTTAAAGAAAAATAGTCACTTATGACAGAGAGACTTAAAACCTAAAAAAGATCTACAGAATCAAACATATCCTACCTTGAGTTCAGTCCTCAAAAGGATCTGACTCTCTGGGGAAGCTCCATCCAGATGGAACCACTGATCCAGGAATAGCTCTGGTTCTGACAGAAGTTCTCTAATAGGAATAACTAGAGAACCGATGGGCAGAGTCCAGCTGTGAGAGAGCTGAAGAAATGCAGTGCAAAGTATTAGCGCATGGGGCACATCCATGAGATGTTTAACACTCTATGTCTGTAAGCCAGACTGCCCACCTTAATTACAAGAATGTCCTCTCTGGGATCACGAACCGGGAAGCTGAAAGCCTCATTCCAACGGGGTGAGGTTGTGCGATCACACACCTTCAGAAAAGAAGCGACTGTAAGCAGAACTTAAAAGTACTGAGGAACTATAAACCTCCAACCAGTCCTGCAATTTCTGACTAAGGTTTCGAGGTCTTACTGTAGTTTTACGAGAAACATCTCCAAGAGTTATATCTGCTCCTACTTTGGGATCCTTTCCACTCTTTTTCACCTAAAAAGAGACAAGTCAGGTAATGATATTCGTTGGGAATTAAAGTTCATTACTCTCTCGGACAGCATATAGCTGTATTTGAAAGACTCACTGGTAAGCCTTCTGCTTGCTCGACATACACAAAGAGTAGACCTGCAGAAGGGACTGCTTTGTTTTGGTAGGTCTGCCTGGAGTGGAACTGAAGAACCTAAATTCACAGGAGAAAACCAGGAGTTATGAATAAAACTCGCCGCAGAGCTCAAGCTTTAATTCGGAGACACAAACCTGGTCCAGTCTGTCTGGCTCTGAAGCTGTTGGAATCCATTCCAGCACAAAGTGAATTCGGCCAGATTTCACATCGCTGAGAGTGTACCACTGACAAATAAGGAGAAATCATTCTAAAATGGGAACAACTTGACCTCGCCCCAGTAAAAACAAAACAAAGAAACACTATCATGCCGAATTCCTTTAGCTGAGTCATTTCAGAGATTACATTAAAGCCATTCATTCCTCCAAAAAAATCAAATAAACAGAGCATACCGAAAAAAATCACTAGACAAATTATTAAAGATTCTGAATCTGTTTACCTGATCCGTGTACTGAGATTCAATGAGGTCCCTTAGGCTGATCTTCAGCCTGCCAGAGATATTAGATGAGAATTCATCGAGAAGAATCAAACTAGCAGCAAAGGCGACTAAAGTCAGACAGTTACCTGCCCATGAAGTCATCCTTCATGTCCATGTCTTTATCAAACACCTCCACGTGCAGCTCCTGGCCTGGAAGCTGGGTCAGAATCACCTGGGTGACAAGCCAAGTCCCGAGTTTTAAAAGGTTAACTTATGCAGGTTAAAGACATTTAATGCAAACTCCATTCCCTTTAATATCGCTTCATTCACCTCATACATCTCATTCCAGGTGGGGTTAAGATTGCTCTTGATAACGTTGCTTGTGAATGTTTCACCCCCGATGTTGATCTTGACATAGGGGTCGCTCTTGCCTTTCACCATGCCGCCCATCATATTATCTTTTGGAACTAGATTCTGTCCTGCCAGTAAGTGAATTCTCAGCAGTCCCTGAAAAAAAATCAAATCTAATGAAAAGCTTCAATATGATTGGATGAAAAAATACAACAAGCACATATTTGTTTAGAAATGGGAACACTGTGGCTGACTGTCCTTCCCTTACCTCTGTAGCAAAGCTGGGGTGAGGGGAGGTCTGTTGGGCCAGCTGTTTGGACACTCCAGCCTCCAGGCTCGATGAGACATCAGATGAAATGTGTTCTTCATCTAACCACAACATCTGCATTAAAAAGGAAAATAGAAGAGACAAGGACAGAAAACTAAGACTCCATTCCGTGTGGCGTTACATCGTTTCTTCCAATTTAGACATTGAGGCTACCTACCCTGAGAACTGCATTTACGTAGAGGCGACTGGCTGATCCAGAATTTTCCAACTGGAACCATTGGTCCACAAAAAGAGAAGAGTTCCCCAGGAGGCGGGACAGTGGGATTGTAAGGCTACCCAAAGTCTGCACACGATCAGCATCCTTCACCTGATCAAAGAAGGCCAAATTAAGACAAAACGGTTTTGACTACGAGACGGGCATATGGGTAATATTTCACTGGCCGTTACCTGAATATCTATATCATGCTTGCGAGGATCTTTAATGAAGAAGGTAAAAGCTTCTTCCCACTCAGGATTTATGGTTGTGTAACAGGTCTAAAGACATAAATACACAGTATGCATATTAAAAAGAGGGGAGAGAAACGTTTTCGACAGTGCTTTTGAACAGATCCTCCTTCGGGCATACCTTGCTCTCTCTGGTGACGCCCTGCACAGACATCTGCACCATTGGATTGGGCTCTTTATTTCCCTTCTTCATCTAAAGAGGACATGTACGTAGTGAGTCATATGAGCAGCGAAATTCTGTGACCACGGGCGGCGCAGTGAACGCGCTTCTCTATCACCATGAAACACGTGGTGGTGGATGGCAGTGGGTTTGAGGCTACCATAGCAACAGCACAAATAACTGACAGAGGGCCTCGTGCTGCATGGCACAATCAGGAAGTCAGCAAAAACCACAAACTAAAATGTGGTTTCTTCACCCCTGTTGTTCTTTTTTGCAGCAATGTGACAGCAGAAGTTTGGAGAGTAGGCAACATGCGTTTTATCATTGTGGAAAAAAAGTGAGAAGCTTCATCCCGTTAAAGATCAAAAGACTAATTGGAGTTTGAGACCGAGGCGAGACGGGCCTGGAATGTGAGACAGATGGCGCTCACTTTTCTGCCTCCGTTTAACTACACAGGAAGCAGCTCTACACATTTATGGGCTGAGGGGGTAGATATTTGACTCACGGGAAGTGCCTCAGCCTTGTCCAGATACACAACCAAAATGGCAGAAGATGGAGGATCGGAAGTCTTGGTGATGACGCTCTCATTCCTCTTTAGGATCTGTATAAAATGCAAATAGATTTTTTTCTTTTGTGATTTTTTAACATATAAAGTGAGACTGTTAAATAGCACAAGATAAATCTTGGTAAGGAATTAATAGGGTAACATATCAGTGGAAATGAGATTCCAACCTGCTCTAATTGATCTGTGCTGGGCAGTAAGGCCAGCCACTCCAGTCTGAAATGGACCCGTCCAGATGGTGTATCCTTCAACGTGAACCACTAAGAGAACAGGCACATATTTACTCATCTATAGTCAGAAAATTGTCGGTAGAAAAATTGGATCAAGTGATAATGGCTCTCCACTCACATCATCAACAACAATGGATTTCTTCACGATGCCCAAATCCAGTTTGGTCCTACACCATGAAACAGAGGAGAAACATGTTTATGTAACTAGAAATTAATAATAAATTATACAATGCATCACTTAAATCTTTCGGACTCTTTGTAATTGTTCATGAAGGCGACACGTGAATGATGAAAAGGGAAAAAGTGCACAAAAGACATGAAATATGCACGAATACCTTCCCAGGAAATCATCCTGGTCTGTGTCTTTGTCATAAACTTCCACCTCCAACTCCTGACCAGGCACTTCATGGACTATGACCTGATGTACAGGACACACAACAAGACACATGGACTGACAGGGCGATCTGTATGGAAGCTGTCAGCAGCTCAGTGGATGAAAAATGACCTTGCTCAAAGAGCCCTTTAAGTTTCCATTCCCTATTAAGTGAAATGATTTTACATACAGCTAATGTATACAGTAATGAAATACAATGAGTCTACCACAACTTGTACAAACACGTAGTGAAGGGGGTTGCACAAATCTTTCTCTTACATTCTGAAAAATCCTCCCTTTTCCTCACCTCATACATCTCTTCCCACTTAGGAGAGTCTGTGTTATCAATGTGTTTGGAGGTGAAGGTCTGAGGGCCAACCCTTAATATGGCGTAGGGGTCAGATAATCCGGCCATCACACCCCTGACATAGTTGTCCTTGGCTGCCAGATTCTGTGCCTCCAGCAGGTGGATTCGCACCACACCCTGAGGAGAAATAAACCGGTTAACATTATGGTGCTTTGGGAGACATGAACTCCAGCTGTTTCAATGTGTGGGGAGGTATTCAGGTTTCACCCGGGGCAAAGGAGAGCGCAGGTGAGACACGTGCAGACCAGGGACCAATGGGACAACCAGACGGTTGGGCAGCACCAAGAAGGAGGCGATGGCATCCATGATCATACTGTCGGACATGACACTGCCACAAATGACAAAGAAAGAATTCAGGATGAAAAAGGGGAAATACTAAAAACAGTCCAGAATATGACTAAAAGAAGGTTGTGATCATTGCTAATGTTTTACTCAGTCGGGTTATTTCAGCCTGACTCACTTCAGTCCAGGGATGTCCAACAAATTGGTCAGTCCTGTCCAATTGATGTCCAGTTTCTGGGGGGGAAAAAAACGAGACAGATGCAGTGATCAGTCAGGACTGACAAAAGGGACAGAAGGCACACGTGGTTATGCAGAGACACATGATAGCCGCAGTAATTGCCGAGTGAGCAAAAAGAAGAGGACAAATAGAGGTGAGTGTAGAGTCACGTACAGGCCGCCGTATGAAGAACATACTAACTGCCCCCACTATGGGCACATCTCCAATAAGAGGCTCCAGAATCACACGCATCATCCCATGGAGCTAAAAACAGAAAAACAGAAAGACTGACTCACAGAGAGGCTCATTAGCAGACGTTTTACACGTTGTCATTCAGTGAGTGGTTAAGACCACCCACCTGGATTCCTTTGACTCCAGCTTTGCAGAAGTATCTCTTCACTTCAACGTTGATCTCTACGTTACCAACATAGCTGCAGACACAAAAAACAAAGAGATCGCCTTCAATAATGTCCTCAGAGACAGGCCACCAGAACACACAGAGAAAGGTGGAGACACTCACCTGATGTATAGATCCAACAGGACTTGTCCCTTATCGTTCTCTGTGTGGGCCTTGATACCCACCACTTTCATAGCCTGAAGGCACATTTGCATACAGAGCAAATAATTATTTCATTCTGCAAACAGTTTGTGTGAAGCTACACTATACTGTCATTTTGCCTTCAATTCCATCACCTTGTCTCCCATGTCCACCTTGGTGAAGTTGAGGGTCTGCAGGTGGGCGCTGGAGGCTCTTATTGACGGAGCGATGGTTTCGACCAGCAGCTTCTCCAGGTACTGGCCAACGAACGGCCAGACCTGCTGCAGCACCTGGTGTGGGAAGCAATCGCTCTGAACACAGGTGCTTTACTGGATGGAAAACACTGCTGTCTAAATTCTTGCAGCCCGCTTAGAATATTCAGTATCAAAGTATCTGTCAGCCCCCCCCTGGGTTCCATAAGCAATAAGATAAGAGTGACAGAGCCAGCTGGAGGCAGCTGAGCCTTCTCAGCTGTCACTCGTCTTCACATGCTGTGTAACAATGAATTCTGAGAGGAGCGCTTTTCACCAAGCACTTCAGTTTTGATCCTACTGGGAAAGAATCTAAAAGCAGAGACACTGTTTGGCCTTGTGCCTCTGTGGCTTGGAAAAGAAGAAAAAACAACCCCGAGTTGGTTATGGTCTGGCATTAGTGGGGAGTGAGTCATCAGCCGCCTCCTCCTCCTCTGGAGGACAAAGGGAATCTGCTGACCACCCCTCCAGTGCCCGTTCTCAAACCGACTCTTTGTCTGTCGTCCGACGCTCACATCTCGTGGTCGTGAGAGCATGAAAAGTTATTTTTGTGCGCGATTACTGCTGGCCTTAGTTTCTCCGGGGTTGGAAGCGCAGAGGGGCCGCAGTTTTATTTAGTTTGAGGGGGCGAAACGGCTCCTCCCCCTTCCTGTCAGCCTGGCTGGCTGTAATGAGATGGAAATGTTGAGCGGGTTGCCTGGCTCTGGGCCTGCTCCCTGCAGAACAGAGCTACGCTGCCGGGGGGCGTGGCCCCTCCAGGGAGGCAGCACAGGGGTCTATCTACCGTCTATCAACCAGCACGGGCTATTAGCCAAACATACTCGATCAGGTGTCACTCATCACAGCAGCTGGGGCTCTGCCCGGGTTTGACGTGCGTTTTTAGTTTTCTCTGGTTTGTAAAAGAATGGAGGATCGTGTAACACAACGAGCAGGCAAAGTAGGAAATGGCTGACGTCTCACCTTATTTAGCCACTCGACCTTCTCAACGTCTGGAAAGTTTACCTAATGAAAAAAGAAAAAGCACAGGCATACTTCAGTTGTTTCGAGACATAGCTGGATGGGGATATGATTAAGTTAAATACGTCAGTCTGGAAAAGTCTTCAGCTACACGGCAGATACGATTCAGCCTACTCAAACCAGACGGCAAATATTTACAAAAGGGGAAAAAAATACAGACAAAAAGAATGTGTGGCCAAAGATCACTTCAAATAAATGGCTTATCTTTAAAGGCATGGATACTCCTGCAATCTACGTTCACTTGATGTTTCCCTTTTTTATATTTCATAAGGTCTGAATATGTGAGCAGTTGTTGAGCTAAAGATAAAGAGCAGAAAAGGATTGAATGGGCAGAGGAGAGCAATGCAGACATGCACCTTCTTAAATCCTTTAATCTGGGTAAACATGCTGTGTAGTTCTGCAAGCCATCCCGGAAATCACTCAAATCAAAGGAACCCACAGGATCCTCTTTCGGGTGTGTCCACACGCGACTGAAAACTGGGCCACGTGGGGTTTACCACAACATTTGGGTCTACTCGTGTGGATGTATGCACGAATTTGCATAGGCTGTGGGACTGTGTGACACATTCCACTCATCCCTGATAACCATTGCAGAATCAATAAGGAGGGCAAGTTGTTGGTGAAATGCACTTCTCTGAAGTTTGAAACAAATTGAGCAAATTCTGCTGTGGAAGTTATAATTTTAAATCAAAAAGGACCACGAGGATATAAAAGCAGTGATTTATCATGTTATGACGCGTCAGTAAAAAGAGATTTGGTTTGTTTAGTACTTTAAAGCTGCAAAGTCCTATCATGATTCAGTTATTTATCTAACAGTGAGGGGTTACTGCAGGTCGATGGGAGGCTAAGGAAGATTACTGAGGACAGCCCTCGCTCCTGAGCGGCTCTGCTCCGGTTGTTGTCTTACCCACGCAGGGAGATCTCGCTTGATTTTGGACACCTTTCTGAACGTGAGCTCTTCCTCGTCGCTTATCATCTGGATGGCGGACCGGAGGCGCTCCTCCTTCGCCTCCCGGGCGTGTTTCCATCCCGTGTAGACCATCATACCGCACACCAGCAGGCTGGTGCTGACCCGGTAGTAGCCGGCCAGATAGACGGGCAGCAGGGCCCCCAGGCATTTGCCGAAGGTCCAGAGCACGGCCACGGCGCTGATGCCCTTGGGCCGGTCCTCTCCGGCCCCTGGGTCTCCAGACCCCGGGTGTCCGGCCCCCGGGTGTCCGGCCCCCGGGTCTCCGGCCCCCGGCGCGCACAGCGCCGCGTCCTGCGCGCCGTTTGGACTCTCGGTGCCTTTGGACTCGGTCGGTTCGGATTTTTCATTCTGCATCGTGGCGTCTTCTGAAGACATGGTATGAATAGCGCTGGACGGGGTAAAAAAAAAAACAGAACAAAAAACGGTCGGATTAAACTGTCTCGAAAGTTAGAGAACGCTTAAAGTTTCATGTCTAACGCCGGCTAGGGGTTGGACCAAACGCGTACAGGGCTCCGGTTCCGTCACTGAGCCTCAGCTGCTCCACGTCGCATCGTCTTCAGGCGTTTTACCGCATGCCTGTCTGCGCTCAGCTGTCGCAGCTACACGGAATCGGTACGGCTCCACGAGAAGTTGCAGTTCTGGGCCTCACCCAGTCCCGTTAGTCGGAGAAAAACACGCCCATTGGAGCAGAAAAAAAAAAGAAAAAAGGATCATCTTTGACGTTTTGGCTGCTGCGTCACGGTGGCTTTTTCTGCGCAATTACCGCGGCAAGGCGCACTTCCCAAGATCATTTATTGAAATATAACCCAGTCCAATAACAGAACCATCACTCAAATAATGCTAACAGGGCCGTACCAAGCTGTCAGCTCTCCTCAAACCATCTGAAAGGGGCGGACTAGGCTTTTTCTTCCATTTTCAAATCAGGACTAACGCCAATTTTGAACCAAAATGCACCGGGGATTTCTTTTGTATCGTTCAGACCTTAAGCCAAATATTACTGTAAAAACTTGAAAGTTACAACAGAGAGCCCTTTCAGCTCTATATAGCAATGTCAGAGTGATGAGTTATTTTAGTCTGTGAGGTAAACCTGTTACCCAGGGTCAAATGCTCCGTTTGTTTAAGCAGAAAGGCATACCAAGGCAGTTCTTGAAGACACAGAGATTATCTTCACGCTTATTCTACATGACTCCACCCAAACGGCTGAAGCAATAGGATGTTTATGAGCATCAAATCTGTTTGCCTTTCCCTCCAGCTCTCAGCTGCTGTACAAAAAGAAATACAAGACGGGACTCACTGTCAAGTGGTTATTAAAGTTTTTGTCCTATTTTTTAATGTGCACAGTACCAAAGTTAATTTACACAAAAGAAAATATCCACAAAAATATAAATGCAACTTGCTTGTACTGTGGTGTGTGTTCACAGCGGGCTCGCTGTGGCGGTTCAAAGACTATGGGAGACTTCCCATACCTCAAGTCTGCTGGCGTTTGGGGATGAAAATATCCCCGTGGTACGCGTTTCTTTGCCAGATTCGCAAGTCAGTGAGTCTGCAGGAAAAGAATGTTTATGTTGCCAAAGATGGGATTTACAGAGAGATAAGCATTCATTCTGCCCTCTGCTGGAAAGTCTGAGTACCGACTCATCAGTGCTTTGTCAACAGCAGAGATAAAAAAACAAACAAACATTAAATTAAAAAAAAAAGTTCTTCTTAATTAAAACTTTTAGGACACCGCAGCCCAGACTCTACTCAGTGTGGCAGGGTTGTGATCCTCATGCTCTGACTGGCGATGGGGTAGGACACCATCGGGGTGGTGGCGTGGCTCATGGTGATGCCGGGCAGGGGCTGCGTCATGGACACGGCCACGGGCGCCACCGACACGGCCACCTGCGCCATGGAAACAGGCGGCGCCATTCCTTGGGCGATTGTCTGCGCCAGGGCGGCTGAGAGCGGCGTGATCTCGGGGTTGAGGTGCGGGGGGGGCGCTGTGGGTGGGGCTGCGTTGGTCGGGGGTGCGGCGGGCGCGCCTGTGGGCGCCACCAGGTCCTGCTGGGTGACGGGGCGGGGCTGCAGCCCGGCGCTGCTCAGCGTGGTGTGAGTCTGAGCGATGCTGTGGTTGTAGGAGCTCACCGCTCCCACCGGGGGCGCCATACTCTGCTCGGTGGGCGCAGGAGTGGAGGACAGCGTCATCACCTTGGCCTGGCTCCGGAACTGGGCGTTCTGCTCCAGCAGAACCTCGTTAGTGGCAAGGAGGTTGGAAACCTGAGGGATAGGGAGGAGAGGTAAGGAAAAGGAAGAAACACCTCGTTCAACTTCAACGGACACCAACCATCTACTTCAGGTTCAAGATAAAGACAAAAATTCCTGCTTACAATCCTTAAATATTCACATAAAACATGTCTGTCTCTTGTTAATGCTGCACAGTTGGGCCTCTTTCATTTCAGCTTTTTATATATGCATTGTTCCTGTTTTTAGGGGGTGCACAGGATGTTGAGGAAAAAAAACTCCAGAGGCGGCAACTGTTTGAAAGGAAAACGGCTCATTCCTGTTAAACAATGAATTTTTCCAAGGAAACAACTCTCCTGAGTAACATTAGGTTATGTATTGTTTTGGCTGGATGATCACACATCAGAAGAACTGAAGCAGGAAAATGCTACTTAATCCTTTGTAGGGCCAGTCTGAATTTAAAACCTCTGCATTCAGTTAAACATTAATTTTCAAAGTTGAGCTCTCAAGCTATTCGAAACTCAATAAGTTCCAATATGATTTCCCTCCAAACAAAGCACCCCTTCTGATCCACATGAGCACAGGCTGCTCTGCATTAGGACCTCCATGTGACGGTACTACAGACAGGACTGACAGTGTTTCCCATGAAAAGGTGCAATGTCTCACCTTTTATAGGGTAAAAACAGTCAAATAATAATTGAATCTGATGAGTTTGTTGAAGTGGAAAACTATTGTTCAGTTAGATAAACTGATTTTCGTTTAATCCTTAAGAGATGGGGAACAATCTGAGTTGTTCTCGTCTTATTTTTTCCCATAATCTCATTAAGGTCCATTAAAGCCTCGGACATGAGAAACATGTCCTTAAAGCCACTGGTAATAGAGAACTATTTCTGATGCAACACAGGCTACACCTCTGTTTAAGCATGCGCTCAGGTATTTTGCTAATTCTTTTTCTAAATTAAATGTCGGTTTGGGATCTGTACATGTAAATATCTGAACTGAAGATTCACGGATTGTGGTCTGACAAAAAATTATCTTTAAAAATGGGGTAAATACAACGGCTGCCATACAGGTCCAAATCATTGTGGATCCAACACTTTGATGGTTGTACTCCACTGCTTTTATTGAGGTGCTCACACTCACAAGTATCAATAATTGAAGCCTGTTTGATCTGATAAATTCATTCTTGTCTGAAAGATAAGATCCAATTAATTTTCTAAAAGATTTAAATACTGACATCAATTTTTTCGTTTCACATTTTTTCAGGGACTAACCTGCTTCTTCAACTCTTCCACTCTCTTCCTCAGCAGCGAGTTTTCCTCTTCCAGGAATCTGTACTCTAAGGGACGAGGTGGCAGAGCGGCTTGAACCCCCAACTCATAGTGTCCTCCCACGCTTCCATCTGTCAGGCGAAACCCCTCCAACCGCCGCCTCTTCAGCTGCAGGGCAGTGTGGTCCATAGAGGCCTCTATCGAACCAGGATCGAACAGCCCGGTCTCCAGCAGAGGGTCATAAACCGAGCACGTGCTCCTCTCGTACCTTCTCTGTCCCGAGGAGGCCATGGACAGGCAACCACTTATCCCAGCGCCACCTGCTCCCACAACCCCCGAGATACCCGGATCTCTGCAGCCACCCAAACTGGGACAACCTGTTCCCATCATATTGGCTCCACCTCCACCCCCCATAAGTCCTTGCATGGCTCCACAGACACCTCCGCCTCCAACTATGCCTCCTACGGCATTAACCACTCCACTGGCACCCTGCCCCATGACACCACCAACCCCGGCCCTGGGAGGTTCATATTCATAGTCTTTTTGGACATGGCGAAATTTACATTTGTTGCCTCTCTGGCACTCTCCCTTCAGGAAGTCTCTGCAGATAGGAACCTCCCCCCGGCTGTGGGGGAGATCCATAGGGGACAGGCCAAGTCGTGCAGCAACTTTCCCTCTCAACCTGAGCGGTAACTCCCCCGTCTTCTTGTAATAGTCCTCATCCTCTTTTGATCCATGGACAAAGCGGCAGTTGGAGCGCATGCACTCCTTATTCTGATGGTCGTGACAAAAGATGAATTCATTCTTTTGCACTCCCAAGTCTGGCACCTCGTTGAAGTCCGGGTGTCTGAAGCGGCAGCGTTTCCCCCTCTTGCAGACATTGCGAATGAAATCCCTGCAGATGCCATCAAAAGGCACTCCTGAACCTTGACCCCCACCTCCACCGTTCCCACAACCGTTGCTGTTTCCAAGTGCTCCTCCTCCACCCATGCCCCCTGAGCCTGAGATGTTATTACCGACACTTCCCCCTGGACCTCCTCTTCCGTCCCCTGAGCCTCCTGCCAAACCGGACACGGGTCCTCCTTCCTCAACCAGACTACCACCAGTCCCACCACCTGACAGGTAGGAGCTGTCCCGGTCAGGCATGGCGCTTGGCCCAGCTCAAGGAGAAAATGGGACTCATGTGTGTGGAGATGGCTGACGTGACCTGTCAAACGTGCATATAAACAGGTCAACAAGTCATGGGTTGCTTCGTCTTCCTTCCTTAGAGTAATTATATCCTTGTTGCATTCATCTGCAAGACACAAACATTTTTTGTTTTAATAAAAAGAAAGAGTCAATTGACAGCTTTAAAAGTCTAAGAAAAGATAAATGCCATTGGAATAGATAGATTTAAACGCGAAACAAATCTACAACTACAAAACGCCTGTGAAAACCTTGCATACAAAAAGAGACTCCACTGTTGTTACCAGCTGAGGGCTGCCAGCTGCAATACTTTAGAGAAACCACACAAACCAAATCGTTTGAAAGCGCACGTTTTTGTCCGTAGACAACATGCAAAGACACAATTGTGTTACACTTCACAAAAAGCCTAGAATGGTGCGTCGACCCCGCTGTGTTGGCTGCATAGCTAATTGCTAACAAACGTTGTCCTGCTACAAGAGTAAATGTTTTCTTTATCTTACCAGATCACGACAGCAACCCAGCGGGTGATATTTAGAGATGACGTTTGTTTCATTATCTGATATTACCTCCAGATACCTGTCTTATCAACAACACCAAAAGTCGGGTTGGACTTATTTTAGCCAATACCACAAGGCCCCGGTGCTGTTTACCACCGTTCTTGCTGCATCTTTGAGTACCAACGAAGAAGACTACAGTCTTCTTCTCCTTCTGCCCCACTCAGGGAGGAGTTTTCCCCACCTAGCGGTGAAGATAATAAACTGCACCCTGGTCTAATCACTTGTGTGTTGGCGTTTAACCAGGAAATAATACACATATGACATAAAGGAGAATGTATATAACATAGCACCAAGTATAGACTTGATGACCGGTACTAGCAACATTTTTTTTACAGTAATATCTCTATGTGGCAGACTGAAACCACTTTGAAAGTCACATTCCGATGACGTGTAGATCAGGTAACTTTGAGTGATGATAGAACCGGCTTGTCAAACCACAAGGTGCCAGCTGCTTACTTTTGGATAAGCTTTTAGTTCCTCCTTCTGTGTTGCTGTCAACATGGCTGCTACAAGTGCTTTCCACTGGATGCCCGCCTCCGTGGTGCTGCTGCTCTGCCTCACAGAGGTCTCCGGGACCACAAAGACTTACTATGACACGCTCCGGGTCGAGCGGACGGCCACGGAGAGCCAGATCAGGCAGTCCTTCCGCAGACTGGCCGTAAAATACCACCCCGATAAGAACAAGAGTGCCGACGCCGAGGCGACGTTCAGGGACATCGCTGAAGGTAAGTTCAGAACAGCCTCAGAACTCATCCGGTTCCCCATCGTCCCAGGTTCAAGACCGGTCAGGTGTGAGCTGCACATGGGCTGAGAGGCAGGCTCCTGACAGGGGCCTGACACAACTTTTAAATGTCCTCAGGAACAGGAAGCTGCTGAAAGTTAATGTCCGAGAATGCACTTGCGATGAGGTATAGTTGATGGATGCTGGATAATCTGTCAGAACAGCACTCAGCCAATGAACCACAAGATGTGGATCAGATGTGTGTATTTTCGTTGTCATTCAGTGACAGCGATTCAGTTTTAAGTTACTAAAATAGTGGGTTTTAATTGCCTCTAAAGGTTCGCCCTTCGAGAATGACTCAGTTTTTAAGTTGACAAGTCAGAACACTTTTAAACTTGTTGAGCCCAGCATCCTGTCAGTGCTTATTGGTGCGAGGTTAGGGACCCTTTTTGTTCAGATATCTGAGATTAATCATTGGAAAATTATCTCATTCAAGTCATTTCCCACAATTGTATAACAAATCACAAATGTATGCATCTTAGGTTATTCTTCTCTGTTATACTGTAGGTGACTTTTGTTACCTCGTACCCCTTGGATTAATATTTGCTTATCAAACTGCTTGTCCCCCCCCCCCCCAGCCTATTCAGTGCTCTCCGACAAGGACAAAAGGAGGAGATATGACAGCGTGGGCCATGAAGCCTTCGTAGGAAACGAGGCCACCGTTGAACCTGAGGACCAGACGAGTTTCCACTTTTCTTTCGCAGATTTCTTCCCTGACTTTGATGACACCTCCTTTGCGGAGGCTTCACACTTTCACTGGAGCTCCCTGCAGGAGGAGGAGCATGTAGAGAGTTTTGACATTTTTGAGGAGTCAAATTTCAACTTTTACTTTGAGGAAACAGATGACAGTGAAGAGCAGCGCCTGTACTAGATGTCCACTTTCTTTAATCTGAACTCGGTGTGATAGTTCTGTTCTTTATTCTCGGTCATTGATAATAAAGTTTTTTTATGACGTTCTATCTTGTATGTGAAATGTGACGTAAATATACTCTTGGAAAAAGCTCCTGTGCTCTGCCTCTTTAATGGGATATCTTGTAAATTCAGTTGCTGTGAGGTTAAATCGGGTAAGTAGATAACTGAAACGACCGTTACCGTGCTTTTCCTATGTGGGTGTGTCAGAGCTCCACAGTTACTGACTAACACACTATTTACTCCTCTTTTTCCCTGAGCCAGCACTTTACATCTAGTCGGGTTTTACTCCATGTCTCTCAGGACCATTGTGCACTTTGACCCAGAGGATATCCTGTGCTTTCTCAGCAGTTGCAGCTTTAGTGCACTAAAGCCAACAGACAAAAGTTCTCCACAGTTTGGGGCACTTCAGTTGCTACAAAAAGAGGATTGTATTATTCTCCCAAGCAGAGGACAGACACTTTGAAAAGCCTCAATTTCAAGCTTTGACAATGATGGTAAGTACCTCTGAAAATAGATTCTTTCGAAAAACAGAGTCATGTGACAACTCTTTCCTCTAAGCAGACATCCATTACAACAGAGTGGCTTTACGATGCTCTCTTTCTTTATGTTTAGTGGCCAGGTCTGTGTTGGATGGCACTGATCGCATCGACATTTGCGTGTTTTTAATTGCAGGATGAAGTGAGAGATGTTTCCTCTGTCCTGAGCGTCCATGTTGATAACATCAGGATAACAGAAGTGCTGCAGGATGGAGACATGCTTACCTTTATAATTGTATCTCAGAAGGTGTTGATTGATGCAGCATGCACTACACCCGATTCATTTAAACGATAATGTGAGAAAGCTGGACGGATTAGAGGACCTGCTGTCTCTGTGTTCTGTTCCAGCTGTCTGGGACAGGGGAGTACCATGTGGACCGGACCTGTGATGACTTTGAGTGGCTGCAGCAGCACTTGTTCTCTCAGGAGGATGTTCCCGGGATACAGGGAGTAATAGTGAGTTCAGTCCAAACTAATCACAGTCCAGTACGTTCCGTTAAGATAAATACATTGATATATAAGATATATAGTTATGTAAATCAACAGATTCCAAAGTTAAATATTCCACATTTGGCACATATAATATAATTTAATGAATGATGTCATTTGTTTATTTATGTATTCAATCTTATGTTGGTGCTTTGGGTAGGCCTGTTCTTTCCCACATCCTAAGTCGAAACGTTTGTTCCGAAATACAAACATCAGCTTTCATCCTCGTGCATCCCAGAGAGCGGTTTAGTCATCTCTCTGACAAGCTTCACTTGCATCTGTTGTGTCAGCTTTGCAAATTTGAGCTCCTGTAAAACTTCTAATGTAATGAAAATTGATAGAACAAAAAAATAACACACACACACACACATACACACAGAAGACGGCAATGTCTTTTGAGAAGCCAGGTCAAATGAAGCGCAACTTTTCTTTTGCCTTTTCAAGTTTCCCCCTCTTCCGGTCAGGGCTCAGGTGAACGCATCGGCCAAGGTTGTGAAACAGCTTGGTGAGTGCACACAGAGGCAGCCTCAGCACAAATGCATAGAAAACTCAGGCTAATAGAAGACATGTTGAAAAGTAAAGTCAGCTTCATGTATTTTCTATCCTGCAGGTTTACTTGGTTTAGGTGAGTGGCAGCCCTACTGCAGTGCTCTGGAAACCTTCCTCAGGCAGGTCGCCGCACACAGCATACTCAGCAAAAATAAAGCTGTGGAGGTCTTCCTGACTAGCGTGGATGTAAGTAACTTTCTCTCCAGGTTTTATTTTTCAACCTTCTTTTTCATACTTTCAGATTCATAATAAAACATTTTTATGTTGCAACAGAGCAAAAAGGGCTCTCTCTTTATGAGAGCCACATAATAAAGTGTTAATCTTTCACAAACATTATTTACCTTTAAGAGTGTTTTTCATGTGACCTGTAGTACATGGTACACTCTAAATTCACCAGCACCAGCACTTTGAAAGGCTAAGCCAGTAAGTTTTCTCTACTTTGTTAAACTGAGTTAGACACAGTCAGCGTGTAATGTATAGATGTCACTAAATATACTCACTGTGTGTGTGAGATCCAAACAATTTACTAGATAATAGAAAACACAACCTCGCAAAAAACGGATGACTGCACAATTTTAGCTCCTATAAACATTTAGTCTTTATAGGCGTGTGCAAATATATGTACAATCAGCTCCTGCCTTTGAATTTTGCTTTAACAGTCAGTGCTGGGTGCTCCAGAGTAATTACTTTTCTGGCTGAGAGGGAAAAAAAGAACACCATATATTAAGCATTAGTAGCTTTAATTTGTTTAATCTGTGTTGGTAAAAACATTTCCTCCAAAAATATGTGTGACTGTGTATGTGTTTCCAGCCCTGTGCCGCAGTATGTTATTGCAGTGTATACTAGGATCAAGTCTAAACTAGCTTTATCATGTTAACAGCCTCCTGGGAGGCAGAAAATAAAGAAAAACATATTCAACCGACTGAGCCAAGCTGTGGAGGGGATGAGAAAAGAAGGCCATAAGGTATGCACATTGCTTTCTATACAGCTTGAATTTAGATGCTGGAGAATGTGAGTTTAAGAGCTGACTTGTCTGTGACTGTAGGATGTGGATGAGTTCTTTCAAACCGAGCGTGATCATAACCTCTTGCTCACTAGCTGCACTAAGACCGCCGCTGAGGTGAGTCAGCCACCTGAACACCTTTTACACTTTTTGTATACACAGACATGCTTTCACGGTGGGATCTTCAAACTTTGCTTTGTGTTGCAGAAATTCCTAGACCTGGTGCTGACCGAGCAAAGTAAGCAATTCGCTGCTCTCAAAAAGTTAAATTTCATTTAGGTTTGGATGCAAACTTCCAAACTTCATGTGTTCGGATAGTGCTTGTAATAGAATATGTCATGTGGAAATGTTCATGAACACCACAGTGCAGAGTCCAGCTTCCTGTTGTGTGCTCTGTTCTGGTTTGGCAGAAATTGCAGTGGCTTTTGGGCACTTCTCAGCCTCTCTGCAACTCTGCGTGGAAGCAGGGGATGATCCAGAGAAACAAGCTTTCTCTCGGTGAGAGATAAACATAATCCATCATCCTACACCAATGCAAATATGGAGGCTAAATATCTTAGACTGGTTCCTGCAGTTTGCAGTCATGCTTCACTTAAAAACTTGCAGTTCACACTTCCTTTAAAGAAAGAGACATGCATGTTTGAACTGACGTGATCCAGTGTTTTACTTCAAATTAGAAATGTGTAGCTGTGCTTGAGAAATAATCCTTGTTTTCTTCTCGCAGTGTTTGTGTGAAACTGTCTGAAGTCTTTGATTCTATGAAGGTAGCCCGTTCTTTTTCAGTGGAGACGTATGCTGGTGTCTGTGGCCAAACTACTCACTATGTGTTCTGTTTTTACAGAAAAGTATGATGAGTGTGGCTGTGAACGACGTGAGCAGCCTTGGACTGGGCCTGGACCTGGAGTCTCGTTACCAGGAGGCAGAGAAGGTGTGTCAGATCTAAAGCCGTCTGATTGGTTTTCAGGATGAATTTATTGATGTGTTAATCATTATGTCCAATGAAGGAAATGCTCTTCAGGAGAACTTGTAAACTGGTGGAGTTAGAGAACGCCACAAAGAATGCAGAGAAGGCCAAACCTGTAAAGAAGACTGCTGTGAGTGTGTGAACCTTCAAATAAAATGAATTCATTGCCGGGTAGATGCTATGCATCCCCACATGTGACCAGCAGGTGTCAGCAACAATCTACTCTTACAGTTTGGTAACAGCCATAAAATGGAAAAAGAATCTGTGCTGCTCTAATGACCTATGTAAAGTGATGACCTGCTCCCTCATCCTTCAGATGGAGGAGGTGAAGACAGCAACGGAGACTGAGTTTGAGCAGATTTGTAAAGTTGCCAAGCAAGAGGTAAGGCATCCAATACACAACCGATTTCCTCTTTTTTCATGTGGATGACTGCCTGTACTGCTGTCGTTCCATACACACGATGTCCTCCTCACAGATTCTTCACTTCAAACGCGAACGCGTGGAAATGCTGCAGCGTGCTCTGGTTCAGTGGAGTGAAAAGCAGCTTCTTACGGCCAAAGAAAGTGCCGAGGTGTACAAGCAGCACCTGCAAGCCTTTAAAGCCATGGCCTAATGACCCCAGTTCCATCTGGAGTAAATAAAATAAAAAAACTACGCTTACCAGAAAGAGGGACAATGTTGCTGATCAAACAGACACGCTAACCTTGAGCCATAACCACAAGGTAACTTTTTATCTTATCTAGACCAAATGTTGCCCTGGTGGAAATGGTCTTTTTGTAAATAGTGGGATTTGTCGCAATACTATGGAAGCCCACTATTCCATCACCAACATGTATATGTTTTATACCACAACGCTACAATGTGCTGAGACTGTATTGCGCTGCTCTCCAACCACTGGGGTCACACAAAATAAAGTGTGATGAATTGATTCCTGTGGTACCTGCTTGCCTTTGTGTGTGTTTCTGGCTGCCGGATCATTAATCAGCTGGTGTGACTGCAAGGACATAGTAGCTAAGGACACACTGCAGTTTTATTTGGCTTTTGAAAGTATTCCACCTCTCAATGTGAATATCTGGAAATGAGCTCTACCACAAACATTGCAGTTCTGTTATGATTGTATGAAACCCCGAAGAGGATCTGGCACAAGCCTAGCGCATTTCCTGCACGGAGGGCCAATGTCACCCTCCCCTTCTGTGTCTCTGCTGAAGTGTGAGCGCATATCTCAGCCCCGCTGCGCTCCCCCTTTCATCTGTTTCTGGCCGCTGATCTTTGGTAGGTGACTAAAGAGGAGCTGTTCCCGTTTGAGGGACTGAGTCAGATAAAGATAGATGATGGGTCTCATAAGATGAGAGAGCAGAGAGGAGGTTGAACTCATCAAACTACAGGTCTACATGAAGGACAGCCATGGCCCTGAGAGCAGACCTGATGTTTTTAATCCTCCCTTATGTTGATGGTATGGTATGGTCCCAATATAAAATAAATTTAACTCACACTAGGCATTTATCGACTCATCCAGCGCCATCCCTATTCTACAAATCATCTTGTAACCTGACAATCAATAAGTATCATCCAGACTCATAACTAATGTTATCAACCTGGGTTTTTGGAATATGCCCAGGTGTCATCAGAGTAGACCTGCATTAACCCTTTAACATCCTGCTCAAGCATTTGGTAGAGCAAATGTTTCACTGATTAGGCTCAGTCATAGGATATACTACAGGAAGTGCACTTACCTAAACTAGCTGTAAAATTAAGTTGAGGTATGTAATGCCTGAGATAAGCATGACATATGACTTTTTTTTAATTTTATTTCACACTTTATCCAAAATTAATACAACTATCTGTAAAAAAAAAAGCATTGATACTGCTTTTTATTCCAAAGGAAAATATATATTTCCTGTCGTTTTTTTTAAAGTGTAGATGTTAAATGGTTGTTAAATGTTAATTGACCTGTTCAGTCATAAAATTTATAGTCAAGAAGTACTTTGCTTGACTTACAATTCTTTTAATTAAATAATCCCTCATGAACCCGCTGTTATCCTTTAAATCCGCTTTGTGGCATAGAGATGTTTAGTCCTTCCCCATACATACCTTCCCCAGGAACATATTCCTACAAACAGGGTTTTATCTAAAATACTGGATTTGTGTATTTCATTTACATTTTCATCGTCAATTAATTTCCACTGCTTAGAAATGAAAAAGCTGACATTAAAGCAATTATTAAAAAGTCACATTTCATTGGTTTATTTCTACATATAAATGGAAGGGAACTCCAATGTAAACACAATCTGAATAAACTCATAATATGCACTTCACCCTGAACAGATGTGTGTGAAGAGCTAAACACAGACCTCAAGAACAGAAAATCTGCAAAATACTCAGCTGGGTCAGCAGACAGCCCATGAAAAGAGGCAGTATCACCTCAATGCTGCCAGGGTAGTAGTAGGCACGAGGCACTTTGCTGCATATCTGCTCCTTTTGTCATCTTATCTGTAAAATGTGCGACTGGCATGGTTAAATATGTGTGATTTTAGAGTCAGTTACACACATCGTAGGAGGCTACATCTGGTGTTGAATCTTAAAAGCTACAATTTCTCAGCATTTGCTCGTCAATTCTCTTTAAAAAAAACAAGGTTGTTAACGTTTACGACATCACCTGCAGTTAGTTTACTTTTTATATATACAGTACACACCCATTAAATCCAGATATGTCCTTGTTATGGTTTTCATTTAACTGTTGTGATTCGTTGCTATTAGGTACACCAAACATTAAACGTGAGAGGAGACAGTTTTCTGGATTTGTGTTTGCCTTTTAAGAACTTTCCATACTGAATGTCAGCAGCACAAATAGAAAAAAAAACATTTTTTCCACGGGATTCATCACACTGCAGCAAAAGTCCCTTCGTTAATATCCTGTTTGTGATGCTCATCCCTGCTGCTTGTAACTGCATTATAGCAGATGAATTTCACAACAGGGGAGCCTAGATTTCTGGTGCTTTCATTTTGCTGCAGCAGAAAGTAATGGGTGCGCATGGTGAGTGCACACCCACAGTTCCAAATGCCATTCTCAACTGCAGAGAATGTAACCCAGATCAAGCAGGTTCAGTTCAACTCTCCCCGTACGTGTGTATCCCCATAGAAAAAACCTGCGCTCAGCACATCACCCTGAGACCTGACAGGGGCTGGTTTGTCCAAGCAGAAGTGGCCGCAAATGCTTGTCTGAATGCACACCCAGAGAAGACATTCCATAGAGCTACAGAGCAAACATTTGACGATTGTGAAAATCAATAAGAACGTTTTAGTCTCAGTAATGAGCATAATGTAAGTTCTTCAAAACAGTGCTGGAAATTGATCTAAAGTTTACAAAGTTAATCTCCTTTCCCTAAAGCCTTACATTACTGCTGAAAGTACCTTTGTCAAAACCTGCCTCGTGGTCAGTCACAAACAGAGAGTGTTGCAACAGAGGGGAATCAATCCAAAGTTATAGACAGCTCATGAAATCTAACGCATATCATTTATTGAGAGGAAATAACACCTGGACACTAAGTGAGTTTGTGTTCAAACTAAGGTGACTTTAATTAACTTTGCAGCAGAAAGTGCTGCGGAGCCGGGAATCCAAATACAGTCCTTTTAACATCATCCATAATTTAACAGTAAGACAAAAGAGAAAACCTGTAAGATAAAAACAAACTGTTGGGGATGACAATGAAATGGCATGTAACAAATAAAACCATCGAAAATAACATGAAGAAAACACGAAGCAATGCCAAATATAACACACACATGAAATGTGAAGGAATTCGAATGGATGTTGTTTTTCTTTTCCCATCTCTTGTTTTTCTGGTATGAAGTGGATTGGAATGAAAACTTAGAAAAACCACGGACAGGGATACAGTTGTATATGCCATGACCATCTGTGTAAACTACATTCTTTGGCAATATTCAAAGGTACATTCCGCAAAAGAGCCTTGCAATCCTTAATTCAACTCTGATGGTGGCACTCGATGAGCGATTCTGATGCTGGACATTGTATCAATCCTCCCACCGCTGGGAAGCATTAGACTTGCTAATCCAGTCCATTTCTCTGTTCACTACTGAGTGGAGCCATAAATATTAATAGATTCACACTCCCCTCTTGGCTGCTTGTCATGCATTCAAGGGATTATGGCTGATGGTATTATATTGTTAATTAGGTTTGTAGAAATAATGTTCGCAGTGAACCAGCGGACAGGCTGACATGCTGAGGTGATGACTTTCCTGACATTTTCTCTGCATAACAGAGTTCTCAGATTATACTATGACGTTGAAAACGCTCTCACAGGAGACATGGAAGGTGAGGGCCGGGGTGTCCATCTTCTGAATTTACAACATCATGGTTTATTCATTCCTCCATGAAATATTTAAAAAGGAATCACTTCAGACACTTTTAGGAAAACAGTGACGTTTTTTTTGCTTTGCAGAGGTACTGTACCGGATTCATGAATTAGCAGATAACCTGGAACTTATACTGTTACACATGTGAAATGTACCACCCATTAGAGTAAAATCAATGATCTATCTATTTTTCCACCATGGCTTTCACCAGAGTTGCAAGGCCCCACGCCTCCCACCACAGAGGTCAGTTTGTCACATGCTTTCAACGTGTTCCACAGCATGCTGTAACAGTTGCATTTGTTTGGCTCGGACCTCAAGCTACAGACAAATCATGACACGTCTAATATTTCCTGTTTTACATAATTGGGAAGATATTCAACATGCTCTTCTAAACTAAAACTGAACATAGGAATTTTGAAGAAGATCTCTAGCGATGTATGGCAAAGATTTGCTTTTTGTTTGTGTTGTTGTACAGTCTCGATGCTTGTTAAAAAAAAATGTGGCAAAGGTTTAGTCATTTTCAGTTGAACCTGCTTTCTGCTGTGGTGTCTGCCTGTTTGATAATTAACAAGATTTTAAAGCACTTTAGAAATTACTCCAGCAAGACTCACAGATATGCAACCTTTTTTTTTACAGAAATGCAATATGATGTTGATCCCAAAAAGAAATTAAACCAAAACACCATGAGTTTGAAAACATTTTACCTGTCTGCTGTTTCACTGTTTAATTCAAGGGCACCTCAGGCTGTGCTATGTTTTTCCAAGAGGTGCTGAGAGCTGTTGAAGGACGGCCACATCAGTTTCTGCTCTGCCTCCGCGTTCCTAGCAGCAATCAAGGTCAGAGCAACCAGATGGAGGCCCGGCAAACAGCGAACAGAGGTGGAACATCTGTTGCAGGGAGGTTTCCAACCCTAAGACAAGTCCCGCCTCACCTTTCCTGCTGTTGTTTCCTCTGACTCAGACTTGGAAAAAGATACAGACACCATCGCCGGTGCCCTGTGGTTGCTGCTATTAAATTCTGCTTTGAGATAAGGCATACCAAAATCTCATTAAATCCCAGACAGAGATAGCACTAAATTCCCTTTATGATTTGATTAGGAGGCACGGGGCCTGTTCTCATGCTGATTGCATTCTTAATCAGATCCTTCCAGTTCCAGGGCAAACAAGCGCAAAGTGGATAAAACATAAAAGAAAAAAAGAAAAACAAGATGAACAAAGAGTCACACTTTTTTAAAAATCG